CCCCCACGACATCAGTGGGGGGTAGATGTGACGCGGTTGGCTCGACTTCCACGGATTTACTCCGGCCGGTTATTGCGCCGAACTTGGTAATTCTCAGTAGCCGATGGCCTAACGTGGGGGTTCGCGGGTTCCCGCATATTGTGATGATTTGAATATTTATCACCAAAAATAATATACATGTATATACTATATATCATTAAGAGAGTGTAGAGAGCAATAAAACCATGGGGGTACCCAGATGGAGTCAATGGCAGCGAAATGCATGGTAACAGATCACCAAGTTCTATAGTTCAATTGCCGGAATACAACTTCCACGTTACTCCACTTGAGCACGGAGTTAGGGATCGCGGGGGTTGGTAAGCTATGGCAAATACGTCGTTTCCTCTTTCCTTTTCTTTTATTTTCTGACCTCTGTGAAACCGCCTACTGACATCCTCCAATATCACGGCCTTCATACATAAAAAGTAAGTACGTGACGTGCGCCAAGTGAAATGCATGAGCTCATCGCGCAAGAATAGTTTCCAAGATGCCTTCCCAAGCTGCTCTCCTCATCGGAGCTATCACGCATGCGCGCACGGAGTGGGAGAGTCTCTCCTCAATCCTGAACCTCAAGGTTGGTGCGCATTTCCCATTGCCCAAATACCTGCTAACCCGCGCAGGAATTCCCCAGCGGCACTCGAGAGGAGTTCATTAAGAACTGCAAGGCAGGACACTACGACGATGTAGTCGCTATTTACCGATCCAACACCTCCAATAAGGTGCGCATGCAACTCTGAAAGGTGTAAGTAACGGACTGAAGCTAAATTCTTGATTAGTACACCGGAAACTTCGATGCTGAGCTGCTCGCCGTGTTGCCCCAATCGGTCAAGTATATCTGCCACAATGGCGCTGGATATGACAATCTCGATGTAGCAACTTGCTCGCAGATGAATATTTCAGTCTCGAGCACCCCCGTTGCGGTCAACAATGCCACTGCTGACGTGGGCATTTTCCTAATGATTGGTGCACTTCGCCAGGCTTATGTGCCCCAGGCCGCTCTTCGGGCTGGTATGTGAAATTTCCTACAATTCATATTGAGTCACAGAAATGGAGTCTAAGTAGAAATCCATAACAGGTACATGGCAAGGACAGGCGACTTTGGGCAATGACCCTCAGGGCAAAGTTTTAGGAATTTTGGGCATGGGCGGCATTGGTCGCGTGGGTATACCAAGCCCTGAAGTTTGTATCTTGGCTAATCGAATTGATCAATAGGAAATGGCTGCACGGGCCAAGGCGTTTGGTATGAATATCCAATACCACAACCGCTCTCAACTCCCGGCAGAATTGGAGGCTGGAGCGACATATGTCTCGTTCGATGAGCTTCTGGCCAATGCCGACGTCCTCAGCTTGAATTTGGCCCTGAACGCATCAACACGGCACATTATCAGCGCGAAGGAGTTTGGCAAAATGAAGGATGGTGTGGTTATTGTCAACACCGCGCGTGGAGCTTTGATTGATGAGAAAGCGCTGGTCGCTGCGATTGAATCTGGCAAGGTAGGGTCCTTGCATCGAAAATCTGGATTGACAATTCGAAGATTTTGCTAACGAGTTCCGGTGAACAGGTTCGGTCTGCTGGTTTGGACGTATACGAGAATGAGCCCGCAATTGAACCCGGTCTGGTGAACAACCCGCGGGTCATGCTGCTCCCGCATATTGGTACAATGACTTATGAGACTCAGAAGGAGATGGAGATCTTGGTGCTCGATAATCTGCGGTCCGCGGTGGAGAAAGGAATGTTAATTACACAGGTGCCTGAGCAGAAGCGGGCATAGATGAGGCCAAGTTAGATAAGCGAATTCATATTAAAAACTAAAGATAGAAATGATTGTATTGACGCTTCACACAAAACTTTACTAATATGTAAGCTTCACATCACATCAGTATAAGTAGATATATCTGCCTTGAGGCCGAAAGAGCAAAGCATGACTCAGCAAAGGTAGTGCTTACTTAATCAACTACTGAAAGCAGCTAGCGTTAGGGTTCGCTTAGGGCCCGCGCGCCAAGAGCGAAAAAAACCGCACCAAACTTGGAGTTCAAGCGTTAGCGGTCGAAGACGAAAAGCGACAACATCATCCAGACACCGAGGACCATCGACTTCCCCTCGCCAACTCCTTCAAGATGGTGAGTTTTGCACCCCCAGCTCTCGATCTATCCCAAACGACTTCCTAAAGGCCATTTATGACCCGTTATATCTCGATTACATGGACATATGCACCTCGTCCACTTGAATATCGAAAAGAAAAAACCATCACCACAAATTCAACCACCACCATGATTACTGACGACTTCTGTTCGCTCTACAGGTCCGTTACGCCGCCCAGGAGATCCAGAACGCGAAGAGCGCCCGCGCTCGGGGCTCTTACCTCCGTGTTTCCTTCAAGAACACCCGTGAGACTGCTCAGGCCATCAACGGCATGAAGCTGCAGAAGGCTCTCACCTACCTCGACAACGTCACCAAGAAGTCGATGGCTGTCCCCATGCGCCGCTACGCCGGTTCCACCGGTCGCACCGCTCAGGGTGAGTTTAGATCGAAATTTTCTTTACATGCTGGATGAATTTTTGGGTGCAACGGTGTCAAGGGATATCACGATGGGGCAATTGGAGTGTGGAATATCCGCCATTCTTTCGACAATGTGTGATCGCGCAGGAGAACGGATTATTCGCTATGGAAGGAAGATTCTGTGCGATTTCTGGGACACCGCTGCCGCTCGGAAAGAAAATTCAATGTGCGGGATATGGGCCATCGAACAATCAACTGACAGTTTTTCGTCTTCAGGCAAGCAGTTCGGTGTCTCCAAGGCCCGCTGGCCCGTCAAGTCCGCCGAGTTCCTGATCGACCTCCTCAAGAACGCTGAGGCCAACGCCGACACCAAGGGTCTCGACACTGGCAACCTTGTTGTCCAGCGCATCCAGGTTAACCAGGCTCCCAAGGGCCGCCGCCGCACTTACCGTGCTCACGGTCGTGTATGTTTTTCTTTTCTTGCACCAATAATCGGCCTCTCACTAATATGACTTAGATCAACCCTTACATGACCAACCCCTGCCACATCGAGTTGATCCTCACTGAGGCCAACGAGGAGGTCAAGAAGGCCCCCAAGGAGGACAAGGTTCGCCTGTCTTCCCGCCAGCGTGGCGCTCAGATCCGCCAGGCTCTCATCGAGGCATAAACGGATCGCCGGGGAAGGGATGTTGAACGGTGATTGAAAGAAAAAGGATCGCCGTGGACGGGCCGGAGTTCTTGCGCATCTGTATGTTGGAACGGAAATGATACCGGATCATACAAGATTTTTCAGGTCATGGTACCAACACGGAGGAGAACCAAATAAAAAGTTTAAAGCGCGGCTCCGTAGTATTCTGTACTGCCTGATCTGATCATGATACAAACGTGGTTTCTCTTCTGTGCAATGTTATAGATCTTGTACTTTCTCCTTCAGGTGATCAAGAATGATGGACATTCTGAAATAATATCACTATGTTTTATGATCATTCGATTCTGAATCCCACTTGATCATATAGATATCAGATCGGCGGGGACACGTGCGGGGCACGAGCTCTCGTAGATCTATGTAGCACACGATGGACTTGCTTCTGACACTCGCAGCCTGAAACTCACGACCTTAAAATCATGGCCCGTTTATCAGACTACCGTCTTCTCTGCTTCGACGTTTACGGCACACTCATCGACTGGGAAGGGGGGATCATCGCCGCCCTCCAGCCGATCCTCAAACTCAGTCAGACCGAGTTCACTCGCAAGCATCTACTGACCATCTACCAAGAGCTGGAAAGCGAACAGCAGCGCCTAACCCCCGACAAACCCTACTCCCAGCTTCTCACTACCATACACCCCCTCCTAGCCCAAAGACTAGGCCTTTCTCCTCCTAGTGAAGAGGAAAGCACCCAGTTCGGCGAATCAGTAGGCTCCTGGCCGGCCTTCCCCGATACCGTGGACGCCCTGCACCGCCTACAGAAGCACTACAAGCTCGTGGTCCTCTCCAATGTCGACCGGGCTTCCTTCGCCCAGTCCAATGCTGGCAGTCTACAAGCATTCCCCTTTGATCTGATCATTACCGCTGAACACGTGGGCTCTTACAAGCCCGACGCGCGGAACTTTGCGTACATGAAGAAAGCTGTAAAAGCGGACTTCGGTATCGAGCCGGAACAGATCTTGCAGACGGCACAGAGTCAGTTTCATGATCATCAGCCCGCGTGTCGGGCGGGGATTCGGTCAGTGTGGATCGAGAGACCTGGTGCTACTATGGGTAATCTGGAGGTAGCGCCGATTTTCGATTGGCGCTTTGACACGCTGGGTGAGATGGCAGATGCCTTGCAGAATGAAGGATGAATGATATCTGTCGAGGGGTGGTTGCTGCCTGGTAATTCTCCGTTGGATTCGTCCCTGGTGCAGTTGTATGGCGCATCTAGCCACAAGAGTATGCATCCACGTACCGTGGTGGGAGTCCGAGCAGGCTTGGCGGTGCGAATCTTGCTGCCTCCGCCACACTTGGGTACATCATCATACATCCGAAGGAAGTATGAAGATATTTCAAGGGTATAATGCGATTCCGGGGAGTGTGAATTGGAATATTATGTCGTTTTGATGTTACGGTTACTGCATCACTGCAACCGAGATTAGGCCGGCTCTATTTATATCCGGGTAATTGTAGATGCGATCCAAGAGCCAAGAGCCTCAAAGCCGAAGAAAGAGTACAAACCATGGGACGGAAATAGTAACATCCTGAGGGTAAGAATTGACGCGAATTCCACGTAGTCAATGAACATCATTTGCCACATCGATTCTCAGGAAGGAACTCTATAGTTAAGCGCGGATGACAAGTGTGACCCAGCATGGACCCTGCGTACGCGAGGCTACTAGTTCATATTCTCCCCCCGTCTCCTCCACATCTTCACTAGTTCCTTTTTTCTTTCTCTTCCCCATTCCTCACAAAATCACTACCCACAAAATGAATCGCTTCCTAGGCAAATTGAGTCGCCGAGATAGTGAGACTGCGCCCCACGCTCCCCCGCAACCTTCACTAACCACCCGTAGGCTCTCCAGCTTCTCCGAGCGACAATGAGACCACTCATGATGATGACTCACCTGAGGCGGCGCTTCTTCATGAATTGGTTCGTATTCCTCGACTTTTGGTCTGAATCAGTCTCGCTGACAGCGCGCTTCCCAGAAAACCTTCTGCGAATCCAACAGTAGCCCACAGGAATCGGTATGGAGCGCCTCGCCCCCTCCACCTAGGAAGACATCGCTTACCATTTTCACCCACTCAGCAAGGAAATGAATTTGTTCACCTTCCTCGAATCGTTGAGCTCGCCGAGTCGAGCCCCGCCGCCGCTAAGGAAGCCGCCTACCGCATTCGCAAATACTTGAAGACTCCGACCAGAGTCTCGAACCATATTCAGTACAATGCGATTATGGTCATGCGCATCTTGGCCGACAACCCGGGACACACCTTTACGCGCAACTTCGATACCAAATTCGTCACCACAATTAAGGAGCTGCTGCGCTACGGCCGAGACTGGCATGTGCAGCACTACCTGCGTCAGTACCTGAACACCCTCGAGGGCACCCGACTTGGCGACGAAGATCTCCAGGAGCTCCTTCAGATGTGGGCCAAGGAGAAAACCAAGGGCGACCGGTCCTTTGTAAGTATGTTTTTTTTTTTTCCTACTGCCCTCACAAACATGCATGCTCACACCGTTTTCCACAGGCGGATCGGTTCCCCCAAGCGAATCCGGCGAATCCGGGGTATAATCCTCAGATGGCCCCAACCCCGCCACCGCACCCGCGTGCTCAGATGCAAGCACCGACCGCTGCCTACCCCGAGCCAGGCGAATTGGCGGCGCGCGTGGAGGAGGCACGGAATTCCGCCAAGCTCCTCACGCAATTTGTACAGATGACACCTGCTTCAGAGATTGACCAGAATGAACTCATCAAAGAATTTATTGATCGCTGCCGAACATCTTCGCGACTCATTCAGTCTTACATTCACGCGAACAACCCCGCACCCGATGAAGACACCCTTCTCACCCTAATCGAATGCAATGATGAAATCTCCGTTGCGCTTTCGCAGCAGCAGCGCGCTATGTTGAAGGCTCGTAAGGCCCGAGGCTCGACGAGTCCTCATTCCAACTCGAATGGCAATGGTGCCATCAACCCGATTATGGCATCTGGTGCGCGCCAAGAAACCTCGCCCTTGATTGACTTGGATACCCCGGCCATGACGGATGGCCGCATCAGTACCGTCAGAGATATTCATGAGCCGTACGAGTATCAGGCATCGGACTTTGAGGTGGAGAATCCATTCGCTGATAACCATGCCACGCATAACACTGACGCGGACCGGAACCGAGCCAATGCTGGCCAGGAGCGAACGGTGCATTTCCCATCGGAGCATGCATAATTGATTGCGCGATCTGGAATGGTTCGTTGATGTTTGATACCCTCGATCCGAGCGTTATAGGTCTTGATCTTGCTATTTTTGAATGCGTTTTTTGTTTTCTGCGCAGACATCTTTCGTTATTTGCTATCTGCACTGTTAACAAGATACCTCGAGCTTTCCTGTGGGATGTGAAGACCCCATGTCCGCGTCTTCAAGTTGAATGCAGACAGTTTTTCTATGTAACCAATCCCGACACAGGAAGGCTTCCCCAAAGATTTGCATTTATCGTATTGAATATATGACGTTATCTCCTGAGCTAAGATCTTTTCCCTGAAATACCGAGTCAAGCGTCCCGAGGTCTTGAGCTCCGTACACGTTGATCACCGGAGGATAGTATTGGAAGATCGATCATTTCCAAGGTTTCAGCAAGACTCCACAAGGCCCTAGATCAACCTTAATCAAATTTGGTCACCCGAGGCTGAAAATGGAGAAGCGCCCGAACCAGCTCTGGAGGGATCCACGCCTGACAATCTTCTTTTGTAGCACGACCAAACTGACTCGGATTTTGTCAGGATCAGCGTCACTAGACTGATTAATATTCCCGTCAATCACAGAAAAGTCCGTGAACTCTTGTTTCGGTGCGGTGCGGTGCCATTTAACCTGAAACCTGTCCGGGCGCGTGGAACCGGCCTTGGCAAGCCCTAACATGGGCATCGGCCTTGTCCCGAATGCAGGTACTGATTCGTGCGATAGATCAGGCTGGAATGCCCCCGAGACCCTGGGATCAAGCAATATCGCCGGTCTCACCATGCGCCCCCCGGTGGAGGGGAATGATCCCTTTGAGGGATACCAGGGGTTGGAGTGTTTCAAAGTGTCTTTTGGGTGTGATCTATTGACAGGTTTTCATGGTGGATCATTCCCTTCGTACTTTTGGTACTTTCAAGTTGTTTGTAGTTGATTAAGCTTCCCTTCTGACAGCGTCCAGAGTCCGATCATGGAAATGAAGGCGAGTCTATATAAATCGTGTCATGGCCCTGCTATTGTGCCCGTCAAGCTGGTCTGTTCTTTGACTTTTACTTCTTCCATTCTTTCTCTCCGGTCTGTGACCGTGCAGTCTTTTTTTAACTTTCCATTCGCTATCGCTTGAACGGTACCGGTTTACCGATCAATTTCCATTCTTTCACAAAATGAAGCAATTCACATCCCTAGCTGCCGTCGCCGGGCTCGTTTCTCTTGTCCACGGCCATGGCTTCGTCAGCAGCCCAACCCCTCGTTACCCTGGCTCGGCTTTTGAAGCTTCCTGCGGCCAGCAAGCCTACTATACCGAAACATCTGATGTCTATGGAAACGTTCAAGGCATGCTCCAAGTTGCTGACAGCCAAAGTGACTATAATGCTGCTGAGTGCAATGCTTGGCTGTGCAAGGGCTTCAAGTATGCCGACAACAACGTCACTTACTCGTATACGGCCGGTCAGACAGTGGACTTCGAAGTTACAATCCACGCTCCACATACAGGTGTCGCCAACGTCTCGGTCGTTGATACCTCTACCAACACTGTCATCGGTACCCCCCTGATCTCTTGGTCTGTCTATGCTTCCGTTTCAACGGGTGTGGCGGCGAACAACACCGCGTTCAGTGTTACTATCCCTGACGATCTGGGTGACCAGTGCACTACTGGTGGTGACTGTGTGCTGCAGTGGTACTGGTACGCCGAGTCCATTGACCAGACCTACGAGTCCTGTGTCGACTTCACTGTCGATGGCTCGGGCTCGAGCTCCAGCTCGGGTTCTACTGGCTCTACCTCCAGCGCTTCTACCGAGATCGCTTCCTCGACTGCGGTGCCTTCTTCTACTTCTTCCGCCCCCACCTCCTCGGCCACCCCTACCGAGACCCCTACTCCGGCTGAGACTGCTACTCCCGTCGAGACTCCTACTGAGACTCCCGCGGTTGAGACCACCACTCCAGCTGTGATTGCCACTTCTGTCCCCGCTGAGACCCTCGCTGCCTCTGCACTCGTGAACCCTAGCACTACCTTTGCCACTCAGCTCCGTGCATCTGGGTCCGTTGCTTCATCGACTGGCGTTGCGACTTCCGTGCCGATCCCCGTCAATGGCTCCGCCGAGGAGAAGTTGAGCTGGGTGGAGAGTGTGTTCAAGTACCTTGTCGGTAACAACTGAGCTCAATCGTTGGAGTAGAGGTGTAAAGGTCCTGGGGACTTTTTGACTAGATTCTTGGCATACCCTTCGGATAAGTGATTTCGGTGTATCTTTATATAGAAGTCTCAGAATATACAAATCACTTGTCAATTACTCTGAACCATCCTGAATCATTATTTAACTCTATCAAGGTCGAGATTGAAAGAAGGAAGAAGCATGCATTACAGAATTGGGTGGTGCATAAGATCCATAGAGCTAGGTAGAATATAAATATTCCGCTGTCACGCACTTCCTCGTATTCAACAGCCAAGCCGACGAGAAGTAGTGGTTATCACGCTCAGCCCGTAGAACCGATGTTCGAACCTTAAAAGGATCCAATGCCTCTCCTCTATTCTTGGGGACTCTGATTATTCTTACGCATGGTTCATAAGGTCGGTCCTTCCTCAGTTCGGGGCGGGGACTTTGACAGTCAGAGGTTCACATCCTTCCGTCGGTATTATCTTTCTGTGAATTATTGCGTCACATTCTCTCCAGTCTTCCTCCTACTCCTTCTGTTGTCTACTTTTTTTGTCTTTTGTCGTGTTGGCGTTGTGCCCATTCCACGATGCAGGACCCACATCTCCGCTATCCATTCGAAATCTGCACAAGTACAGTATGACAGACTGGGACTGTTAGGCCGTGAATCTTCCACTTTGCTGCTGAATATCCCACTTTTTGTGATACACTTAGAACCTAATAGCATACGAATAATGTATATCTAGTTTTTAGTTCGAGAGTGACATATCAATCAATAGATTTACTCCTGCCAAGATGCCAAGCTGATAAGATAAGCACTGCCTCTTTGCCCTTTTTCCCATTGCAAGCCGGAGAATAATTGCTTCTTCTCCTTACTCCCTTCATTCCTCACGTTGCACATACCGTCACCATGGAGGAACACATCCGTCACAGCCTTTCTAACCACCCGCATGCTTTGCAACACTTGCATAGCAGTAGCCCACACTCGTCGCACCGCGCCATGACTCCCCGATCCTATAATGAGGGCACCTCGAGCGCCCTCGAGCATGAATCGGTCATACAGAACCGTCCAGGTAGCCCCGACGAGGAGGGCCAGCTTCCGCCTCGATACACCGCAGATAGCGATCCATTCCAGCTCGCCTCAAAGATCAAGACGGAGGACGAGATCCGACAGATGAAGGCCAATACTTCGCGCAAGCGTGATCCCAATACCGATAGCACAAGGGTCATGGAGATGGTACAAAAAACGGGCGCCAGGGGCAAGCAGGCGCTTGTCACTCGCAAGCTACAGGGCTTCTATGAGAACCAGAATGAGAACATCGAGCGGATGTTGAAGCCTGTTGAAGAGCATGTGCGTGCCGCCCGCGAATTGAACAGCGAGAACAGTCTCAAGTATAAGATCGCCGTGTACGCCAGCTTTGCCGCCAATGTCGTTCTCTGTGCGGTGCAGATCTACGGTGCTGTATCCTCTGGATCCTTGTCACTGTTCACCACCATGGCGGATGCCATCTTCGACCCCATGTCCAATTTGACCCTGCTCCTGTGCAACAAGGCCGTTAACCGAGTAGACCCTCGCAAATTCCCCGCTGGAAAGGCCCGTATTGAGACTGCCGGCAACATCTGCTTCTGTTGCCTCATGACTGCCGTTTCGCTCATCATCATTGCCTTCTCCATTCGCGAAATTGTTGAGGGCTCCGACACCCTCCGAGCTCCCTTCCACCTGTCCTCCGTCATTGCCGTTGCTGTTGCCTTCTTCACCAAGCTCGCACTTTTCATCTACTGCTTTGCCTTGCGCAACCAGGTTTCACAGATCCGTATCCTGTGGGAGGATCACCGGAACGACCTGCTCATCAACGGAATCGGTGTCATGACTTCGATCCTGGGTAGTAAGGTCCGCTGGTGGATTGATCCCATGGGTGCTATTATTCTGTCATTGATCGTCAGCGGACTGTGGTTGCACTCCGCCTACGGCGAGTTCCAGCTGCTGATCGGTGTCACTGCGGATACCAAGATGCAGCAGCTGATTACCTATATCTGTAAGTCCACACAATGCGTTTCAAGGAGTATGTCTGATACTGACTGCCCGCAGCTATGACCCACTCCCCCATGATCACAGCCATCGACACCGTCCGAGCGTACACATCCGGCCCGCGTCTTCTTGTCGAGGTCGATATTGTCATGGACGCTGGCGCCACTCTTCGCGCGACCCATGATGTCGCTGAGGAGCTTCAGATCAAGCTCGAGTCCCTTCCTGACGTTGAGCGTGCCTATGTGCACGTCGATTACGAGACCACCCACAAGCCGGAGCACTTCCTCAAGAAGGAGCTGTAAAGCGGATTTCATGACAAAAGTACCTTGGAACCATAGCCATATTGCATTTCTACTAGCTTAGTCTATAGGGCAGTGGAACAAAAGCGTGTCGTTTTTCACATAATAATATATCCATCAGCCTCACCATTCCTGTTGAAGCCTGAATCCACCCAACGAAGGTTCCATGCAGATTCCGTCGCGGCGTCCAATCACGTTGCGCCCTGTTCGACACTATGACCTAATCGAGTCTAGCCCGCTGACTAACGTGGAATTCCATCGACTTCAACGGGAGAAGCAAAGGTGACATCAATTTCCAAATATCAGCCGTAATTCAATAGGTCCAGTCTTGTCGTGACTGGCTTCTTTGGATCCCCATTGGGGACATGTCAGAGCGGTCGAGGCAACCCCCCGCAAAAGGTACTGCCGATATACCCCCATCTTAGCGCACCGCAGCTAAAATTGGAATAGATTGTCCAACCTGTCAACGGCGGCGTATCAAATGCGATCGCAGCTTGCCTGGTTGTACAAAATGTGGGAAGCGGAACCTTGAATGTCCAGGCTACGGCCTGCAGCTGAAATGGGGCCAAGGAGTTGCGAGTCGGGGTAGGTTACAGGGACAGATGATCCCTGTGCGTGAGGGTGCCGAAACATCCAATCAGTCCTTGGGTGTAGGTGCCACAGGCGGTAATGGTACGGCCGAGTTTGTTGGAACTGGAGAGATCGATTTCTTGCGGACTCAGCCGATGTCCCCTGTAAGTCTGATGGGTTCGCCTTCCATCGATCTGAGTCTATCGGGTCCCCGGCCTCCTCATGCTTCACGATTGCTTGCTTGGTTCAAGGAGCGGGTTGCGCATCGACTGGCTTGGATCGATGGACCGGAGAACCCTTGGAGACAGATTATTTTACCTCTGGCCGAGAACTCGGAGACTGTGCTTTCGTCTGTCCTTGCGCTCGCGGCACATGATTTGGCCTCCCAGTATCCTGTTGAAGATCCCTGGTTCGTCAGGTTTCAGCATATCTCAGATGCGTACCAAAATAAAGCCCTAGCACTCCTGGCGAAGGAACTGAGCGACCTGACGGCCTCGCCTTCGTCGCAATCCAGCCCGGACGCGTCCATGACACTGGCTTCCGTGCTCATCTTATGCAACAACCAACTTCTTTCAGCACAGTCATCAGGATGGAAGATCCATTTGCTTGCCGCACGCGAACTGATCCTTGTTGGAGAAAGTCAATCCTACCTCCACCAGCAACTCCTTCGCATCCAAGAATTCCTCCTCCAGGAATTCTACTCCACCTCTGTTTGGACTCATCTAACCGCCTTTGACGACATGAACGTAATAAGTAACCTTAGCACCGCCCCCACAAGCACCGAAGACGCCGCAGTTGCAGACTTCATCCGTATAATCCACCAGATCACCCAACTGGAACGACAACAAAGCCGCTCCCAGTCTCCGCTCCCTTACTCCCTAATTGAAGACATCCACTCGCAAATCGAGTCCGCACGCGTCAAAAGCTTCCGCTTAAGCCAAAAAGTCAACTTCTGGTCCGATTCCGATCGCACAGACTTTGAATTCGTCGTCTGGATGTTTTACCACGCAAACCTGATCTACAGCGCCCAAGCCTTCCCCCAGCTCCGCGACACAGTGATCGACGTCACCCATTCTCGGGATCAGATCCTGAGCCATGTGCGGCGTCTTTCTGAGACGAGAAACGGAATGTGGGCGCAGGATCTGGTTTGGCCGCTTTTCATTGCTGGGACGGAGTTGAGGGGGGATCGCCCAAGTCAGAAGTTTGTCGAGGGCGCGTTTAAAGATGTGATGCGGCTTAGTCGGACGTTGGATCGGGCGAGGGTTTTGGGGTTTTTGGAGACTTGGTGGAATTTGGAGGATCAGAGACTTGCGACCTGGATTGATTTGGCGAGGGAACGGCCTGATGATTTCAATTTTCTGCTTTTGTGATGTGATTTACGAGCTTCGAATATGAATATATCATTTTAACGACTTGATGAATTCTATTTGGCATATCCTCAACACTATATTCATTTTACATTTGAAGCACCAGCTACTAGGTACTACGATGCTATGACTTGATGGGGCTCAACGAGATTTCAAGTCACTTTGGCAACATTAGACTAAGATAATACAAGAATGATATATAGTCAAATTCTCCAAGTACTTGAAATGCTGTGGCATGATTTATCATTGTTGGATCACATATCTATTATCGATCTCGTCATACAAATAAAAACCCGGTGGTATCAAACAAAGCCTCCAATGCGGTACCGTATTTCGAGCACCAATCCCAATGATCCACCGTACTCTAAACAAGAAAAAGGAAGAGATGAAAGGGACATAGTCCACACATGAAGGTCAGACATGGTGGTAAAGATGCAGACAGGAACAAGAAGAACAATTAACTGGAACAGAAATAGCGAAAATCCACAAGCGAAAGCCTTCGGGTATCTAGACAGACTGTTGGAACAAGGCAATGGTCGAGCCATAGGTGCTCTTGTTCGGGCGTTCGGGAACCATGCTCTTCCCGCTCGAGGAGGTGACCATGTTGACGGACGCCTTGGTTGTGAGACCGTAGATGTGGACATCGGAGCAATCGACCTCGACCATGTTCTCCTGGCAGTCCTCGGAGTTGAGACAAGTCTGCGCGTAGTTCTCGAAGAAGCTGTAAAGACCGGCGCCATAGATATAAGTGTCCGAGGAGTTGAGGACACGCAGACCCCAGGACTTGCGGCACGAGGCAGTGATGCAGGTGGAGAAGTCGGGATCGTTCCATTTCTTAGGTTGGGGAGTAAAAGGGGTGAGAGCGCTAGGGTTAGACTGGTAGTAGGGAGTCTCGGTCTGGATGAGACCCATGAAGACGTTCTCGGCGTTGGAGACCTGGTAGTTGTAGAGCTGGTGGTGCTCGGATGCAGTTCCCCACAGCCAGACCGGGCCCTTGGATTCAATGAGAATACCACGGCCGGTGTAAACGTTGATCTGGGCATGGCCGGCAAGATCAAGCTCGTGATCGGCAGTCCACATCCAGGTGTTCTCGAGGTAAGCGCTGGCCTTCTCGGTGACGTGAAGGAGCATGAAGGCGGCCATGCACTCAGGCTTGGGAGTGGTTGTGACCTTGGGAGTCTTAGGGCAGGTGTTGCTCTGCATACCAGATCCAGCAGCACCACCAATACGGAAGTGAACATCCCACATGCCGGCCGAGCCCTGAGTGGTAGCGGCAACGTTCCACTCCATAAGGATGGCACCGGGGGCAGCACCCTTGGTCATGATAACAAGGTCACTGATCTCGACGGAGCCGGTCTCGCCCTTCTGGCCGACTTGAATAGCGGGGATTGGGTTTTCCTCATCAGCAAACTTGCTGCCGTGAGCCATGATCATGGGCCAAATTTCACCAGTAATCCTGATGTCCTTGGGGATCTTGAGGGTGTCGGTGATGATGTAGGCACCATGGTCGAAGTACACGACCTGGTCAGAGGTGGCACTGTTCAGAACCTTCTGAATGATCTTGGTATCATCGGTGGAACCGTCACCCTTGGCGCCAGCAGACTTGATACTGATGAAGGAAGAGGCAGGGAGGCTCTCGTACAGAGGCTTGGACTTTTCGAAGACGGCACCATCGACTAGGAGATCCGCTGGCTTGGAGGCGGTCTTCATAGTAGCCTGGGTGCGAGCGGACTCGACAGCCTGGTTAGCACCACAGGTGCCAGTGCTGCCACTCGATCCAGAGCCCGAGTTAGCGGCGTGAGAGCTTTGAGCAATTGAGGTGCCAGTAGCAACGACGGAATTCTCAGCAGTGGCGGTGTTCTTGCCAGCGCCAGTGGTAGCGACAGTGTTTTCGGCAGTGAGAGCAGCAGTATTCTTGCCAGCGCCAGAGGCAACGACAGTGTTCTCCGCAGTACCCGTGGCAACAAAGGTGCTTTCACCGGAGGGCACCACTGTGAGTTCCTTGGTGACAGTAGGCTTGAGGGTCGCTTCAACAGTAGGGGTACTCTCAGAGGCACCGGTACCCGACAACGCGATGGTACGTTCGCCTTGTTCAGAGCCGGTGAGCAAGACAGGAGTGGCTTGCGCAGTAGTCTCCACACCACCTCCAGCGTTGTTGCTAGCGAGGGTGGCAGAAGTATAAGACGCCGGACAGGCCTCAACAGTCTGCATGACGGTCTGGGTAACAGTAACAACTGCAGCGTCCTCATCGGCCTGAACGGCACGCTTGCTGAGCCCGGAGCTTGGGGTGTAGGTGTTACCCTGGACCCAGTTGGCGACAACGGAACCACCCGTCAAGATGGTGTTACCGTCAATACCAGAAACGGCAACTTTGGAGCCAGAGAAGTCGACGTTGTCCAGGACCAAAGTGCCACCACCGACGGGGATACTCTTCTTGGTCCAGGCAGTAACGATACCAGTAGGGGTGTTGGTAAGCTTGCTGTCGAGCATCATGACAGATCCAACAGTCTGGTTAGACGGCGAAGTGGACATGTTCAGACCAACCTCGCAATTGTTGATGTTGACCGACTTGAAGGTCCATGCCCAGTTCCAGTTCATGAAAATAGCGGTGTTGCAGTCGTTGAAAGTCAGGTTGCGAGTAGTGAACTGCTGGTTGCCCAGAAACATGCCGTAGTTACCACCGTTGAAGGTCAAGTCGGACATGAAGCCACCAGAGCCATTATCCATGAAAATACCCTCCTGCTTGTTAGCAGAGCCACCGCCCTTGACCATCTCAAATCGAATGTTCTGCAAGCTGGTTGCCTGGCCCACCTGCCAATGAATACCAGCACCGGAGCCCTTGGGCATGGCAGTCAGGTCGATGACAAGATTACGAATTCCACGGAAGAAGTTGTTCTGGTTCGTGAACCAGTTTGCACCATCGTCCTCGTAGGGGTCAGCGTCGATAACAGCCATGCCAGAAAAGGCGGCGGCGGCCTTAATAACGGGCAAATCCGTGGCATCGCCGACGATCTGGGTGTAGTAGTACTGGACGATAGGCTTGGACACCACATAGGTACCAGGCGGGAAGTAGACGAGGGCTGGAGTAGTGGTAGATGAGTCGCAACCCTTGCCACAGCGGTCACCGGAGGAAATGGCCTTGTTGATAGCAGCGGTATCATCCGTGGAGCCATCACCTATATCATAGTTAGTTTCGACGAATCCTGACAAGGCTTCTGGTCCCAAGACATACCCTTAGCGCCGAAATCCTTGACATTGCGGAAAACCTTGTAGTCTGAATCGCTGTTGAAAGGCGCCACACCCTGGCGCTTAATGTTGGCCATCCAGTAGCTTGAGCTAGCCCGTTTGGAAACCTCCAGGCTGTTGGCCATTGGGTTCATTGGGACCGCGCCCACCAGGGCAGTCGGTAGACCCAGTAATAGGATGAAATGGGCTAGAAATAGCATGATTGAGGACTGAAAGTTGGCCATCGTCAAGATGACTGGCGCTGAACCTGCAGCGAAATTTTTGATGTAGATGGAAACACTAGACACTTAAAGATGAAAACCGTTCAGTAACCAGTACTGTAGAGGGTTGGATATGAAGAAGAAGAAAAAAAGAAGTGCTTTAAAGAACAAGGAATGGAACGGAGGATAAAAGGGGAAATGCGTTCACAGAACGATTGAATGTGAAGGCAGCACCAGGCTTGAGTATAGATTGCAGTCGCGATCTATACTTCCTCCGGAAATGAGTGAATGAAGGAAATAGCGACTTCCCAGACCACAAAAGAATAGCGAAGGAAATAGGGAGAAGTGAAGAAATCCGTTTAGCAGTAAAGGAGAATAAAGTACTCACGCCAATGGTCCCTGCACCAATTGTCCCTGAATCACGGGCTCCGCCTATCGCATGCGCCGGCGCTGCTCTGTAGTCCACACCCACCAATCACACGGCCCCACCAGTGGTCTGGCGCTGATCCTTGAAACGCGATAGTCAGGAACTGAAACGCTGGAGCAGCTTATCACGGAGCCGGGTGTAGCAGGTAGACTCGAAATTCCTGAATTTGACTTCGTTTCTGGCGACTACACTGGCTAGATCGAAAAAGCCAAGCTTGTGGGGGGATTCAGTGGGATTGAGATTGCAACCATCAACACTCAAACTCGACGGCTTTTTGATGTAAAAATAGCTTCGAGTGCAGAGCCAAAAGGAAGAGAAAGAAATTCTAGAAATAACGGGGGCAAAGGGTCTACATTGCTAATATACCCTGCGAGTTCCTGCGCAGGGTATGCATTCTTCGGTTTCTCGTCGCATGGGTGTTTCTCCATGGCCCAGGGGCTTTTGCGTAGGCTATTATGTCCTGGACCATTCCATTGAATGATGGGATGAGGGCACTTGTTTGTGCTCCCTGGTATGGCCGATCAAGCGCGTTGCCCTGTGGAGCCCCCCCCCCCCCCCCCCCCCCTTCGCAACGGGTCATCAGGGGCACTCCGAGGTCTCCGCGCCTAGAACTCTTGCCATTCTCAGCCAGTCAATCAGGACCCGCGGCATTGTTCAGCGTGCGCGAGAGCACCAGTCATGAGGGGCACGTGTCCGTGGCCAAGACCTTCAAAATTGTGTGTTGGTTGTCAGGGGCGGGTGTTATGGATGAACATTCCTCGACGCGGGGAAGGGGAACCGAAGATTCTTGATGATGGCATCCACGACCTCACAGATCCAAGGCGACCGTCGAAACCATGGAAGGAATTATGCTTGTCTCGAACAAGTAAACTGTTAGCCAAGCTTTGCCCCTGAATAATCTGACCCTATTGGGGTTAGTACACAGAGGTATTGGAGATGTACGAAAACGATAATCTCATTACATGACTGCTCGGTCCTGACCTGCCAGGTGGGATGCAGATCATCGATCAGATCCAGGTACCGTACAGTACGGAGAATAGATGAGTGTCTGGTCGAGTCAACTTGTGGCGCAGATGATTTATGCAGTGACTAATTCTCGGGTCAAATCACCTTCTCCGGGATGGTTTTTCTTACTGTCCACTTCCGACCTGTAACGCTGGAAATTGCATGGAATACTGTATCCACGGTATGCCGTATCTGGATCCATCGGGGACCCGTTCTAGCACTGTTTAGGATACTTAGTCTCATTGCTATAGGGATTAATGCTTGGGGCCGCGCGTCCTTTTGACCGGAACGGTCCGTTGACCTCCGTTTCTAAGTGACAATAACTAAATAGAGAGGCCGTCTAGGCAGTAACCAATTGCTAGATCAATGATTCGAGGACGCGTGCAAGTCTACGCATTCCCTCGGTTAGATCGCCCGGCTCTGCCCAGGCAAAGCACAAGCGAAGGCGGTTGGTGAAGCGATTGCTGGCTGCGTGGGGGTCCCCAGCCACCTGGAACACATCACCAGGCGCTAAGCGCAGATTCTCCTGGCGATCAGCCCGCTGTACTACTTCTGCCGCCAGTAGTGGAGCAGGGAGAGTAATCCAAATGAAATACCCACCGGCCACACCGTTGGTGGGTGCCTCAATGGTGACGCCTAGTGGCGCCAGGTATTCCTGAATGGCAAACGTCAAATCATGATACCGCCGCGCATACGCAGGTCGTAACGTATCACGAATATGCTGGTTCAGAAATCCAGATCCCAGGAGCTGATCGATGAAGGTCGAGGTCATTTGAGAGGGTGCTCCGCCGGACCGAGACGAGCCTCTATATGGAGTCGCGTCAGCTTTACTCCACGTCTTCCGGGTCTTCATTTCCCAGTAACATGGTTACAATGACTACGAAAAACGACTTACACTTGGGATATCCCGTAGGCTACCTTTTCAGATGCTTCTGCCCATCCGGTGCGGGCCCCGGGTCCGATTAGTTTACTGAAACTCCCATTGCTTATTGCGTGGCCCCATTCATCCACAGGGCCGCCGTCCAAGTAGCGATCCACATCCACTAGTCGAGGGACAAATGCACGATCGGGCGATGTCAGCTCACCACCAACAGTGGAGGACCACTGTAAAAGATCGTAAACATCGTCCGTCACCACAAGAGCGTCATAGTCCCGTGCTAGTCGCACGAGTTGCTCCCGGTGATGCAGTGACATAGTCTTAGTGGACGGATTCGCAAATGTGGGGACAGCATAGATAACGTGTTTGTAGATCTTGCGCCATGGCCGAGGTGGTTTCAATTTCTAGCGAATAGAGTCAGCCGAGATTCGTGGAAGCATGCGAGCTGCTCTGATTTGGCCCAGCTACCGGTGTGTCGTTCCCTTCCGCGGTAGCCTTATGCTCAGCCTCACGCAAGCCGCGTTCCAAGAAATCTAGATCGATCCCTTCGTCATCCTCGGGCACCGCCCGCACTCGCCCAGCAAAGCCAGCGTCGTCGAATATCCGGCCCGCCAGAAAATATGTAGGATCAACCTGCCAGACATTCCGCGTGTACACGGGGTCAGTGAACACGGCCAACACACAAGCGAGGTTCTGGCTGGCCCCGCCGGTGATGCAAATACGTTGCGAAGAAATCGGGTGGCGAGGTTGGTAAAAGGCTTCCAGCCACGCAGCGACGTGGACACGGAGAGGCTCATGGCCCTCATCGGGGCCATACCCCAATGCCGGGTGCGCAATGGAGGGGTCCGTCAGCACTGTTGAGGCGGAGCGGAGGAGCTCGGGGGCGGGGAGGAGCGTGGGGTTAGGCCACCCAGCCGACAAATCAATACGTTCCGGCATTTTGACAGGGAATCCTAGTAGGAGCAATGAATGTGCCTCCCAAGGTCGGGATAACTATGGAGAAAAGATCCATGGGCGAACCGAGATCCGACGTTGTGTGGAAGCGAGTGTGGAACCCAAACCCAAACCAGTGAGGGGAAACCAACACACGAACAGGCACAAGGCACAGGAACAGGCAACCTCCGGTACTACAATCTGTATATCGGAGTGGGCACGAATATGCTCAGTTTCTATACAAGCTTTCAAAGTGGCCAATGTCTCAGTCATCCTTGGCTGACCAGTCACTGACTCGCAAGGTGCTCCATGCAATTAATGACTAGCGTTGCCCCATTTTATCCATAACCTTGGAACCCCCGGTCGGATCGAGATGACCTATTGAGGAAGCGTGGGATCTCCATCCTATCCAATTGGATGATGATCGAGGAATTGCGATGATTATCACGTTGCGATGAATGTTGGCCATACCTAGTAGGTATATATATGCAATGTTCCGTGCTGTATGCTACTATAGGTGACCCTCCAATCCGATATATATTTCTTACATACCAAGCTCTTGGCCCTGACAACACGTCCCAGATTACACCACAGACCTATTCATAGCATTCAGCCTAACCTTTGGCCCCAACTAGCTCCCAGGATAGACCGATCTATCGAAGGCTATGCTTCTACTTCAACTCCAGGCAATTCTATCATGATCAATTGCTGCTCAGATGTATACTGATGCCTATGAAGGTTAAATAAAATTCATTATACGTGTATTAACAGGTTTTCCGGGGGATCCACCCATGCACAAGGACCCATTATCGAGCTATTATTGGCATGGGAAGGAACCGGATCGAAGCTCGTACGGTTTTTTACTTTTTTTATGGGTTTTGGTCTTGGGTAAGGCTTCATGTAAGATAAAAAAAAAAAAAAATATCTCTATATACTATTCACTTTCTCCTGAAACACCCCCTGATCCGCTTCTCTTTTTCTTCTTCCAAACGTTCGAAGGTTACTGGTTTTCCTTTTTCTCTCACTCCCAGCAGGCACGGTACTTACGGCTTCATTCCCACTTACCGTTTCTCCCTGCCATTCTTGTGAAATCCCTCCTGCCGATCCATTCCCCGAACTCCCTCCCCTGTTCCCCCTCCCCTAACTACTACACTCATTCCTGCGTTCTATGCGGGCTTGACCTCACCTTTCCCTTTGACCAGCGCCTTGGTCGCCTCTAAACCTTCTCCCCCATCCCCCCCCCCAATTCCTCTTATAGACAACCAACATGTTGTCGGCTCCCGTTAAATCGGCGAAGCGCATCTCGTCTCTCTTCTCGCTGGGTAGTCACAAGGACCAGAATGCCTCTGGATCATCAGCGAGCTCCCCTGGGTTCAAACCCTCCGACACAAAAGACCGCCAACGAAGCAACTCTCGACCAACTCGTCATGTCTCCACACCAAATGCGGTCTTCTCCTCGTCAGAGCCCCGGACCGTCCCCGATCCCGCACCGTTGGATTTCGACTTGGAGAGCCTGCAGCCCCCACCTTCGCTTCTCGCGGTGAACCATGATCTGGCCAGCAGTGCCCCCAGTTCCCCAACATCCGGCCGACCCCAAAGCAGAGGGCGCGAGATGAGTCGACCTTCCAGCATGGCAGGTTTGGCCATTCCGGGATCTACGCCAGACTCTCGCCCGAGCACGCCATCAAAACGGAGAAGTTGGATGCCAGGAATGGGTGCTCGGTCGCGAGCCAGTTCCGTGGATAAGCGGCCCGCGGCGGCCGCCTCCCCGAGTGCCTGGATTGCTGGTTTGGACCAGAAGGTCATGTATGATCTAGGACCATTGTTAAGAGGAGAGCAAGTACGTGGAAACGTCCATGCGCTGGATCGAACCTTGGACGAACCTCCGTTGCTAACGAGATGATCGTTGAACAGATCCCAGAGCTCTGGAATGAGCAAGGTGATACTTTTGTCTACCTGTTCCCTCAGAACACCGGCCGCTCGCCATCCTTCAAGGTCGACTCCACGATTTTTGCCGAATCCCCCTCCCTCACCTACCTCGCTCGCGGCACCGACGCTAAAGTCAGCGGTCTGGAGCAGCCCACTCGCACCCTCTCCCTTGTCTCCCCTCCTACCACCCCACTGGATCGGCTAGCAGACAATGACAATGACAGCCAAGGTAGCCAACGCATGGCCTTTGATGACGGTGTCGATGATCTTCAGGAATTGCATCTGTATCTGCCAATTCCCCTCAACAGTGACGTATCAAACCCGCTTTCTCGCCTGTCGCAAGAGGATACGGACAATATGCTCTTGTTCCGTAATCTTTTCGCTTTCCTCCTAGGCCAATCGCTCGTTTCAAGCCCGAAATCTGCATCACTGTTCAGTATATTCATGGACGTTGCGGTTTTGTTGGCCCGATTTGAGTTTACCAATCTTGATGGCTCCAACTTTGGTGAAACTGCTACTTCTAGCTTCAGCAACTACTGTGATGAATTGCGCTTGGCCGATGTGCGTAAGAGTCGTGAGAAGACGATCGAGGCCATTGTGCTCGGTGAACGTCTACGATACTTCCCGCTATACTTGGAGGGATTTGTTCACGGTGTCGGAAAGTTGGATGAAATCAAGCAACTGCGAAGCCCCAAATACAACTTTATCCACCCCATTACCCAGAAGCGTCTTGAGCGTGGCTTCATTGACCTTGACACTCGCCTGCGTGGTCTTTACTCCAAACTCGAGGATTTCGACTTCCCTTCGGTTTTCTCCGGCAGCGCGAACTCGGCCACTTCGATGGAAAGCAAACTTCTCCGCTTCAGGAACTGGAAGTCTGGTTTCATGGAATTCCGTCGTTTCACAATGCAGTTCTACCGCCAAAAGTATGGCAGCTGGCCGCCCAAAGCCCGATCAAAGAAGAACGAATTTGAAGAGAGTGGATTGAATCGTCAGCTTCTCCTGGACTTGTATCACGATTTCACCGATCTCTACGATCTTTTGGTCGATCGCACCTCTTTGACGACTCGTACTATCGACGCTTCCGGCTCTGGTGGCGACAATTCCTCTACAGATCTGAAGGATGTCACTCTCCGTGCTCTCCGGCATATTCTCAGCGAGTACGATCGTAGTACTCCACCCGTCCTTCCTCCGATTCCTTTCGATGTTCCACAAATCCCTTCGCTGCAAGTGCTGCACCGAAAACCCCTGGAAACCAAGAAGGCTGGTAAGTTGCGAACCAAGAAACTCAAGAACGCCGACATCAACGCCGTCTTGATGGACTCATACACTCGGGAGAGCATGCGCCCTACTACCTTCATCGAAAGCTTCATGCAATTTGAGCGGCGCTCTGCCGCTGGTAAGACCTTGGAGGACATTATTGATCTGCGTTGCGGTCAATGGATTTTCCTCTACGCTGTCATCCAGTCTCTCCCTATGCTTGTTGTAGACGTCCCGGAGGTCCGATTCACTGAGGGTGTTGAGTATTTCCTCTCTATTGCTCCCCGTGGTGGAGCACCTTGGATTCAGAACGATACCAAGACTGCTCGCAGCTGGTTCGGAGTTGCTGGTGGAGCGGGTGTTGTCAGCTTGCCTTCTGATGTGGTTATCAATGGCGTCGAAGGTGTTTACCGCCGCAGCCACTGCTGGCAGGTCGCTGAACAATGGGCGGAGGCTGGTCAACTGATTGAACCTCCCTTGGTAGAGGACTGGGAAGAGGATGAGTCTTCGATCTCATCACCCTACCCGGCTCAGCAGTCCTCGGCTGGCTCTTCTTCTGAGCAGCAGGCTCAAATGATGAACATCCCTCACGGTGGCCTTACACCACCTCCACCCGCTATTCCCCGCCAACGATCTCCCGCGGCTGGAGCCCGGGCCGAGCACCGTCACTCTATCTACCCTGGGTTGGAGGCCCTGCCATTACCTGCTGGCATTGCCCCCCTTGAGCCTCCTTCACGTCCCATCAGTCGCTTCAACCCCAACATGAGCTTCGATGATATCCTGAAGGAGGTTCCCAAGAAGGAGAAGGGTAAGAAGCATTAGATGCGTCTTCCTCTCCTTGTGTTCTATTCTCTTGATTCTTCATTTGCTTCTGGCAGCATTGCGTTGCTTCCACCCACCTTTGGCCATATCTAGCCTTTGGTCTTTTTTTCTCCTTTTCCTTTTTTGATTCTTTTTTTTATTTTTATTTTCCCTTTTGAATGTTTGTGGATAGGCGCATATTTGTGACATGAACCACTGGGTCGGAACGGCGTGATTCACAGGAAAGTGAGGAGAGAACAAAAGCAAACCATTTAATGTATTGAAGAAGCATGGAAGAAGGCACAGCACTATCATAATTATCAGCATATCAGCATCAGCATCTGTGGAAGACCTGTCTTCACTGATTTTTTCTGTTCTTTCTTCTGGCCCCTTTTTGTGTTGGATTCCCCCTACTTCTTATAATTTGTTCTTTATTGTATTTTGAATGGAGATTGCTGGATAGAAAATAGAGATTTGACTATCTGCACCTACACATTTGATGAAAACTGTAAAGCCCGTGGTGCTGGACACATTGCGCTCTAGGTTTGTTTGTGTTTGTCTCGGCATGACCATCAACCCTGGAACCATGGATCGTGACCACGAACCTTGGATGTCCACCACTTTGTATTTACTTCCTTCTATGCTACATTAGATTCTGCGCAAATTTCCGAGGTCCCACCAATCTAAGACCCTTTGGAATGCAGCGAAGGCTGCCTTTCGTTGAATTGCGCCGACCCACAAAAAAGGGCAACCTTGAAATACGAGGCTGTGCCGCTGTGCTGCCACGCCCGCTCATCGCACCCAATGGAGCCTTTTCACATCATGCAGGGATGGATTAGTTTGCTGATCCTTGCCCTTACCTAATAGATACTGACCTGATGGTTGGCCTAGCCATACCCTGAAGAATCTTAACTGACCTTTCTTTTTCTCTCAATGTCCGAATATCTTCCAAAGGCTCGCCCCAGTGTTAAAAGAAGAATACTCGGGTGACACCACACCAGCCATGACCTAATCCCTTTGTGGACTAGATGGGCAGAAAGCAAAAAGCCAATAAATGACTCCCTCCTATATACCCTCCCAGCCGACCATTATGCCCCGTTCCCGCTCCAGCATAACAAGCGAAGGCCACGAACGCCTCGAGCCACGACTCCTTCGCGCTGTCGAAAATGACGACGTTGAAGCCCTCCACAACATCATCACCCTCGCGCGCGAATATGGCCAACTCTCCGACAATTTTCTCCGTATTGCTCTCATGCGCAGCGCTGAGCGCAATCGCGTTACGACAACTGAGTATCTTTTGAAACTCGGTGCCAAAACTGATGTCGCGAGCAACAGACTCTCGCCGCTCCTCCGCGCCGTCGACCGGGATCACTACCAGATTGTACGACTTCTTCTAGACGCCGGCGCATCGCCCGACAGCACGGATAAGGAGGGCCGGAGCGCGCTCATGACAGCGGCGTGGAAGAATCATGCGGATGTCCTACAGCTGCTGATTATGCGGGGTGCGGATGTGAATGCGCGCGATTTAAGAAAGAGAAACGTGTTGCATAATCTTGCAGCAGATAAAGAGTGTTCATGGGGATGGGGCGATGAGATCGTGAGATTGCTGCTGAGGACAGACTGCAAGATAGATGGAGTTGATGGACAGGATGAGCTTGGTCGCTCCCCATTGCATTGGGCTTGTGCGACGGGAAATTCGCGTCTTGCCGAGCTACTGCTTACTCGGCCGGACGGGGGACCGAAGGCGGAAATCGATGCCATGGAGTTGCGGGGAAAGACAGCGTTACATATTGCGACAGCACATGATCGAACAGATATCGTCCAACTACTCCTGACACACGATGCCGCTGTCAATGCTTGCAGTGACGGTGGTTGGACGCCGTTGCATAACGCATGTGACAAGGGATGCGAAGAGATTGTCCGGATTTTGTTGCGCGCGGGCGCGCATATCAATAGCCAGCTCTTGAATGGTGTGACCCCGTTGCATCTCGCAGCACAGGGGGGTCATCGGGAAGTTGTAGAATGCCTTTTGGAGAGACCGGACCTCAGGCGGCGGGTGCGGGATAACTTCGGTAGTACTCCGTTTTTACGTGCAGCGCAATTCAAGAGGAAGGATGTGGTGTTGTTGTTGGCTCCGTTCAACAATGTGAGCTCACTATCGGAAGATGTCAAGCAAGCCTCTGCGGCCTTTGACAGTACCATTGTGGACTTTGGAAATTTCCATAATGAGAATCGTGTGAAGCGAATGTCGGTCTACAACCTGCTGTATGGTCGAGACCCTGAGAATCCGCGCAAGCAGGCTGTGACCACGATCCCGGCTGATAGTCGCGCAACGGAATTCCGTTGGATCCATCTACCGGCAAATAATATGGCTTGGGTTGAGGCTCTTCTGACCAAGTCCTTCATTGAAGAAGGTGCTCATGATGTGGATGGCTTCAAGGGCCTTGAAAAGTCATTTAATTATCAACATCGCGGTCAGAAAATTCACTCACACTTTATGCGGCCTTTGTGCCAGAACACGCCTCGTACGCCAAGACGGCGCGAAGAAGAAAAGACAGAGGAACCACCGACAGACAGCCAGTCGATAGTCACAGACAATAGTTCTGTATTTCGCAAGCAGAAGGGACTAACAGGAAAGGACCGAGGGGGTTCGCTTGATGAAAATAACGAAGGTATTTCAGGGAAGAAGAACAAGCACAATCAAAAACGTGGCAAAACAGGAAGCAACCCTGGAACTCCTAAAACTGACACCAAAGCTAAAGCTCCATGGGGCCCAAGTGATAAAGGGCGCCTCTCGCTTCATCCTTCCTCCCTCTGCAAAGAACCCCCTAGCCTCACATCCGCATGCAATATCTGCGTTTTTATGCCGTATTTGCACTTTGAGACTGCAGAGCGCCGACAGAAAATGCAAGACGCAATCCAACGGGCCGAGAAATTGAACTTCGATTCTCAGCATCTGAAGAAAACTCGTACGCGGGATGAGATGCTGATTGATGCGCATCTTTCGTCTTCCACTACTTCCCTTCATGTTCGCCGAACGTTGGACCAGTTCTTCTATCCAAATATTGATACGCAGAGTCGAGACCAGGACCAGGTTGTATATCGATACCAAACCAAGGGCCCGGGGTGCGAAGGGCAAGGCAACGACCCGAAGATCTTCATGGTCGATCAGCTATGGATGTGGGTTCTGGGTACGAATCTCATTGTGACCAGTTTCCCTCAGCGATGGGATCAACCCAAAAATGATCCACTGAATGTGCTGGATGGGATCATCGAGGACATCAATTCCAAGACACGTGATCCTGTAAAGTCGGTGTATGACCTGGCGATTATCATTACCAATCGATGCTCAGGCGTTTTCGACCGACACCGACTGGGAGATGACGAGTATCAGTTCTTGGACATGTTTGAATCTTCTATTGGTATAGCGACTGATCGAGAGACCCTCCTGTTTAATCGGTTCAATCATGCCTCTGCACAGGCATCGAGTTGGCTAAAGAGTCATCGCAAGCTGAACAAATTTGCCCGTAGCAAGGCCCGTTCCACATCTGGCCGGGACGTGCCAGAGGAAGTATGCTCCGATAGCGACGATGATTATTGTCATGGCGATGGCTCCCCACTTTTTGTTGATGATCTCCTTGATATTGGAGAGGAAACTGATCTTCTGGCCGAAATTAAAGATATCCGCGATGAACTGAACATGATTCGCACCGTGCTGGAGCACCAGAAACACGTCCTTGCGGACTTCCAGGAAGTAATTTGTGAAACCTATCAAGGGCAGCATCGATCCCAACACGAGGTCAAAAAGCGATTCAAAGATCAACAGCGAATGATCGACATGCACCTCAAAGACATTGACCGCATGGATAAACAAGCCGAGCGCATCTACCACTCCATCACTGACTTGCTGGATCTCAAACAAAAACATGCCAACGCTTTCGAGGCCCGTTTCGCCCGTGACCAGGCCGCTGGAACCACTCGTCAAAGCAAGACGATCATGGTCTTCACCATTGTCACCATTGTCTTTCTGCCGTTATCCTTCATCACGTCCATCTTCACGATTAATCTGAAGGAATTTGACAACTTGAAGCTCGAATATGTAGCGAAGTATACATTTGGTGTTGGATTTGCTATTTCCATTCCACTTATTCTGGTTGCGCTCTCCGTGGATGACATTGGAGATTTCTTCCGTCATGGTAGACGCTGGCTGCCCTTCTCTCACCGAGATACAGCCCCTGCTGAGCGTGTGGACGGCAATCATCAGCCATTAGAGATCGAGAAGATACTCAGCCTGGCTCGATCACGCAGAAGTGCTGATTTGGATTATGGACCCAGTTTGCTGCCTGTTTCTACTCGTGGCACTGGCGCCTCGAGAAGGCCACAAGGTCTGTACGCTAATGAATTGGCGAGTGCGACATTGAGGAAGAGTTACGAGATACGACGCAGCGTTGAGTACAGGCCTGCATGATGATTGAACGAGACATGATTGCTTAATTATTTTCTTCTTTATTTGGATGCCGTGGGGTCAATCGGCCATTATATCTATTTTGTTCAAAACGTTGGCTATCTGTTTATACCGTCTAATCAACACTTGAAAATGGTGACGAAAATCGAAACCCAGAACACCAGAATGATAGCAATGCCAAGAACCATGTCATCTCGATCTAAAGAGGCATATCGTATGAATCCGGGACTCGTTCATTCTTTCCATCGCCCAAAATAACGGCTGGGTGATAAAGATTCATTACCACCATGGCGATGAACATGATCAGCGCATCGAAAATATAGGAAAAGGCTTCGTGCGTCATGATATACCCATCAAAGCCATACTTGTACTCTATCAGACGGAAGATCGATCGAACCAGGATCAGTATGCTGACCACGTACAGCGCCATCAGTACTGTGGCCCAGTTCCGTTGCTTCCAGCCTAGGGATCGCGTCATTTGACGCTCTGATGAAGATTTCGTGGTTGGAAATTTGTTGATGCGGACGTGAAAGACAGCCGCGACGACCACGAAAAAGCCGAAGAAGAGAAGTTGCACGACCAGACCACCGATGACAACGTTGGATCCAGTGTTTCGGGTACTAGTCTTCTTACTAGCCATGAGACCGCCACCTTGAAGCCTGTGTCAGTCATAGCCTACATATTTTCTAGAGAAGCGCTCACCAGCTGATTGCATCATGAACGACAAGACATCTCCCGCAACAAAGATCTTGGTCATCCACTTCACGGGGACGAGACTCAAATTCTCGGCATTTAGATAGGCCACCAGGCGGCCAAGGACCATGTAGATGGAAGCAGCATACAGTGTTGGTGCGAGAAGAGTCATCACGGATTGCAAAGCATAGATGGTGACGGAGCCTAGGTCATTATGGGCGATGATCCGGCAAATATAACCAATGATTTGGACTGTTATTCATCAGCGGAGGCCAGAACAACGTCTGAAGCGTTCACCTACAAATCCCCCCAATCACGAAGGGAATGAAGTACCAGCATCGGGCTTTAGTCAATTGCCAGATGTGGTAGGCTGTGGTGATGACAAAGAGGATAACGAAGATGGCGGCCGCCGCGATGGACGGATCATACCCGTAGAGATTACTATGGTTCATGTTGAAGTCGCACATGAACTTGATTAAGAGATATGGAGTTCCCAGTCTTTATTAAGGGATTTCATTTTCGGCTCCAAATCTACCCTTTTCTACGTTCGCTGGAGTCCATGGGGTCTTGAACAGGTTACTGATTCGGTTTCTAGAAGCCAATTGGTTCGACCCCATCGTATTCGGTACGTTGTAGAGCCAAGCGATGCAGATTTGAATCAGATCTAGCGGCCTGGGTGAGTCGTCAGCGACAGAGAAAATCTCCGTGCAGCACCCGTTGACCGAGTGGTCCCGGTGGAGTCTGGAGTCGAATCCGTATCCGTATTCGCAACCCGCCGTAACCGTATTCGAATACTTCTTCTCATGCTCGCCCCTTCTTCTTTACACATCGTTATAATGGGACCTCGAAGGACACACCGTAAAAGCCGCAATGGGTGTCCACAATGCAAAGCGCGCAGATTGAAGGTTTTTCGCCCTTATCTAACTCCCCCGATCTACCCGAGTTACTTATGCAGCTAGTGTGACGAACGACATCCATGCACCAATTGCGTTAAACATGGCATTTACTGCGAGTTTGTCGCTCCGACTGAGCCACAGGATTCAGCGCGGGCGACCCCTGCATCTACTGTGTCGCCAGTGGCTCAGTCCCAGCCGACCCAGCCGACCCAGCAGACCTTGACACAGCCGCATCTATACCCGCGGCAGCCCATCAATGTGGGGACTCCGGTCAATTATCATACCAATGAGACAGGACAAAAGTTCGATCTGCTCGGTATTCTATCCGAATCTCCCCCGGACCCGTCGTTGCGGGCGCCGGAGGATTGGGCTTTAGATCTGGAACTGATGCATCACTACTGCACTATGACGTGCAACACATTGACAGTCCGTGAAGATGCACGATATGTTTGGCGTGTTATCATGCCTATCGAAGGTTATGCTAACCCGTATGTAATGAATGGTCTGTTGGCTATCGCTGCCTTACATCGTGCATTCCTGGCACATACTCCGCAACAAAAAGAGCGATATGTCAATGCGGCGGCGTACCATATCACGACGGGATTGAAAGCTTTTCGAGAACTGATCGCCTTGCCTCTTGATCCTAAAAATTGGCAGCCGGTCTTTTGCTTTGCTGGGATGATCAATGTGCATCTGATGGGTACACCGACCAGACTGGGCGTTAGTCGGTGGCCTGCACCGATCTCGAATGTGTTGGATCTGTTTGGAAGTGTCAAGGGGCTCCAAGTTCTCATGGAACCTTTCTTGCATTCTATTAGGAAGACTCAATTGGCTCCGTTGGTGAACTCTATCTGGCTTATAGATCCGCAGCTCATTCCAAGGTAGGGGATTTATTCGTAGATGGGAACTGGGGGAGTTTGAATGACTAATTTGTATTCTGGTTCAGTCAAGCTCAAATTGCCCAATCTCTGCTGCCACCAAATTTCTGGATGCAAGCATCCCAACTACGTGCATTTATTCATAACTACCCATTCGCCCCGGCTCCACCCGCCCAGACCGGCGGGGATCCTGAAACCGCGAGTGAACCATCCGATCGTCGAAAAGAGTATATTGACGCCCTTGATGCATTTGAAAGAGCAGCACGATGCATTGAGCTCGCAGGGACCAAGGTTGAATGGGGCATGGTCTTAATATTTGCGCAATCCCTGTCGAAACCGTTCCATGATGACGTTGAAGCGCATGAACCGGCTGCGTTGGTTATTATGGCATACTACTGTATTCTGGTCCACCTTGTGGATGATATTTGGTTCACCAATGGACTTGGATGGCAATTAATGGAAGATATTGAGAGCAAGATCCGCCCTGAATATCGGGAGTGGCTGACTTGGCCGAAACAATGGGTCTTTGAGCGACGAGGGTACCCTTTGTACGTGAGTAAAGAGTGAAAAGCTTTTGGGATTTAATATAGTGAGTATTCTATCTCGTTCTCTTGGCTTGGCTATGGATTGCTTACAATTTACAGTAGAATAGAGGGCAGAAAGGTTCATGTATAGCACTCGTGTTAAGAAACGAGTGCAGTTTGTTATTCAATCCGCAAAAAGCACTAACTTAATTTTCAATCAAACCAACGCCATATCATCCCGAAGTCATTTTTGAATGTCATGACCTACTGCACAGCAATCTTGACGTACTCGCGTGCTTCTTCCTCGGACTCGCTGTCCTCCGACTCCCCGGGAGTGACTGTCCGGCTCACATGCTCATCCATCATCATAGCATCTTTCTCCTGCACGTCGCCATCTTCAACAAGAACCTTCTTTGACTCGGGTTCAATTTTCGGGACAGTCACGTTCAAAATACCATCCTCGAGCTTGGCGACGATGCCATCAACAACAACGGGAGCCGGAACGTGGCGCGTACCAAGACGAATCTCGCGCTCGAAAACACCCACCTCGCGGGCTCGCTCATTCATCACAAGGCCTTGGTGTAGATTCTCATCCATGCCGGGTCGGTGGATAATACCGGTCAGACGCAGGACGGACTCTTCAGCGTCGTAGTCGACGTTCAGGTCGCTCTTCTTCGCACCAGGCAGAGAGACGTGCAAAATGTAGTTGGCTGGGGTATCAAAGACATCAACGGATGGCTGGAAATCAACGTCGTTCTGTACGAGAGGAAATCCAAAGAGTGCGCTCATTTGGCGCATGAAGTCCTTATCGGGTCCACCGTGGTGCATCCCACGGCCTCGAGGTCCTCCTTTGGGACCTTTGTGTCCCTTGTGGCCCTTGTGGCCCTTTCCGCCCATCGGACCGCCGAAGCCGAACATGGGGTGTGCGTGGTGGTGAGGGGGACCGTAGGGGCCGTGGCCTCCAAAGTGACCGGGACCACCAAAATGACCTGGGCCTCCAAATGGGCCGAATGGGCCAGGGCCTCCATAAGGACCGTGGTGATGTCCACGACCACCGAAAGCACCAAAACCAGGACCACCCTTGTGGCCAGGTCCATGTCCGTGGCGGCCCTTGCAGCCCTTACCTCCGCGTCCGCCTTTACCAAATCCGCGAACGTGGTCGCCGTGACGACCCTTGCCGCCCTTGTGTTTGTCTTTGCGGCAGCGGGGCTCGTCGGATTCGGATTCAGAAGAGGAGTTCACCTCTTTATCCTGGGTCTCGGGAATCTTCTCTGTGGATGCAGTCGCCTCTGCGTTCTCCTCTGCGGATGCCTCGACATCATCGTTCTCGGGGTGCTCCCACTCGCCGCGGCGGTGGTGGTGATGACGGCCACGAGGGCCATGTTCGCCGGGACCTCCCCAGCCCCAGAACTGGGGAGGACCGTGGTGGCCATGGTGGCCGTGGTGAGGGGGGCCTCCATATCCCCAGAAGTGAGGAGGAGGACCAGGGGGACCGGGTGGTCCATGGTGAGCGTGTGGGCCATGGTGATGACCTCCACGCGCAAAGAAAGGGTGATCTTCAAGACCGGTGGTTGGAGGACCCCAAACATGGGGATTGTTGAGGTGGTAGATGGAAGCCATCTTGAATTATCAAAAAGTTGAACGGATGTAGAGCTGAGAGTTTATGTTGTAAAGTTGAAAGGTTGAAAAGGCTGAGAAAGGAAGAGAGTAAGAATAAGACACAAGTAAATAATGTGGATGTTATTGATGAAGCTCTCGAAGGATTAAGCTCTTTATATACTTGTGGATCCAGGCAGCCACAGATAGTGAGTGTAGTCGTCAGCCACGCAAGCTCGTACCACAATCGTGCTGCCTTGGTCGACACCCCACCTTATTGGCCCTACGGCGCCTCCGAAGCTTGATAAGTCCGAAAAGTGTATACATTGGGAATTATCCGGTCCAAAAGATGCATATCCGAAGGCCGTGCAAGTCTCTCCAGCTCGGGGAGGCGAAATGTTTGGACCGGATCTACCCTGGAAGTATCAAATGGGGAATCCAAGTCCGAAACGTGACATAAATCCGAGATTCTGAGTCATGGAGCGCCACACTGCGCCACAGTGGCGCGTCACCAAATCAACTCGCTTTGAAGCGCAACAGTACCGAGCGCAAACTTGAAATGATTGGATATGGATATGCAATACTAAAAAATTAGAGTATTCAAAGGGCGTTGCTCGGACCTGAAGGCTCATCCAGAACCTTGTAGATGACCCTTTCCAAATATGAGAAAACCAACTTATGACTAAGGTGTCTAGCCTAAGGCATGTATCATAAACAGCGACAGGATTCGCAAAGTATAGACACGGCAAAGCTCATTGATATCAACGTGTCACTTCACTAATTACGTTGAGTCAATGAAAAGCAACCTTATAGCTCTTCAGCTTATCCGCTTCGTAAAACCGCAATCGTCGTGGTGAATGGAGACGCACGCAGTAACCCTTTCACTTCACGCAGGATGAGCTACAAAGCTACTCAGTCGAAGCCGAGGGCTTAAAGGAGTTCAGCACCGTTTTTGCAGTATTGAGACCTGGTTCAAAGAGACGGCTGGATGAATAATGAGACCTTTGATGTTGCACTTCAATTCCTCTCGGAACTCAAAAAGCAGGGTCTTGGGAATATGACCGGGGAAGAAAGGGTCGTTCTCGAGAGACCAATCCGTTGGGCCAGAAGAATTGACTGGGTGAGATCGCACAGCAATCTTATGCGACCAGGGGACATGCTACAAATAGATCTGGATACTGGATTCGCGTGCTCTAGAATTATCATGTGCCTTGGTTGAAGGCTATCTATTCCATACGCTTGGCGGAATGCATCTTCCAGTATCATAGGATAGAAGAAATGGTCCTTATAAATCTGAACTAATGATGTTTTCCAATAACTTAAAAGTTGAGTAGAACATTAAGTGACTCTGGTAAATGACCAGAGCAATATTTCATGATTCATTACTCCCTGTCTCGTTTATATTTGGGTTGAAATCGCTGGATGCACTTCAGCCTCTTGCGTCTGAACTGACGACTGCGGTGGTCATGAGCTGCGAGAACTGATCCAGACCCCACAGGTCCGATTATCGTTATTCTGGTCCCCGAATCTTCACAGGGTCTCCAGTATTGCATCCGCATCTTTCTCTGTGGTGGCGCAGCGTACCATTATATCCCTTCTGTTGGTCGATCCATCTAGCGAGACAGCTTCATGTGGCGGTTCACATCCTTATACAGCAGGTAACGGAATGGTCCAGGGCCACCAGCGTAACAGGCCTGCGGACAGAAAGCACGCAACCACATAAAGTCACCCGCCTCCACCTCGACCCAGTCCTGGTTGAGTCGGTATACTGCCTTTCCTTCCAGAACATACAGTCCGTGCTCCATAACGTGAGTCTCGGCGAAAGGAATGACACCACCCGGCTGGAAAGTCACGATCGTCACATGCATATCGTGACGCAGATCAGTGGGGTTCACAAAGCGAGTAGTGGCCCAAGAACCATCAGTATCCGGCATGACAGTGGGCGCGATCTCCTTCTCGTTCAGGAAAAGCGGGTCGGGGAAGTCGAGTCCCTCCACGGCTTCATAGGTCTTTCGGATCCAGTGGAACCGGGCGGTCGCGGAGCCCGTGTTGCGGAGGGTCCAGCCGCTCTTCGGAGGGAGATAAGCGTAGCCGCCTTCGGTGAGGGTGTGCGCTTCTCCGGCTAGCGTCACGGTTACTGAGCCTTCGACTACAAATAGCACGCCCTGTGCGCCGTCGTCTAGTTCGGCTCGGTCACTTCCTCCGCCAGGTTGCACTTCCATGATGTATTGCGAAAAGGTCTCAGCGAAGCCGGAGAGGGGGCGGGCGATCACCCATAACCGGGTCTGGTCCCAGAAGGGGAGGAAGCTGGTCACGATGTCGCTGAAGGTGCCCTTGGGGATGACGGCGTAGGCTTCGGTGAACATGGCGCGATCGGTGAGGATCTGGGTCTGCGGCGGCAATCCACCGGTGGGTGCATAGTAGGCACCGATCTTCTTGTCGTTCACCATGGTGGGGGGCGGGTTTGCGAATGTGAGAGTGCTGTGTAGGTATTGAGGTGGAGGTTCGTGGAAATTCGCGAGAAAGGGGGTGCAATTGGTATTTAGCTATCTCTGATCAGCCCCGCAGATCAAATGTAATTCTCCTAGGTTCTTTGGTCCACTTGAAGACCGGCGTTGACCGACGCGGGGCAGACCGACGGTGCCAGCCGTGGGACATTCGGCTAAACTCCGAGGGAAAGTCCGGATCCACTCCAGACGTGCTTCATACATAGCAGCCGTTGGGACGCGGGGTAAACTTTGAATTCGCCTCCGAAAGCCCTCGGGGCTCGAAACGGAGCTTAAATGAACCTGTAGTCTACACACCTGACCACAAATCGAGGGTGATGTCGTGTTTTCCATGCGACTGAGCTCTACCTGGAAGTGATCTGTGCAATTTGCTGATTAGTATAGTAGATCTACAGCGATGCTCTCGATAGAAAGCCTGAACTTCAATGTTGGTTCCATGTGATTATACAGACAAATGCTCACTATTATATATGGCTGACTTGACAGTTTACCGGCCAAAGTACTTCAGCTCTAGATATCGTGCTGGGACATAAGACAGTGCCGTCACCACAAAGGTAAATTCGTTGGCGACATCACCACCATAATCACCAATTGTTTTGGCAAGAGGCCCAATGAACCACGTCTCATCCATACCCATACACCACGCCACAACTCCGAGGATGAATGCAACTCCCGCACCGATACCCAACGGCAGCCTGGCCGGGTCATTCCACCCTTCCAAATCATAGTTGTCAAAGTTGCCCTTGCGGAAGATATAGTGTTCCTGGAACAGAATCACGGCATAACTCGTGCACCAGTACCCCAGCAAGCTCAGGAAATCTTGCAGGTAGGTGTTGAGCTTTTGTCGGCCGCCAATCGACAGGGCAAGGATGCAGACGAAGCAGAAGAGGGTCCACAGGAGACGAGGCACACGGGCGAGGGGGCGGGCCAGTTGCTGGAAGGAAATAGCAGAGCTGTAGATGCTGATCACGTTGACATTGATACCGGACAAGACGAGGAGGGTAAGGAGGAATTTCGCAAATCCGCGAGGGTGCAGCATTTCTTGGATCAGGTAGCCGATTCCCTGGTCGTACGCATCGGCCCATTCGGGCTTGTTGTTCAGCGCGGAAGCAGCGAGACAACCGGCCACCATCCCAATGGAGGTCGGGATTGCAATGCCGAAGGTGGTCATGAGGAAGACCTTCACACGGCTGACATTGGCCGGGTAGTGCACATAGTAATCGCTTGCCATTGTGCACCATGATGCACTAGATCCATAGACCACGGCAATCAAACTGAGCACTTCCCCCGAGAAGGTGGCTCCTGTCACCGTTGCGGGTGCTGTATTATCTGCGTACTGGCCGGTCTCGCCGTAGATGATCAAGAAAATAATGAAGAAGATCATCCAGGCCCATCGCTCGTAGATCAAAATGGCTTTCAACCCGACGAACGAGATGAGCAGGGCCACCACTGCCAGAATGACGATACCCAGAATCAAGGAGACGTGGCCGTCCGACACAGCAGTCAAGGCAAGGCCTCCGGTGATACATGCGACGGCCGCCCACCCGAGTTGCTGAATACCGTTGAGCAGGGCGACAAGTTTGTTCGGCCACCAACCGAAGCTGTATCGACTGACACTGATCTGACGCAACCCAGTCACAGCGCCGAAGGTCGCGCAGAACCCACTTAGCGATGCAGCCAGGATAGATACGAAGATGGTAATGAGGATCGATTGTTTCAGGGTCAACCCGAATTCCCACCCGAGAAAGCCAGTCGCAAAGCAGGAGGTGTTCATGGTGCCACTTGCCCACAGCAACGCCATCGACAGTTCCTCCACCCAATGCACGGGTTTCTTGTCCTCGGCGCGTTTACGAGTGATGGCCTCCGACTCTAGGCCCAGTGCCTTGTCCATGCGGGCCTCCAAAGCCCGAATCTTGGCCAGAAAGCCGGTCTCGTGCGCAGGAGCGGCATGATTGTCGACCGGAGCCACATCGACGGAACTCTGGTCGACAGTGGAGAAATTGACCTTGTCAAGGCCCTTTTCTGGATCGAAAGCCATGGCCGCGGGGGAAGCAGAGGTCTAACGGTATACTGAGAAAGAAAAAAAAAAAAAAACAAAGCAGAATTTAAAGACCGGCACGTGGACACAGGGCTGCGGGGAATAGATAACACACCAAGCTTATTGCATGATAGGCTGAAGTGTACATTAGCGCTGCGGAGTCCGGTCGACTAAAATTACCGGTCCAGTTAGCCTTTGCCCCTCGACCAAATACCACACGCCACGCGAGATGCTCATTGGCTGGCGCTCGGGCTATCTAGAGACCTTCTCTAACAACCTCAATCAGGGAACGGGTCAGCGTGGTATGTGGCAAAGTCATCCTGCGCCCGATAGATCCGTATTTCAGGGTTCAGATACCACATGATCAAGATGCGGCGACACTAGAGTATCTCGTCCGTCGAGCCAGTCTCCAGGGCATACTGAAACTGACAAGCCTTTCGAGAACGGGGAAAAGCTTATCTAACCGAGTTCCAAGGTTTATTGTGGAGATAACCTATCTCGACACGGCTCGAGGTGGTACTGCCCCTATCTCTAGGGCTGTTCAGCTGAAATGATATCCCTGACAAACTGAGTTCATTGGCACGTCTAATTGAGCTCGCACCTGTTCCACCATCGAATGTTCATGCATGCGCGGCCCAGTTAAACGAGTGGGCCGCTCGGCTGAGTGGGCCAAGACTCCGCATATCTCGATGGCCCAAGATCCCTGTTATGGGTTGCTTGATGAGACTGTTTCTTGAATAACGATATACTTTTTTTTTGATTTATGATTCTGAGAACTACCTAGGCAGCAATGAGGTCTTGGCATAAATTGGCACAATCTATAGATACCTTGGAAGGCAGCGAGATGTCTATCTTTCTATCGCTTCAGGTGTGAATATATGAGAATCTACTTGTAAATCGTCATATGTCTGGTCGTAAACAATCAAATGGCTGCCCAATATCTCTCTACCTAGGCTTACATGTGGAAGTCACAGCCCTATACCTTCCGCACCACATGTGGGGGTACCCTATGCAGTAGTGCCCTTGTAGCCTCGGTCCCTTCTGGACTGACAGGTCGACTTTACCATGACAGGGCTAGGATACTCACATTGTCCTCATGTTCTAATTCCTCAATCTTAACTATGGATCATTGATGATTGATATAGATCTAGCTGTGGCATGATTGTGGGGTACGAGGCTAGCGTTGTACGCACGTGACCCGGCGTGTTTGGATCCTGAGCATCTTTCCTCTTCTTTCTTCTCTTTGTCCTCCGCTTTCTAAATTCATGCAGGATCACATTCGTTTGACCAGGAAAAACACATTAAGCTGAATTGTTCCAGCCTGATTCTCCCGATCCAGAGTGGCACGTGTGCCTCTTCACCGATGACCCCGAACGGTTCCGGCTTTCCCCTTGAGGATAGAACTCCAACTAAATAACATGGCGGGAGCACGAGAATCCGACCCCGGGTGGATTCCAGTGGATCTGATCAGAGAAATGTCCCTGAGATCCCGATCCGAGTCTACCCTTCGGACTCTGGCGCATGCCTGTTGCACATTCCGAGGATGAAGTCATCAATGTGTCAGCGGAAGTCTATGACAAGCTACACTTCAAAAGCACACTCGGTTCCACTCATATCATAACTAATAATACAGGTCTCAATTGACTCACAGCAGTACTTTCGAACACTGAAATAATGCCACTCCGGCCGCTGGGTGCTTTGCGCCCTCGGCGCTTTCCTTTCTCTGCGCCTCTCGACCATATCGCCCGCAAACCATTGATTCCGACATCTTCAACAAACCTCCAGTATAGAAGGTTTGTCACGCAGCTCGAGCATACCAAAGCTGCCCACCAGTCCGATGCAGAAAAGGAACGTGTAGTTATTCTCGGATCGGGTTGGGGCGGATATACCGTGTCGCGCCGGCTTTCTCCGCAGGCGTTCTCGCCCATCGTCATCTCACCGCGCTCCTACTTCGTCTTCACGCCCCTCCTTACCGATGCGGCAAGTGGATCTCTCGACTTCTCTAATATTGTCGAGCCTGTGCGCGACCCGCATGCCAAAATCGACTTTATTCAAGCTGCGGCCAGGTCGATCGACCTGAAGAGAAAGACTATCTTATGCGAGGCCACTGTGGTAAAGAGTGGTGTCACCGAGACACCGCGAACACCTGAAGATGAAAGACCAGTTGACGAAGGCCCCGAGAGCAAAACAAACAATCAGAAGCAAGCATCCCGCTGGTGGGAGCAGGGCGAGATGTTTGAAGTTCCCTACGACAAGCTTGTCATCGCGGTAGGCGCTGTGAGCCGCACCTTTGGTACTCCTGGAGTGAGGGAAAACGCCTTTTTCTTCAAGGACATTGGTGATGCCAAGCGCGTGAAGCGGCGCGTTCGCGAGTGTTTTGAACTGGCCGTGCTTCCGACCACATCTCCTGAAATGCAGAAATGGTTGCTCCATTTTGCGATTGTCGGGGCGGGTCCCACTGGTACTGAGCTGGCGGCGTCGCTTCGTGACTTTATCTACAAAGATATGATGAAGTTGTATCCGGCTCTCCATGATATCCCTAAGATCAGTCTTTATGATGTTGCCCCTAATGTTTTGTCGTCATTTGATGCATCGCTTTCTCGATATGCCATGGAAACCATGAAGAGTGAAGGCATCGACATCAAGACTTCTCACCACGTGGAGAATCTCCGATGGGGAGCACCAGGCGACCAACCACCCCACGAGATGGATCCGAAGCGTTCCCTCACCCTTAAAACAAAGGAAGAAGGTGAGGTGGGAGTTGGCATGTGTGTTTGGGTGACCGGCAATGCTATGAATAAATTTGTCGGCCAGGCCCTCAACAAAGTCGACGAGTTTCCCACTGACTCTGTCAATGCTAGCTCGCTTTTAACCAAGGATGACCAGTCTTCCTGGGAGTTCAAGAAGGTTTCTAAGAAAGGCGCTCTACTTGTTGACGGACACCTTCGAGTACAGTTACAAGACGATACCGGCCGCACGGCTGTTCTCCAAGATGTCTTCGCGATAGGCGACAACGCTATGATAGAGACTGGAGCACCCCCTGCCACGGCCCAGGCCACCTTCCAAGAAGCAAAATGGCTAGCAAAACATCTGAATGAAAAGGACCTGGACCAGAGCCCACCTTTTTCGTTCCGCAATATGGGCACGATGGCGTACATTGGCAGCGAGCGGGCTCTGATGCAAATCCCTCACGATGACCGAAACGGCGGCCGCAATAAATACCTGCCTGAAGGAATCACGGGCAGAATGGCCTCGTTGGTTTGGAACGCAGCATACATCACCATGAGCATCAGCTGGCGTAATAAGTTGCGTGTTGCGTTCCGATGGACCCTCAACCGGCTGTTCGGAAGGGACATATCACGTTTTTGATCAGTAGTCCTAAGCCTACAGATGCTACTCATTCAACTCTGATCATAATCAAATGCCCTATGGGCTATCAAAGCCCCATTTATTGGAAGGGACAAACTGCATTTCGTTGGGATATAGTAAACGTGAATCATAGGGAATATCTGAACCCGGGTATCTGCTTGTCGGTCTTGTGGTTCTGCGATTCAATGATATCGCGGAGATCGCCTTCGGATACTGTTGGTTCTCGCGAGTTTCGTCTTCTATTCTCCCAAATGTAGTACACGAATAGCAAGCCTAAGAAGAAGATGCCAAGCACCAACCCACACAAGGAAGCCTCAATACCGCTCTGTACGAATTGAATCAGTAAAACAGCACTGAACAGAGAAGAGAAACGACGTACCTGGTATACTGGCTCTTGCGACGCGAAGAAGAACTGAGGTCCGACAATATTACCCACGCAGTATGCGGCAAAGATGGCCACACTGATCGTACTCCGCTTTGTCGCACCGGCGACATTGGAGGTGACAATACTCAAACTGAGTGGAATGTTGACTGCGAACGCAGCAACGAAGGCTAGACCAACCAATTTGGCGATCTTGTGAATGTCATTCAGTGTGTAGATCAGAACGATACCAATCACAGCGACGATCACGTTCAAGATCATAGCCATGATACGCGATGATTTGATGTACGTGGCGATTCCTGCAGTGATGATCAGGAAGACTAGTTGCGAAGCACCCATGGGCATCTGCAGCAAGAGAGACTTGAAGCTAGAGTACCCGAATCCTTCAATAATGATGGCGGAGAACTGTTCATGTTAGCCAGCTGCTCAGAAGTCTGGACTGCCTTTTCCACTTACGCTGGTGAGTCCGCCGTTGCAGAGATTGACACAGAAGGTGTAGAGCACCAGGAACCATGCCTGTGGGTCCTGTGCAGCCTCCCAGACCTGGCTCCATTCGAACACCTCAGTCGCCTCAACAGTACCCGTCTTGTTCTTCAATGTTCGTTGCACAGCGATGACGCGCTCGGTCTCGGTGAGGAAAGATGCCTTTGCGGGAGAGTCGGGGAGGACGAAGAATAGGATGATGGCGTAACCAGAGGTGATTCCACCGAGCACAAGGAACAGCAAGCGCCAGCTTTGAAGCGACGAAGCGGTGTTTCCAATGCCGTATGCAACCACGCCACCGATGATGTTAGCAACGCAGTTACCGATGAACCATGCTCCCTGGCTGTGAATTGAGTTAGTTGATGATCTTTGCCTCCAGTTTGGGGCTCTTACCGAGCGGGTTGCTCTTCTCTCTTGTAGAACATTCCCGTGATAAGGCCGAAGCCTGGTGCGACAGCAGCTTCACCAACGCCAAGAAAGAAGCGAGCGGTGATCAAGCCTGCAAAGTTCTCGCAGGCTGCATGACACATGAGAATTCCACCCCATAGGAATCTGGATCCATGTTAGAGAGAACGCCCAGGGGGTTGATCGGATAGACAGGAGAGCATACACTGATACAGCCAGGTACTTCCCCAGAGGAAGGCGCACGATCAAGTACGATGTTGGCCAACTCCAGGCCAGGTAGCCGAAGTAGAAAATGGCGGAACACCATGTATATTGTTGACCAACCAGGCCCTGGGCTTGTTAGTGGTGAAAGGGAAGATTCAGGAGGCAGAACTTACCAGATCTGATCGGAGGTTGAGAAGAGTTGCTTGACTAAGCGCGAGTTTATCCATGTACTGAAGCATATAACAGATTCCCATTACTGGGATCATGCTGGATGATATGAGCACTTGGGCTGCATCCCGATGGGTGCTTGACTTACAATAGATCCAACTTCCATAATAATCGACGCTCCTCCTCAGGCGAGGCGTGATATTCCGCCACTTCCCCGACACTGGCATCTGGGCCTATCTCATTGTCGATATACGCTGTCTTCTCGTCGTAGCCGGAAGGCTCCTGTGCTTTACTCATGATGTGAGTGGTAGATGATACTAGTCAATGTACGGGACATCAATTGATATTGCGGGGATAAATGCTCTATATAGGCCTGGATCCGAGTAAGGTTCAACGCAAAGTACATGGATCTCGGGATTGATCTGGGTCTCTTATCACAGATACGATGGCGTAGCATGATCTCGCTGGCACAGTAGATATTATTTTCGTGCGTACGTCAAAACATGTAGATAGTCTACAAACATGATCATCACGATAAGATGATAGCAGACTCAACATGGATTACACAAATGCTTTCCTATCACAGCCTCGTGACTTTCCCGCGGGCATTGATCGTGTCTTGGTGAACTGGTCCAAGCCACGAAGTATTCAGGTCGGCAAATCGACGGATATCAATTGGGGGGAAAGATGGATAGACAAGGACGATATCAGGTCGGCAATTGAGGCTCGCTGATTGGTCGATTGAAGCCTCAACCCCCGAGATCCACGAGTTCGGCAATGACGAAGGCTAATTGGCGTCCCCGCATTGGTGGATGTTATCTTATGCCGAGCCCCCGTATAACGATAAGACTTGTGAATCTGATTACCCGATCTCGCCTATATGGACGGTGATTCCGGACGAGACATTTGTCTTAGCAGTTCTCGTTACCTCATCTTCAGGCTCTCAGGCGGAGTCATTGTGGTCGGATATCGAGTTATGTGTGCTCGGATCTCAGTTATGCAATTCTTTCCAGGATACGGGTTTGCGGTGCCGGATGTTCCACTCGTGTGGAGAAGAACCGTACAACGATGGACATAAAAGGAACTGGTTCGCTTTGTGTAGATGATTCGGAAGCCAGTGAAGATTCGTTATTTCCGACATATCCGACATTCAAACCCAATTCAACGTCAGATCCCTAAAACAAATCTAAGACTACCTACCACGATAAAATGGCAGTCATTCCTGTCTCTGTCTCGGCCAAGGAGGCCCAAGTTGCGATCGACGAGGCGCTTGGGAAAGTTGCCAAGCAGCTGCGTGAACTGAATCAATTTGTACGCTCTAGCCCAGATAGGTTGTAGAAATGGATTCTGGCTAACCAGTTCAGATTTGGTCAAACCCCGAACTGGCATATGAAGAGCACAAGGCACATGACGCAATTTGCGACTTCCTGGAGAGCCAAGGCTTCACAGTTACTCGACATGCCTATGGCGTCGATACCTCCTTTGAATGTATCAGTGGCACGGAGGGTCGGATGATCAACTTCAATGCTGAATACGATGCGCTCCCCGATATCGGACATGCTTGCGGACACAACCTCATTGCCACCAGCAGTGTGGCAGCCTTCCTGGCTCTGAGCCACCTGCAGAAGAAGTACAACACTGGCGGTAGAATACAGCTTCTCGGCACTCCTGCCGAGGAGAACGGCGGAGGTAAGGAAAAGCTTCTGAACGCGGGCGCCTATAAAAGTGTTGATATCTCCTTAATGTCGTGAGTTCTACCGTTTGGGGGCCGTATTAGTGCATTCCACTGATGATCGCAGTCACGGTGGACCCAAGAATCTGACCGGAAAGCCCAGTGATGGCGTTGCTGGTGTGTTGATGAATGCTCGCAAGGAGCTGCATGTGGAGTACTTTGGCAAGAATGCCCATGCGGGTGGTAACCCGTGGGATGGCGTGAATGCTTTGGATGCATTGGTCCAGGCTTATAATGGAATCTCCACCTTGAGACAGCAGATCTTGCCCGATGAGCGGATCCACGGTGCTTTCCTTGATGTACCCAAGGTTGCCAATATCATCCCCGCCTACACCAAGTCTTACTGGCAGATTCGAAGCCCGACTTTGGCCGGATTGACGAGCCTTATTGCCCGAGTTCGGAGCTGTATTGAAGGAGCGGCGGGTATGACGGGGTGCACCGTCAAGATTGTGGAGTCAGTTCTGCCTTCGATACTCTCTTGATAATTGCTAACCAAGATGTATTAGAGAGGGGCTTTACACCGACATTGTTCTGAACGAGACCCTGTGTGAGCGATTCAGCGGCCACATGGGCAGCTATGGAAGGCAGATTATTCAGAAACACGACAAGGTGTTGACTGGCTCTTCCGATGTTGGTAAGTCGACTGTCCGCAATCTTTGACTACAGAACCGTTGCTGATCGCCCACAGGCAACGTAAGCTACGCAGCACCAACACTCCACTCCATGTTTGCAATTCCCGCTCCGGAGGGTTCGTTCCCTCACCACCCGACTTTCACTGCTAGTGCTGGAACAGATGAGGCACACCAGGAGGCTCTCCTCACTGGTAAAGGACTGGCTCTTACTGGATGGGATATGTTGACCGATGATAAACTCTTTGAGTCGGCCAAGTCGCAGTGGGAAGGTCAGGTACCTGCCAGTGCCTAGAGGGTTACAAAGTTATTTCTAAAAGAGGATCTCGAATTGTATTTGAATATCATGATAAGAAGATCAATTGATGACTTGATGAGTTGAATATGAAATCTGCCAAGACGTAGTTAGATTTCGAACCGAGGCTTCTCCGCATCCCCGCATTTGCAACATCTCATGGAATCCTCTTCGAAGCCGTGCAGTTAATCCTGTCAACCACCATGGCTTCCACTGAACCGGCATATGTGGCGGTTGCCCAGCGCAAACAAGCCGAACTGGCTGCTGCTATTCCAGCGCAATGGAAACTTCCTACACAACTCATTCCCGCGGGAATGCTCACGCCAGCCGAGTCCATCACCGAGGGTCCGAAGCTGTATGGCCGAGTCAACGTGATGGAGATTCCCCGTACCTGTGGGCTTTTAACAGCCGAGGAGCTAGAGATTACAGAGAAATATGACGTCCGAGCCCTCGTATTGGCAATGACCGAGAGCAAACTCAGGGCTCAGGATGTGGTACAGGGATTCTGCAAAGTAAGAAGCTCCCTTCCTTCCACTTTTGCCAATTGAATGAACTGACTCCGATTGTTTAGAGAGCAGCAATCGCTCATCAGCTGACGCGCTGCTTAACCGAGCCTCTGTTTGATCGTGCAATACACCGGGCGCGGGAACTTGACGACCACCTCCAACGTACAGGTCGTCCCATCGGCCCCTTGCATGGCCTCCCCGTCTCTGTGAAGGACACGTTCAATATCCAAGGTGTAGATTCAAGCATCGGCCTCTCCGCGCTGGCTTTCAAACCTGCCTCCGCAAATGCCCCGCTAGTTGATCTTCTGGAGAGCCTCGGTGCCATCGTCATCGCCAAGACAAACGTGCCTCAAACGCTCGCGACGTTAGACAGCTGCAACCACCTTTTCGGACGGACACTTAATCCACTTAACCGTCAATGGACAGCTGGCGGCAGCACAGGTGGCGAGGGTGTCCTCGTCGCGATGCGCGGAACAATGGTCGGGTTTGGCACGGATATTGGCGGCAGTATCCGTGTGCCGGCGATGTGCCAGGGCATATATGGATACAAGCCGAGCAATGGACGTGTTCCGTATGGTGGACAGGAAAGTGGACAACTTCCTGGAAAAGGTCGGATGGCTCTGCAGGCTGTGGCTGGTCCACTTGCACGCTCGGTCGCAGACCTAGGCGCTATTATGGCTGAGATCCTGCCTAGAGCTGAGCTTTTTGATGAGGATTGTATTCCGGGATTCTGGCCTACGCCTGCATCTTCAGTGCCGGTCAGCCTGACACTGCCGCGCAACTTTACTATTGGTATCCTTAAGACGGATGGTCTTGTCACCCCTTTGCCACCTGTGGCTCGTGTGATTGCCGAAGTCGCTCAACTCTTACGCCAGACTCCTGGTATTGAGGTTGTTGATATCCCCACTCCGCCGGCGATGAACAAGTGCCAGGGACTTGCTGGTCGGCTTATGGGTGTTGACGACGGCTCAAGTATGATGGATCTCATTGAAAGTATGGGCGAGTCTTTAATTCCCTGGTTGCAAGGTCGCTACGGACGTGGCAAGGCATTGGATGTCAAGCAGCTAGCAGCTCTACACGCCCAGCGCTCTCAATTAGAAAAGGAGATGTCAAAGATGTGGACACTCGGTGTATCCCGTGAGAGACGCGTGGATGCTATCATTTGCCCCGTGGCACCGCATCCGGTTCCCCAAATGGACCGCTATAATGCTGTCGGGTACACCTCGTCTTTTGTGCTACTCGACTACCCTGCCGGCACAGTACCGGTGCGCCGGTTTGTCGAGTCTGACCTGGAACTTGGGCAGGAGATGACTTCACCAGAGCTGGGTAGCTGGGATAAGGCGAACCGTAAATTATGTAAGTGTCGAATACCGAATGGGCAAATGACTAGTACTTATGATAGGCAGGGAATGAGAAAACAACCGATCGTCGGGCTTACCTGGACTCGCCATTGAGTGTCCAAGTCGTCACTCCAAAGCAACGGGACTATGAGCTTTTCCAAGCGATGGAAATTGTCGACAGAGCAGTGCAGGGGCGCGTGGCCACTGCAAAGCTGTGAGGCATCAGTCGTATATAGCTGGAATATCGATCTCCAGACCGGTATCGCTCGTAAAGACAGTCTTTCCTACCCCACCAATTATATATATTCCCTAGACAGTTCCACATATCACCATATCTTACGCAAATCCCATATCTATAATTACGCATAGTTATTAATACCCATCTAACGTACATCACTATCAATTGATGTTTTATAAATTACTAGTGATTGTCTCGTCACCCTTTATACTAACGCATTAATATTTCCGTATAGTACTACTCACCATAATTCTGGTACATACCCCTGAAGGTACTATTAAATAATATTATATCTTCCTCTTTAATAAGCTCTAGATACAATCTAAGAAGCCCTTGTTTCATGATTATGAAAATAATGTCAAAGGGGTTTAAAAGCTCAGTGAATTACTCGGCGGGTCCTTCACATTTACACATAAACTTTCAAATCTATCGTCACCAAAGCTACATGGATCTTCGAATTATCTTCTCAAAATACTTTCTTATGGTCATGGATTAAAGTAAGACCTTTTTAAAGCGAGCCCCCTTAATACTGAGTGGTACATGCCTTCCCAAAAGTTGGTTGTTGGGTTGACCCTACCGGACCCGCACTTGGGGAAATACTTACGGTCCCCATTGCAAAAAAGTCAATACTTTGGTGGGAGTACAATTGGTGCAGAATATTCATCCATAGCAGGCAAGAGGATTATCGACTCCCTCGTTGGACCGATTGCCCATTTGATTAATCTTATACTCGTATCGCAATGGGTTGGAAGACCGGTCTTTCCAGGTCTCTACGCGGAGGTTCAAGTCCTTCCGGCGGCATTTCTTTTCTTTTCTTTTTTTTTTTTTTTTTTTTTTTTTTTTTTTTTTGATTATTTTCTCTTACTCTTCATTTTCCTCTTCTTCCTCCTTTTGTCGATGTTCCCTTTTCATGAAACCTGCCACTTCTATAACGGTCTCGTACATTACTGCCACGAAGAAGGTAGATGAGCCACATGTTCATTTCAAGCTACATCACTAGGACACAGAAGTCCAGTATATTGAAATTATCTATCAAAGACGCCCCTTCAACACCGCACCGCCATCGGTCGCAATGACGGCCCCGTTCAAATGACTCGCAGCCCGAGATGACAAAAACACCACCAAGCCCGCAATATCCTCTGGCCGACCCAAACGACCATTGGGCGAGTACTCTTCCAACTCCTTCATTCCGCCCTTCAACTCAATCAGACCGCTGGCCATTTTGGACGGATAAAAGCCAGGTGCGATGGCGTTGATCAGGATATGCCGGGGTCCAAGCTCAACGGCCAGGTTCTTCGCCAAATGAATTGCAGCTGCTTTGGAGATAGAATAACTTGGGGTGGCATTTTCACCGATAGCTCCAATGCCTATCCCTGCCACGGAGGCGGTGATGATTACCCGGGATGGGTCTTCAAGGGTGGCCTTGGCCGTGAGGAGAGGAGTGAGTCTAGCGGTTGTTAATGTGGTACCTCCTTATGATAAATAGTCGGACCTACTTTTGGATTGTATAGAAGATGCTCTTCACGTTCAGATCCATCACCTTGGAAAACATCTTCTCTGGGTGCGTATCGAATTTCTCACCCCAGGTCGCGCCCGCGTTGGCGAACAAGAGATCGACGTGGTCGGTTGTCTTGCCGATTTCAGCAACAAGTCTGTCCAGCTCGGCCATATTGGAGCTGTCAGCTGGCACAGAAATTGCCTGGGCACCGGGTCGCTTGTTGGGGAGGGCATTTAGCGCCGCGACGGCTTCATCGCAAGCCTGCTTCTTGCGCGAGGTGATGTACACCTTTGAGCATCCGGCTTGCAAAAGACTTGCTCGGCGAGTTAGTGAAAGGAATATGGTGAGTTTATAAGGGTTGTAGCTTAACGTCTTCAGAGGGGGGTACAAACCCTGAGGCGGCGTGCAAACCTAAGCCGCGCGATCCACCGGTCACGACAGCAACTTTGCCGTCGAGGGAGAAGATGCTCCCAAAATTGGACAGCCGAACCTGATCAGCAGCTGACATGATTGCTAGAGTAGGCCTTGCAAAAGGAAGTGAAATGTAATTTCCAGGGAATTATCATTTTGGCCGGGGTTCCAAGTATATAGTCATGCAAGCCGAGGCTCATTGACAACCGAAACCCCGCAGATCTGGGGGAATTAGTAATCCGGCAATCCTCCAGTGAGTCAAGTGGAAAATTAACTAGAAGTTGAGCTTATGTGAATTGATAGATTCAATGTACGCAGTGCTTGGATTTTGCCAAGTCAATTTAGCCAACTGGTACATTTAATGGACTGCAGAGATCATGTCAGCAGGTAAGGCTGTTAGCAGCGCCACTTTAATACATTCGGTAAGACCTCAACTTCCACGTTACATACAAATGACTAAGTCGCTATTATCCAGGCTCATCAGCGGTAAACTGTGCATCATACTACATATCAACGTAGCAATGGCGTGCTTCCACATACTGTTAAGCAAGAGTCATCCGCCCATCCAAGACTGATCTTCATGACGAAGTGGATCATCCAAGAACGAATCGCATCATCGGAATGGAAGTAAAGGGTGGACCCCAGAAATGTGCTCAATCTCACGCAGCTTCAATTGACGCGGCACCTTGGGGGTGAATGGAGGGGTTCTTTAAGAGGGGTATTTTACCAGGGGGACCTTGGTGACCCTTTCTCCTTATACCATCACTTGCTTCTCTTCTGGTGACACTACCCCATCCATCAACCTTGAACTCATCATGGCATCCCACACTCTCCCTCCCCTCCCATATGGCTACGACGTAAGTTTCGTTCTAATCAGCTCGGATGATGCATAAAAATCATGGCTCACACCTCCCAGGCCCTCGAGCCCGTGATCTCCAAGCAGATCATGGAACTCCACCACCAAAAGCATCACCAGACCTATGTCAACAACCTCAACGCCGCCCTCTCAGCTCACGCTACCGCAACACAGACAAATGATGTCTCCGCCTTGATTTCTCTGCAGCAGAAGATCCGCTTCAACGGCGGCGGTCACATTAACCACTCCCTTTTCTGGAAGAATCTCACTCCCCCTGGTACACCTGGCAATGATCTGGCCGGTGCGGCGCCAGCTTTGCGGGAGGCCATTAATGCCCGCTGGGGATCGGAGAAGGGATTCACCGACGCTTTCGGAGCTGCTTTGCTGGGAATTCAGGGAAGCGGATGGGGATGGCTGGTTAGTTCGGGAGGTCCGAAGGGACGGTTGGAGATTACTACCACCAAGGACCAGGACCCAGTGACTGGAGGCGATGTTCCTGTTTTTGGTGTTGACATGTGGGAGCACGCTTATTACCTCCAGGTGAGTTTTGATGCCTTATCCTCAGTTGATTTCGTACTGACTTTGGTTCGACTAGTACCTTAACAACAAGGCTGGTTATATTGAGGGTATCTGGAAGATCATCAACTGGGCTGAGGCCGAGAAGCGATATACTGCCGGCGTGGAGAACCCTGTCAAGCTTTGAGTGGCAGATTAAGAACCTGAAAAGGAGCCCAACACATCGAGAGTCTTAGACGACGTGGGACTGCTTGGAAGTGAACGTTAGGAAAAACCATCAACAAGCAACATAAATTCAATAACGCCATGAACATCTCAATTGCCGAAGGCCTGTAGGGTATGAATAAAAATAACGTAAAACATAATCAATTGTATCCCACGATGCCGATTCCCAGGACGGTTCCATCCGTCTCGCTCATTGTGAGCTGTCGACCCACAACTCCCTTCTCTGAAACGCCCAAGTCCAGCCTTTCGGGTAACTCGAACTCCACGTTTGTCTGGAAACTCTGTGCATTCTTCGTAAAGTCCAGCTGAAATTGATGCAAAGGAGCGGAAGATGCTTTGTTGGTCGAGAGATCTCCGTATTTCCTAGAAAAGACGTATTAGTAAGTAGTCGGGGTTGGTGCACTGAGACCCCGTACTCAATCCGCATGTTCACTTGTCGACATCCCCGCAGCGCGTGGTAAGTCTGAGCATCATCAATTTGGAAAATGGCCTTGGTTTTGTGGCCGGCTGTCTCAGGGTCCCGGAAAAAGAGCGAGTATGAAGACATGGAAGATGTGGAGGCGGACGAGGCCACGGATTCGGGTGAAGATGAGAGCGAAGCCTCCGAAGAATTCGAATAGAACTTGTTCTCTCGAGGGAAAAGCACGGCAATCGTGCCTCCAAAGGTCGGACGGTTGCTGTCGCCGCACATGGTAGCGTGATGTGGAAGAAAGAAAGTCGGGACTTTACAAAAGATGCAAAAGTAACGCGATAATAACCAATATAATTGTTCTCTAAACACAAATAAGTAACACGTAAAGACTGAAGGGCTTATAAGCCTTTTTCGCTCGCAAGGTAATGACCACCAAGGTGAGCGGGATCGAGCAAATAATGTGGATCCGCTCAAATGCCCTCAACTGTGGATCCCCAGTGGATCAACAATCTGATCGGCTGGACATCTCTTGCTCACACACACGAATCCAGGCCAGAATTGATCATGCGTCCACCATCAGCTGCTTCGACTTGAAGGTACCAGTGTATCCCAGGTGCTGAGTGCTCTGTGCCGTGGTTGGCGCGGTCGCGGGGGCTGGGGCTGGGGTTGGTTGCGCAGGCTGACCCGGATTCCGGTGTGCTTCAATCCACCGATGCAGTAGGGCCGCCTGAGTTTCGCCGGGTCCAAGGATCTGCGCCCATCCGGGGAAGGCCGCCATAGAGGCTCCTTTGCTATACAATGTCAGTCGATGGCCTGAGCCAGCACACGGCAACCTACTTGAAGCGGACGTTGACATGGATGCCAAACACTTTCTCGATCAAGATGATGAATGTGAGCGACAAAAAGATGCCGATGGCCACTTGCCAGCTGGACAGATTGATTGGAGGAGAGGACATGTTAAGTAGCGGGTGGAAAGAAATTCGACAATGGAATGTTCTTCGGGTGTTGTACAGGACGAGAAGTGAAGGTCTCCCGGGGGTTCACGATAATAATGTCTCGAAGTTCAATGAGTGAGGATTTGGTTGAAGAAACAGTAAGTCAAGTTGGGCAATCGTCGAAGATGGGTCTCTGTGCATTCTGTCCCTTGGAGGAAGGAACAACTACACATCCAGTCATTTCCAGGCAAGTTCTCAGTTTCCCCGGACTCATTTCTGTATACTACTCGCTCTGGTTTAGCGTCAACTCGGGATTGGTTCTCACCGTTGCCCCACATCCCCCACCAAGAACCCAATCTTTGCTTCGTAAAATGAGCAACTGCGACAATGAGCAATCTAGATTCGGCTGCTCAGGTATGGCATCACACGAAAGTTCCATGCAAACAGTCATCAGCTACAGCCTACTACGACCTAGGTGCCTTTCATCGGCCTGTCACAACCACCAGCCATCATGCCCAGACGTGGTTCAATCGTGGCCTTATCTGGGCCTACGCCTTCAACCACCAGGAGTCGGCCCATTGTTTTGAACAGTGCATCCTGTCAGATTCAACTTGCGCAATGGGATACTGGGGCCTGGCCTTTGCCCTAGGTCCGAACTACAATAAGCCATGGCAGCTCTTTGACGGAGAAGATCTTTCAACCACTACAACACGAGCACATGGTGCAGTCATGGAGGCCTTGAAGCATGCACCTGCCAGTACACCTGTGGAAAAGGCCCTGATTGAGGCCTTGCAGTACCGATATCCTCAGGCGGAGCCTGTGAAGGACTGCACGGATTGGAACGGCCAATATGCGAAGGCCATGGAAGCTGTATACCAAGCCTTTCCGGACGATCTAGAGGTCATCGCCCTTTATTGCGATGCATTAATGAACCTAACCCCCTGGGGTCTATGGGATCTGAAAACTGGCGAGCCCTCCCCTGGTGCTCGGACTCTTGAAGTGAAACAGGCGCTAGATCGCGCATTGGCGCGCGAAGATGCCTTGCGACACCCGGGCCTCCTGCATTTGTATATTCATCTGATGGAAATGTCTCCCACTCCAGAGCGTGCTCTCCCAATAGCGGACAATTTGCGAGGTCTCGTGCCCGATGCCGGTCACTTGGAACATATGCCGACCCATTTGGATATTCTCTGCGGCGACTACCGTCGAGCGATCGCGTCGAACACATCCGCAATTCGTGCTGATGAGAAATTCCTGGCCAACCAGGCTCTTGGTCATTTTTATCATCTTTATCGTGCGCATGATTATCACTTTCGTATGTATGCGGCCATGCTGGGTGGCCAGTCTAAGATTGCTCTGAATACCGCCACGGAGCTGGCAGGTTCCATGACCGAGGATCTCCTGCAGGTTGAATCACCTCCCCTTGCCGATTGGCTTGAAGGTTTTGTAGCCATGCGAGTACACCCTCTTGTTCGCTTTGGTCGCTGGGATGATATCATTGCCCTACCCCTTCCCGTGAATCAGAAACTCTACTGCGTGACCACAGCTATGATACACTATGCGAAAGGAGTGGCCTTTGCAGCTACGGACCGGATTGAGGAGGCAAAGAATGAACAGGAGCGCTTTTTATCAGCGGTAAAGTTAGTTCCTTCTTCTCGGACGATATTCAACAACACGGGCGTGGACATTCTTGGTGTTGCTGCTCCCATGCTGGAAGGCGAGATCTTATATCGTTGTGGGGAATATGAAGCAGCGTTTGCTAGTCTGCAGAATGCTATTGATCGGGATGATAATCTTCCGTATGATGAGCCTTGGGGCTGGATGCAGCCAACTCGACATGCTCTCGGGGCCTTACTTCTTGAACAAGGTCGTGTTGAGGAAGCAGCTGACATATACGCCGCCGATCTTGGAATTGACCAGTCTCTGCCTCGTGCCTTGAGACACCCAAATAACGTCTGGGCGCTCCATGGTTACCATGAGTGCCTCAACAGGCTGGAGAGGACGGCAGAAGCGCGCATTCTAGAGCCGCAATTACGGCTTGCCTTGGCCATGGCTGACATACCTATTCGTGCGTCTTGTTTCTGTCGACAAAGATAGCAGAACCCATATCATATTAGGAACATGATACCCACGGGATGATGGTCGGCGAAGGGTTTATCTTGGCAATTGAGGTAGCTCTCGACTCTGAGTTCTAACTTACTGTTTGCGAATACACGAATCGAAATATACGAATCGAAACCCATAATAATAAATTGGTAATTTCCTCGGAATACAAATGGATTTACGATTATTCCTCTTTGGTGAACACGAGACAAGAACAAGATAGTGAATATACTCGTGAATGTACTCGTTCGGGCTTCATACGATATGCCTATTTACTAGAGACAACCAATTGATGACGAGAATGCTAGGTATGCTTCACACGCATAGGATGAGCCTCAGTGTTGAACACGAAGGTGTTCTTTCCACCTTTCTGAAGCTGCCATTCGGCATCTATAATCTCAGTCAGCATGAATACCTCCTAAAGCGAAAAGCGAGCTTACCTTCAGCGTGGGTCAGATACGAGTACTTGAGAACCTCGGCAAACAGGAAGCTCTCCTGGTTGTTGTCCTTTGAGCCACCGTTGGCAGCGTTGACATTGGTTACGGCCGCAAAGCCTGAGTCGGTACGACAGGTAGCATTGATACCCACAAAAGCGTTCCACACCCAATCACGGTACTATAATATTGTCAGTAAGGCACTCTGATCATTTGGACTGGTTTGAAACCTACGATGCTGTTCCCAGTTATGCGGTACGCATAGTAGAAGCTTTCAATCACCTCCGGTCGCAGAACATAGTAACCACTGTTGATGTAGAAACCGGCTTTTTCGTAGAATGCTTTCTGGTCGCTGGGAACCCGCGAAGGATCCCAACCCCAAGAGTCAGGACCAATATGGGTCAGAGTCGAGTTATAAGTCGCTTCACAGCCATGCACAAGCTCGAGACCAAAGTCAATAAAATCCTGACGGCCCAGCACGCTCCCGCCCAATAAAAAGCTGCCGCCATCGAAGCAAGTCAAGTGCTGCGAGCTGAGATCATAGTTGCCGTTGTTGTACGAAGACAGGAACGTCAATTCTGGGCGGGACTGCGGGTGTGACGCCAGATGTTTCATGGTCGACTCAGCAGCCAGCACCCAGCGGTCCTTGTATGTCTTGAACCGCGTAGGGTCGTACACGTACATTTTAATCAGATACTCATAGTACGAGTCATCACCACCATTCCAGCTGACGTAACCATCGGTGAATTCTCCAGTTTCGATGCTGATTTGACTGCCCACCAGGCCGGGGAATGGCTCCGTCGTGGCCGGCTGAGGGTTCAACAGGTACGACTCGGCCTTTTGGCTGAGATTGGCATACTCGTCGTCTCCCGTCAAGTCGGACAGACGCGTCCATTCTAGTACCAGGGTACCGGTCACGGCGAGGCCATTAGTTGTGGCCTTGTCGTTTCCTCGCGAGGTGATATTGAGATTGTTGTATGGCACACCCGAAGGCGTGTCAAAGGCGAACTTTAGCACGTCGGCCAGGTTCTTCGACTGCGTGAGCAGGTTATCCACGCTGTTTGAATCGGTGACCAGATCCGAGGCTGGACCGGTTAACAAATCATAGCCGGACAACATGCCAGCCAGGTAGCGGATGGTCGTCTCAAACAAGCTGACCTGGTCTGAGGTCTTGCTGTAATTGATTGTGCTGATATGCTTCAGGATGGTATTGACCGCATCTTGGTTACCCATAATGATGGCAGTGGAGAGCGCATCGACAGCGGAGGCACCCCATCCATTCCTAAAATATGCGGTTCATTTCGGTCCTTAGGTTTCAAATTTGTCCGGTGGATATCATGCTTACCTGGAGTCTCCGTATCCATTACTGACCGGGTGCAACTCGTCGTGTGGGAAAGCATATTTCATGTATCCGTTCCAAGCATGTTGAAAAGCCTCCTTGACGGCATCGGCCTTCTGCTGGTTCGTCGACGCAGACGACGCGCTCAAGACAGTCTCAGTGTCTTGGTAGGGCTGTGGATAAGCAGTGGTGGATCCTACCAAGCCCAAAGCCACTAAAGATAATGACAATGTGGCGCGCATGGCTTCGTTGAGTCTGATCAACCAAAAAGAGTGTATGCCGTGTAGGTTTGTATAGCGAATGTAGCTTGTTTGGTTCTTGTTTTTCTTCTCCTTCTTCTTCTAAGAATAACGCCGATGATAGGGAGAAGGAGGCACAAACGAAGGAGCCCGGGGGAAATGCGACTATTAAAGTATGAAAAACAATGGGGTATGAAGAGTGGGGAAATGGGAAGCGTGGGGTTGCAGCAGATCGGGAAACCGGGCCTCACGCGCCCTGTTCACCTGTTTACTTCCTGCAAATCTGTACAGTATCATCTGCCCCGTTCCTGGATTCCAGTCTCCGAGGTCCACTTCCCTTCCAGGGGCTTCCAAGTCCTGCAAGGGCGCCATCGCTTCCCCCTTTCCTGCTGTTTCAGAGGAATGCTGAGCCGCTGCATTGGTGACGATCCTCATGAATCTATAGCACATCACAATCCTCGTCTACAGTAAAAGTGGTCTTGAATCTCCTTAAGGGAAGATGGAACCGATATTGCCCGATTGTTAAGGTGTTGGTCTGTGGGGTTGTGCCAAAGCTTGAAGTGACTAATCAGCGGTTGCGGGGAGGTTGATTGTTAACCAGTCACGATCACGGTAAGAAAAAAACCAAGTGACTCAAGAGTCAAGAGTCATCCTTCTACCCACTCCATTGGGGATCTCATCTCACATTGAGAATTCCTAGTTTTTCTTTACTTTCCCTTTTCTCCTCCACGTTATCCGTCATGGCTACACCATTCCTGATCTCCTACCCCTCCACCCCCACCTCGGGCCTTTCGCTCAAGCAGATCGCCTACTTCGGGCGGGTGCTGGTGAAGGTTGCTGCTCGTGCCGAAGCAGAGAAGTTCCTGCGCGAACACTTTCGTCACATGGATGTCTATGTGGATGCTACTGCCGTCTCCTCCGCCGGCGATCTGGTCGATATTCTCAACGCCGGTGCCGCAAAGATCTTCATCACCCTCGACCAATTGACAGCACTTTCACAGGAACAGTCGGTTCCTTCACCACGACTGGCCGTCTACGCTGTTTCTGACGATCAACTCGATAAACTTCAGCAGTGGATCTCTACCAATGTCTCCGAGCGCAACGATGTCAGCGTCTGCACCGAGCCTGCCGCCGCTACCACCGCCGCCACCAAATTAAACATCAGCTCCGAGTCCCCACGGCTTTATATCTCATACAATGATCAGGCGGTCACTGAAGATTCCGTGAAGCAGGTCACTCAGCAGGGTGCCATTGCCATTATTCCCTCCCAGACGTTGACCGTCGAGCGGGATGCGGCGGGACAGCTTTCTGCCGCCAAGCTTCTCGCTTCACGCGCAGTCACTGACCAGTCCAACGGCTTGTATGCGACATCTGTGACCGACGAGCGGGGCGCTTGCCTTGGATTTGTCTGGAGTAGTGACGAAAGCATTGCCGAGGCCCTGCGCACTGGTACTGGTGTCTACCAAAGCCGCAAGCGCGGACTGTGGTACAAGGGCCAATCGAGTGGCGACGTGCAAGAACTGATCCGCATTGGATTTGACTGCGATGCGGATTGCTTGGTCTTTGTTGTGAAACAGATTGGACGTGGTATGACTTGGTTTCCTACACTCCGAGCACAGAAATCCATGAGCTAACTATGGTGACTCATTCCAGGCTTCTGCCACCTCGGCACTGAAACTTGCTTTGGCGCCTCCGCCGGTTTGTCGCGTCTTCAGAAGACCCTCCTGGAGCGTAAAGCCGACGCCCCCACCGGTTCGTACACTGCTCGCCTCTTCAACGAGCCCAAGCTCGCCGAGGCCAAGATCATGGAGGAGGCTGAGGAGCTGTGCCGCGCTACAACCAAGGAGGAGATTGCCTTTGAGGCTGCCGATCTGTTTTACTTTGCCCTGACTAAGTGTACTGCCGCCGGTGTGACCCTCGAGGACATTGAGCGTAACCTGGACCTCAAGAGCTTGAAGGTCAAGCGGAGAAAGGGCGACGCCAAGGGACCCTGGGCTGAGAAGGCCGGCTTGGCTACTGCCCAGCCCAAGCCTGCTCCTACCCCTACTCCTGCCCCCGCCCCTGTTGAGGACCGCTCACGGATTGAGATGAAGCGTGTCATCACCACCGAGGTCTCTGCCGCTGAGGTCAAGGAGTTCCTCAATCGTCCTTCCCAGAAGTCCAACGACGCCATTGTTGGTCTGGTGAAGCCAATCATCCAGGATGTTCGTGAGAATGGTGATGCTGGCGTGCTCAAGTACACCCATAAGTTTGAGAAGGCCACCTCATTGACCTCTCCTGTCATTCACGCTCCCTTTGCACCCGAGCTGATGAAGCTCACCCCCGATGTCCAGGAGGCTCTCGACGTTTCCATTGGTAACATTGAACGCTTCCACTCTGCGCAGAAGGGCAGCAACGATGCCCTCTCTATGGAGACCATGCCCGGTGTGGTCTGCTCTCGCTTCTCTCGCCCTATTGAGCGTGTTGGTCTGTACATTCCCGGTGGTACCGCCGTACTGCCCTCCACTGCTATGATGCTGGGTGTGCCCGCTATGGTGGCCGGTTGCCAGAAGATCGTCTTGGCCTCTCCTCCCCGTGCCGACGGCAGCATCTCCCCCGAGATTGTCTACGTCGCACACAAGGTTGGAGCTGAGAGCATCGTTCTGGCTGGTGGTGCTCAGGCCGTGGCCGCAATGGCTTACGGTACCGAGAGCATCACCAAGGTTGACAAGATCTTGGGTCCCGGTAACCAGTTCGTGACTGCCGCCAAGATGCTTGTCTCCAACGACACTTCCGCGGGTGTTAGTATTGATATGCCTGCCGGTCCCAGTGAGGTTCTTGTCATCGCTGACAAGACTGCCAACCCCGCCTTCGTTGCCTCTGACCTGCTGAGCCAGGCTGAGCACGGTGTCGACTCGCAGGTCATTCTCATTGCTGTTGACCTGAACGAAGAGCAGCTGCGTGCCATTGAGGACGAGGTTGATGCTCAAGCCCGTGCTCTGCCCCGTATGGACATCGTCCGCGGCTCTCTGGAGCACTCCGTCACCTTCGTCGTGAAGGACATCAGAGAGGCGATGGCTTTGAGCAACGATTACGCCCCCGAGCACTTGATCCTGCAGGTTGATGGTGCCGAGGCTATCGTTGAGCAGGTCCAGAATGCTGGCAGTGTCTTCATTGGCCCATGGACCCCCGAAAGTGTTGGTGATTACTCCGCCGGTGTCAACCACTCTCTGCGTAAGTTATACTTCCGTTCCTTGCGGTGACAACATCAACTAACATCAGTTACAGCTACCTACGGATATGCCAAGCAGTACTCGGGTGTTAATCTTGGCTCCTTCTTGAAGCATATCACCAGCTCTAACCTGACTGCTGACGGTTTGCTGGCGCTGGCCAAGACTGTTGAGACTCTGGCCGCTGTCGAGGGACTAGATGCGCACAAGCGGGCAGTCAGCATCCGTGTTGCGCAGATGAAGAAGGACCGCTCTTAGTCGATTTATCCTTTTTTTATTTCTTTCTTACAAAACATAGTCTTTGCCAGTGTCATGAGGAATGTGCGATGATTTCAAAATAGCGAAATAAAAGGCCCTGTTGTGGAGGGAGTCTGTGGATTTATGATTATGAAGCCTTTTAAGTTTTTTTCAAATTTGACAATATTACCTCTTCATCTGTTTTAACCACCCAAATCATTCAATAGGCGCAGTGTCATTATTCATCTTGTCAGTCTCATTGTAGAGATTGTGAGAGGGCGAAGCCACGCGACTAGTGACTAGCGGGACAAGTGGTAGATGTCAGGATCCACATAGTTTATCGTAGACGAGGGGGAGAATAAGATTGCAAAATTACCAAACACCTTTTGAATTGATTATTGCTAGAAACTAGCACGGTATCATATGTAGGGAATAACCCAATGCAAAATAATCGGGGCTATGTAGTTTGGGCATCAAGCACAAAAGAAAAAGATTCAGCCCAGCCCAGCCCAGCCCCGACATCGGAATCCATAAACCCACCACGCCCACTAAACAAAAAAAAAATGAAACTAGTACAATCACAGCTGAGCGACGTCATTCAATATCTGCACTTCCTGGCCCGGCTTGAACGCAGGTAGTCCTAGGTACGGGCAACCTGCGCATCGGAATGCATCACCAAGGGCGCAGCTCCCGCAAGACCCAGTCTGTTTACCCTCGACAGTGAAGTCCAGCTCGGCCAGATCGTCTGTGTTCAACTTCATGACGTTCAAACTCTTATCAGCGTTCTCGCGACGCTCTTTATCTTCCGCTTCGAGTCGGTCGGCCAAACCGCAAGTACAATCCTTGCAGGCCTTCCTCCTCCGGCCGGTCTTGGGCTGGCACTCTGGGGCTGGAAAAGTATATCAGTACATGAACAACATAGCAATGGATGTAAAAAGCGCAGACTTACGCGGCATAATGGGTCTCGTTAAATCCTCTTCGTTAAGAAGAGAGTCCTCATTAATCAGCTCCTCATTCTCGTCCCGGTCGTGATTGGAGCCATTCATGCCATCCAATGTAAATCCACTTCCAAACTGTATTCCCATAGGTGGGGCCTGAACGGGAGCCGCAGCGGTGTTCTTCTTTTTCTTGAGGCCAAACTTCAGTGGCACGGCGGACGCTTGTTCGTAATTTGGTTTCTCAAAGCCGGTTGCGTTCTGCACCAGACCTGCCAGTACTGCCTCCATTGCCTCAGAGGCATTTAGAGCTTTATCTTCTGTCTGTAGTTTTGCGCCAGACTTCATGGCCGGTACGAGGGCGGTATATACATCACGAGTGAGGAGCTGGAGGGCCTCGGCGCGTCGTGAACCATCGGAATCGGTAAGGATGAGGACGAGATCATACGTGTTTGAGGGCAGTGTGACGATTCCGGTGGAGAGGCGATCGAGCATTTGGAGGTCTGTGGATGTGCGGGGGTGGGAGGAGAACACGGCTCGTAATTTGTCCTCTTGAGTGGCGATAGAGGGGGGAGCGAGCAGGAGGGTTCGAGAGGCGTCGACTGGCTTTGATGGCGGGGCCATGAAAACGTCGGAGTCGTTTGTATCAATGGACACGAATGAGGGAGCCATTGCGAGTGGTTTGGTGGGGGGGGAACAGGAGTGGAAGAGAGAAAGAAAAAGTAGCGTAAGTGAGGGGTGGCGACATTCTCGAGTCACCGATAAAGATAACTTAGTCAGCGATCATTTATAATCCAGACCCTCGTCGTCCTATCAGCTGGTGGGGATTACTTGAATGTGGATCTGTATAGAGGAGTCGAGGGATGTGCTGCCCGAAATGGGAAAGCAAGCACGCAAGATAGGATACCACAGGATGAAGGCGATTGGAAATCCTGTGAGTGTGAATGGTGATTATTCTCGCACTCTAGTTAAACAAATATGGATTCGAAACGGTTGGAATGATCCCGGGCTCTTTTTAGATTCTATGGAACCTCTTGATACATGAATACGCCTGAAACTCCCCTTCTATGCTGGTATCGATACAGATAGAGCAAATCCCATGAAAACCCAGATGTGAAGACAATGGCCACGGGTCATCAACTCATAAGGAAAATGCCGTCACTTAGCGCTTGCGCTCTCGGATCTTCCATTTGATCCCATTCTTGTTGGTTCCGCCCACGGAGTTGGTCATCTTGCCGCGCTGCCACTCAACTTCCCGCTCGGCTGCTTGGATTCCCTCGTATTGCTTCTGCAGCGCAGCGAGCTTGTTCTGTCGAGCCTCAACGGCCCGCTTTCGGAGCTTGCGGGCTCGGCGAGCCTCAACAAGTGCTTGCCGCTTTGCAGTGATCTCTTTGGGGGTTGCTTTGGTCTGGCGAGACTCCTCATCATCGCTTTCCTCCTCGGCCTCGGTCTGTTCACTCCCCCTTTTCATGACTCTTTGTTCACTCCGGTCATCAGCGAAGACCACCTTGCGTGATTTCGGCTTAGCTGGTTTGCTGAAAGCGAGATCATCCAGGTCGTCGAATCCGTCGAAATCGTCTTCATCCTCTGACTCTTCCTTCTTCTCTTGGGTCTTGACACCCAAAGCCGAGTTCATGCCATCCTGCAGCTGAATGTCGCGCTGCAAAGTCTCAATCTGTCGACGTATCCGTTCTCCGGCGGTTCGGAGATAACCTTGATCCTGAGTCTTGAGCAACTTGACAGCATCGTGGCTCAGTCCTGCAGCGGAAGCTCGCCCTACACCACCTCGGCCATGTTTGCCTTGTGTCTGGTTCTGACCACCCATCATACCGAAGTGAAACTCATCGGGGTTACGATCGCGCGCCTTCTCCTCGAGACGCTTGATCTTCGCCTTCTTAGCATTGTAGTCTTTGGCACGGAGCGAGTAATCCTTTTACAATAGTCAGCCTTTGCGATCCTAAAACCCTGCAACCAATAGCGCATGAAATTCCAGTAATGACAAACCTTGTGCTTTTCAAGGATACCCCACTTCTCGCGGCCTTCGAGCTGGGCACGCTCTTTGTGGTTTCGCCGTTGAACGGCGTTGCGCATGGAGGACATGCTGAACGGTTGTGTGATGTGAGTTGAATAGAGTCAAACTTAAGCGGGCGATTGTTTGCAAAGAGAAAAAATAATCGAGTCCGAGAGGTACAACAGACAGCTGACACGTCCAGCTGCGGTGGTTGTGAAAGCATATGAAAGTACGGAAGTTTTTTTTTTTCTGCCCGCTCCGCCCGACTCGGCTCCTCACGCTCCGCATCAACACACCCTGCACCTCACCTTGATCAGATATCTCTCTCATTCCCAATTCCTACAGCCTGTTTTTCTTGGTCCTTCAACGATCAAGTCCTGTTGCTTCGCAATCCACTATCAACTCATTGGACTTGTCACTCAATCTTCCACCCTGACCTTGCAACATCTGTACACTGATCGACATCATCCTCGATCTGCGTGATCGAACCACTTCGTCCAAATGGCTACACCCTCAACTTCCGACACGCCAGCAGCTACTCCTGCACCCCGCAAATACAACCTCCGCAATCCGCTTCCACTCTCTGCCTCTCAAGAACAAGAAGTTAAGCTACTCTATTACAAGCGCGTACGAAGCCACTGTGCCCCCGAGATTAAGGGTATGTACCCCCTCCTCGCCCTTCTATACGTCGCCCTGATAGGGTCATGTAACTCCTACAGCCCCTATAAACCTTAGTTCATTCATCATAATCTACCCTAAGCTCGACCGAGAACCAGCTACATGCATACTCAAGATGGACATTGAACTAACGTCAAACCGCAGCATTCGCCGAATGCGCTGTCAACCGAACAGTCACCGCAACATGGATCTGCCGCACGCAGCGTCTGGCCATGAACTCTTGCATGGTCGCTCATGCCAACCCAGAAGAAGAAGACCGCGCACGCGAGGACTGGTTCTCGACACATGAGGAGCGACGCCGGCAAAAGGAAGAGGAGCTCGCACGGGTTGAGAAACGACGTGCAGAGGTCATTACTATGATGCGTGACGATGAAGCGCGAACCCGAGAGAAGGCTCAAGGGAGGTGATTGGCTGAATGCCTTCATATACTGACACGAACAACCGCATGTTATATCCCCTGAGATTCTTCGGGGTTTTTATTTTCTTCTTCCGATCACCAGCTTTTCTGTGGTGAGTTGTATATTGACGTATATGGGTCCCGACGTCGGGAAATTGGATCGTTCGACTAAACTATCCCCCCCAAAAATGAGCGCGTTCTTTCGAGCGAGTTAGAGGAACGAATCGTTTGGGTTGGCCGGTTTTTTGTCTCATGGCATCGTACCAAGGTCGATCAAAGACCGTTTTGGTTCTGCTTCCGCTGGATGGACAGGCTCCATCCAGTCGCTCTCCTTTGATGCCGACTAGCGGGAACCTCCGACCTAGGATGGAGTTCATATGCCTTCTCTCCTCACGGCGCAATGGGAATTAATCAGGCGTTATTGTTTTGCTGGGCATTTGTTCTTTTTTGCATGGTCATCTCGACCTTGACCTGGATGGCATTCGATCTCATGTACAGTATACACATGCATTTGGCGGTCTTCATTAACTGCAAAGTCATCTATTTTACCCCTTGTCCCTTATATAATTCATACTCTCTACCATTTTACGTGGATAATTGGTGTAGACTCAAGAGATACTTTGGACATAAAAAACCCATCGACTTTTTCCTAGTCTAAATGGCTCGCAAATGTATAATGAAAAAGGACTCCAGACCCCTGGAAACGCCATCCAACCTTCCCCAAGGCATAAAGCAGAAAAAATGGAGAAGCGTAAACAAGGCTAAACATCATTCATCTTCTGATCCTCGTCATCGCCCGCTTCGCCCATGGCAGTGTCTTCACCGAAGATATCCTCTATCTTCCCATCATTCTCCTCTTCCTCATCCTGATCTTCTTTTTCGCCCTGCGGCGGGGCATCGGGTATATCCTCCTCTTCCTCACCCTCACTATCCCATTCATCTTTCATGTTCCATCCCATCCCTGTAAGGCAGAAGCGCTCAGGCGGCAACCGCATACCAGCCATCATAATGCTTTGGTTCGCCGCAGCCGTAGGTGCTCCATTGGGTCCAGCCGGAGCGGCAGCATCGAACCCCCTCGAGACCCCGGGTAGCGCGATGCGATTTCTTTCAGATGCAACGTCCATCAGGAATTCCTTTGGCAGGCCAGTCTGGAATTGATAATGTAGCCGCGACGCAATGCTCAGCCGCAGCGCTGGCAACGAAACGCCATTAACCTCCGCCGAGTTGGCGTTCTTGCCTGTGTTCCCGGCAGCATCACCCACTGCGCCTGCATATCCTTCTGTAGCTAGATGCACGGCATCTTGGAGTACGTTGGAGGTGTAGCGGTAGGCGAAGTCGAGGAGTTGGAGGGGCACGCGGTCTTGGTAAGCTGTTACGCCTAGCGACGCGAGGAGCATATGAACCAAGCGAACGTCGCGTGGGCGGCGCGTTTTACCGCTATCTTGTAAGGAAGTTCCGGGGGTTTGTGGTGGGTGTCCTGTTGATGTGGTTGGTGCTGTCGCGGGGATGGCAACAGATGGCTGCGAAGTAGTTGCTGCTGCTGGGACAAAGGCACCGTTGGCCCCGGAGGACTCGGCGGGTGGTGTAAGAGGCTGAGCTGCTGGCACAGAGCCCTGAGTCTGGCTTGGAGAAGCCATGTTTGTGGAAGTCGCGAGTTCAGATGTGGAGGAATGGTAGATGGGAGGGTTGAGATATGGACCGGTCGGGGAGCTGGCGGAGGAACAGTTCCAGGCAATCGGCTAGACAATGACCCGACACCAATCTGCTATCATTGGCAAAGTAGCAGTTGCTCAGAGACTCTGGGGAGGGAGCTGGAGTGAATGCAGGGTTGACAGGGTTGAGAGGGAAAAGAAACGTTGACAGGAGGAACTTGGTGAAGCCGAAAAGAGCTCCGATATGACGCTAACCGTTTTAGGCATGTGCGCTACAACCTCATGGATCACTTTCTGTGGGGTACTATTGAATCACATTATGCTATTCGCAATTTGCGTGTCCTGTGAAGTTCGTATCTATGAACTGAGCCCATCGTCAAGCCCATGCAAGGGCAGCACAAGGCGTCATGAAAATACAGGGTTGCAAAAAAATTTTTCAAACGCCATGCATGCAAATGATAGTAGGTAGCAATGATAGGTTGTATATGATAATGCAGGGTCCAACACCGAATATCTGCAGAATAAAAGTTTGAACAGGGTATCTCTTTGCCAAAACAAGAAAAAAGGGTGCTCTCAATGCGTACGCACGTTCTAGTTGAAAGAACTCGCAATATTATGTTGTATGGGACGTCCAGGTCTAGCGAACGTCATGGCGATTATTTGAGCCGCGTTCTCAATAAAGAAAGCATTCAGGCATCTTGTGAGGGCTTGGGACGAGTCGGCAGGGATTTGATACCCACGGTTTTCATTTCTGGCAAGCCTTCATCTTCCTCGGCATCTGTTTCAAGGTCCAGAGGATTCGGGTCTCCCTCCACAGACTCCAAAATTGATCCCGCCGGATTAGACATGACCGAGCCTTGTGAGAGGTAGCTGGCACCAAGATCAGTGCCTTCCTCATCGTCAGGATATTCGTCGCCGTCGCTAAGCTCATCATCATAGTCTTCTTCGTCCGCGTCTTCGTCTTCGTTAGCTACTTCATCATCCAGTGGGTCCTCCTCATCTTCACTGTCGGTGGTTGAAAAATCTTCCAAATCTTGCGGGGTGTCTCGCCAGTAGGTGAAATCCGTATATTCTTCACCACCGGAGTGTACCAGAAGACTTGTGGGAGGGAAGAAATGATCAAGCAATTCTCGCATACTGACATAGCTGCTCTTATACTTGTTGAGGCTGAGCAGGTCCAAAGAAACCTCCGCATTGGAGTTGATGGTAAAGATCCGTGTCGACGGGATGTTGACAGTGCGGTAGCTCAAGGCGTCGGTCAGTCGATTGCCAAAGCCAGCGTAGAATGGATTCTCCTTCCCGCAGAATAAATTGAGAATGTCCCGGAGGCATGCCATTTTGAAGACTTCTGGCTTCCGAAGATAAATTTCTCGTCTGAGAGCTGCCATTGTACGATCTGGGCTGCAGATGACAGGGCCTCTGGGAAGACGGTATCCGTCCTGGCAGACACCATAAAGGTATGCCCGTGTTGTATCGGCTTGACCAACGGATCGACTAGTAAGGTACATTATATTATAGCCATTGTTCACAATATCAGTGTACAATTTGGCGACTCCAGTATGAGTCCAGTCACGTCCAATCATGTTCAGAACGTGGCCCAACGCATCCGACCTGGGCTTACTGTCAGCTTTAAAGATTCTCATATTTCAGTTCTCGATTTGGCTCACTTTGTGATTGTCCCATCAATATCGGAAATCACAATCGGGGTATTTCCATTCCACAGGTACATTGACGCAGTGCATGTAGCTTTGTTCACGCTGAAGGACATAGTGTTGGCTCCTGGTTTCAACTGAAGAGCCTTAAGTTGATCACTGGTCAATCGCAATGTTTTGGCATAATTGCGGGTTTCGACAGCAAAGGAATCATGCATTGGGGTTTGGGGAGGTGTGGGAAAACCAGGCTGAACATCTGACTTTGTTCGATGGTGGCGAGCCCCAATCGGTAACTCGGGAGTAATATGGTCACCTTCGCTGTGATAGCCTGGGTCTGAGATCGCATCATCACTTAGGACTGTGTTCGGTCGCATGGAATTGATGGCGGCTCTCCGATCAGCCGCTTCTTTTGCCTCTTCACTACTATAGATCCATAGATTCCCATGTTCATCGGCTCCAATGAGCGCGCCAATATCGTAGCTCCCTTCTAATTCCTCGGCGAGGATCTTGCGAGCGAGAACTTCGGCCCGAAGGGCATCTTCCTCGTTGCTTTTGTACCCGGTCATGTCCAGCATCAGATCGCCTGTTTCCGTGACATGTGACTGAATGTTAGAACCTGTGAGTTTCTTGGACAGGGACATCGCACGGGACATCGCTTCCTCTACAGAGACCGGAGGTGGACTACGAGAACCAGCTCGGTCAGCGTCCTCGTCATGAGCTGAGCCGTTTGGCGAGGATAGCTGCTCGGTCGCAGCCCGAGGGAGGCTAGTCGAAAGCAGATCATCGGATATCGAATGATCGAGAGATGGTTTGGTTCGGTGGGTATTGAACGGATCATGATGCGAGGGACTTAGGTCTGAGCCGTCGGGAGACCGCGACAGGGGCGTTATTGTACCTAGATCAGTTGCAGCTCGCGACTGTCTTGATATCGGTATATTAGGTGGGGTCTTCGTCCCCTCGGAGACCACATCCCCATTCTTCTCCAAGTCCAGATACTCTGGTTCCTGAAGTGATGACGCAAAATCTTCGCTAGGCACCTTTGGGCTGCTGGCAGGCGACACTAGCGGGGAAGTCTGTAGTGACGCGGGAATCTCATCGGTGGTTTCGAACACAAAAAACGCCTCGCCCGCTTCCCCTAGCTTCATTGCATACTGTTGTTTAACTCCGTTGACCTTGAATTCCACCTTCTTTTCGAACGGGCGCAAAAGCGAGAACTTTCCGAAGCGGACATGGAAGGGCGAGCAGGCAAGGGTTCCTTGCGAGACAGACAAATCAGAATTAGAATCAACATAGAGATATTTCGGTCACCAAACTTACCATCCTCTTGCTCGATGACAATCACGTCAATAGCTCCGCTCAGAGTGGCTGGGTTGATCGAGTTCCATGTCTTCGACACAGAGCCGCTGAGGCTTCTGACGTACTGCATCTTGCTGGGTTGGGTCAAACACCCTCGGCCACGTACAATAAACAAGCAAAATCAAACCCTCGGAATCAAAGGCACCGAAGTCACGGTTGAGGGCACAAGTGGGGGAGTGTTAAAACAGTCGGAGGGGAAGAGAAGAATGAGGAGTAAGAATCAAGAAATTGGAGGAATCGCCGCCAAACGGCCCCATGTGACATTCAGCTGACAATGCAAGGAACAGCTGAACGGGCCACTGATATGTGAAAATCGTCACCCAGAATGATAGGTCAGTAATACAAGATGAAGAGAGATGACAAAAAGGGCAGAAACCATGCCGAGACCCTAGTTCACCCCAATTATCGATCTAGCCGGTCATCCCCGGATCTGTTGGTTCATCAACATTCAACGCCCAACCGATTCTTAAGTAAGCGGCCAACAATCATGCCGAGGTGCGTCTTTTGCAGAACGTAGACGCTAGTCCTCATCCGGCCTAGTGGACGATCGTTCTGCCTGTGATCACGCCTACCCTAATTAGGCAGACCCTGACTAACGTATCACGTGGACTAATGTCCCACTCCATTGGAGCCGATCAAGAACATCCTCAAGAACACCCTCTATCCTAATCACCCATACCTCACCACTCCGCTGGCCCCGCGTCCATGGGTACTCGACGCTGGGATGTATGAGCCACTTTACTACGCCTTTGACGCTTACCCGACTATCATTCCCCGAGTCAGGGTGCGAGGCGTGATGGCTCTCTTCCTGGCCGTCTCTATTCTATGGGCCCTGATCTGGTGAGTTACAATGCATTTGGGTTTGGTTTCTCGGTATTCACGACCCTAACAACGGATGCAGGCTTCTATATCGTGCCTGGCAAGTATGCCAGACCCCCAATGAGCTTCTCGTTGAGAAGTTGGGTCTAGATATCCCACCGCCGCCAGAAGTCACCCTGGAAGAGATCACGGCCCGTGAGATTCGCCTAGCCTGGAAGCAACCCGATTTTCATAATTCCATACATAAGCACATCATTCAAGTCAACAATGTCAAAGGTACGCCCTCGCGGTCTCACCTTTCGGACCATAGCGGAACAGATACTAATGGAACAAAGTGGGCGAGTCGAAACGCGCGGAGACTGCAGTGGAAATATTAAATCTTATACCGGGTAGCATCTATCACATTTGTGTCTTATCAGTCAGCGCAGCAAATTTTCAGACCCCAAGTGCAATCCTCCATGTCCGAACGAAATCTCTTCCTTTGTCCCGATCCCAGCAGGATGCCCCCACCGGTGGTCCGACAATCCGAGCATCGATTCCACGGTCAACGGCCGGCTTACCGACTCCCTCCGCACCGGTAATGGCCCGCGAACATAGCGCTGGACAACTGTCCGGGAAGCGACCATCTGCTGGCCGCAAATTGTCCCCCGCGACAGGAACAGCAGATTTTGCACATGGACACGATGAGTTACATAAGGGCGTCCTCAAGAGCGATCGCGACGGAAGTCTGGAACAACTCGCCGATCGATTGAAAGCGTTACAACAAGAGAATGAAAACATGGAAAAACAAGTGGCCGAGGAGGAAGACGAGCATATTGTAATGCTAAAAGAACTGGAGAAGCATCGCGACGAGCTGAAAAAGCGGGTGAAGGAGAAGGATGAAGTCAGTGGAGATCTTAAGAAGCACGTCTCGAAATTGGAGAGCATCAATCGCTCCGTCCAGGGCGAAAAATCCAAACGAATGAGGCTCCTTCAGCAGAAGGAAGCAGAGCGCAAGAAACGGAAGAACGATATCGTCCGATGGCAAGAACGAATTGCACGTATGGTTGCCGATGCTGCGCAGGCTAAGGAGGACAAGACCCGGTTAGAGGAAGATGGTGAGACTCGAGGGGGAAGAAGTTCGCAAAAAGATTGCGAAGGAGCAGGCGGAGATGAAGATCATCGATGAAGAAATTCAAGACAAAGGAGGCCGAATCAAGAAGCTTGAAGATGAACGACAAGGTCTCCAAGGTGGTGATAATGAAGATGGGAAGGAACTTGACCGAATTGATAATGAGCGGGCTCGTCAGTGGGAGCTAAAGCTGGGTGAGCTTCACGCTCGATATGCTACCCTCGTCAATCTTCATGCGCAGGCTCAGCAGCAGTATCAAGAAGCCCAAGAGCGGTTGAAGTGGCTTACCACGCAACGTCCTAGCAGCTCAGGACCATTTTCCCTGCCAGCTTTGGAACTAGACATGTCGAATTCAGCGACTATTCGACCCCGCCGCCACCGCAGCTCTTTGGTTAGCAATTTTTCCTCGTCTATGAATTACCCGGGTATCGAATCGACGTTCCCCGGAATCAACTGCAACCCGCCCTCGTCCAACTCGCCCACGTTCGCTCCGACCTCTACATTCTTCAATATTAATAACGGTATGACTCTCCCGGGTCTCTCTGATCCACCAGAGGTTATGCGCTCTGACGCCGAGGCTGCCTTCAACAATCCACAAATGAGTCCCCGCGCCGATGCTTTGCTGCCATCAGACCTGCTTGGAGATGAGGAATCGCCCGAGTTTCCCCGGTCTGTTGGCCGCGCTCGATTCTCTACGATGGATTCATCAAACATGCCGTTGGATGGATTTAGTCATGGCCCTGTCTCGCCTGTGTCTTCTGGGAGTAGGCCCGGCAGCATCTTTGCTAGCCCGTTGGAGACCCGTAATCGGCAGGACTCTGGTTCCCAGCCGGGACAGTTGTCCGCTGCCGAGGAAGCACCGAAGAGCGCTTCTCGACGACTGTCTGGGATCTTTGGGTTCCACCGACCTCGGGGAAAGACCCTGGCTGATGGACCTCCTATGTTGGGTACTTTGAAACCTGGACAAAGTCAATCTTTCCCACGGAATGTTGATGAGCTAGACCCAATCGGATCGCGACGTCGGAGACTGAGCTATACGGGCAACTGGGCAAACGCAATGTCCTTGTTCCCTCGAAGTAACACCACTGGTGTCACTACAGATAGTTCTTCCGATCATGCGCCTTCCAGGAGGGCTGCCTTCTCGAACATTTTCTCGTCAAGCAAATTCGGGTTTGGCGGTGCTGGTAGCCGTGGAAACTCCGATCTGAGTACCGGATACAACCAATTCAGTCCACGCCATGACCCCATTGATCCCTCATCTCTTCTTGGTGGCGTTCGACGAGGTTCCCTATCTCCGAGGCCGTCATCCACGTTTTCGTTTGAGAACCAGAACCAGCTTCCCCATCCTTCTACGGACAATCGCCATTTTGGGTGGCCGTCAACAGATCAAATGGGGCATCGCAATAGTCCACTAGGATTAGATTGGACGTCTCCATCAACCTGGTCCCGAGCGCCTTCACGCCGTCCCTCTATTCAATATGGGTCGTCTGGCCATCTTCCCCTAGGATTGACTGGTGAGCCGGATTTCGTCGAGGACACATACGATCGCCATCATCGGCCGCTGCAAGCGCCGATTGGTACCCGTCCATCGTCCTCCCATCGACCTATCACACCAAAACTAAACCCGGCTGCGCCCTCTTTCAGGGGAATGTTTTCGAGCAGGAGGTCTGACAAGGAAAAAGAGAAGGATCGAGAAGAGTCCGACGTTCCCTTTGACCTTCATGTCGACGATAGGTCCCCTTCTGAGCCTCGTACCTCTCGCTCCTTTTCTCATTTCACGGGTGAGTCCTACGAATCTTTGGAACGCATGCCGTCCGGTACCTCGGTAGACAATGCATCCAAGGAATCATTTATTCGCAAGATCACCCGCAAAGGCAGCTCGAGCAAATTCAGCTCCTGGAAAGACCGCTCTGGACTATTTTCAAAAAAAGGCGAGTCTTCACAGACAGACATCGATGAAGATGCAGCCAGTGAGGCTCAGCTAGCGAAGAGCATCGATAGCACTATCTCTAGCGTGCCATCAGCTGACCGATCTACTCGCAGCAGTCTTGGTTTCTTCTCTCGCAAATCGCGGAGATCGGACAAGGCGAGCGAGACGAGCGAGCGAGCCAGTGAGACTGGCGATGAGGAAATTCCCGAAATCCCGGAGATTATTTCATGATCATGATCTCCTGGGATTCCGTCCCTTCACTGTGTCCTTTTCCTAAGATTCTGCAATTACATACACCTCAACAGCGACTGGATTAAAATACATGGGTCAATAGCGACTGTTCCTTTTACTCGAACTCTTTTCGTAAATATTCGCAAGCCTTTCATCGTTCCGTAATTTTATAGGGCCAGTTCAACTTGCCAGTGTGAGTAGCTGCATAGATAACCTTATATTAGTGGGGGAAGCGGGGCGCGTCAACTGGTGACTCTTATCGCGCGCACAAAATGACTCGTCGATGCGATAAATCTACTCACTCGACACTACTGCGCATTTCACCCACAGATATGGCTAATTCCAAGTACATGATTCGCTCTTTCAACCTAATTTCCTAAATGCTAATTCCGACAGATTCGAGTACGTTAAGGACTTTGAGCAGACCGATCCGTTGCTTCCTAGTACCTGGATCGTGATTCGCATTGACGGAAGAGGATTTCACAAGTAGGTTTCCCTCGACAGCTACAGATTCAATTCTCTGTCTTTTGAAATTGTCCACTTCCATCTGACAGCTTTAGACTTTCGGATCATTATGCTTTCGAAAAACCCAATGATCGCCGCGCGCTTGATCTCATGAATGCGGCTGCCGTCGAGGTCATGAAAGATCTTCCTGATCTATGCATTGCCTATGGTGTCAGTGACGAGTACAGGTATGTGCCATTCAACTATTCCAAACACCAATTGGTTTTTAGCACTCATTGATATGCCCGCAGCTTTGTCTTTCCTCCTACTTGTCAGCTCTTTGAGCGGCGAAACGCGTAAGTAGTGATTCATGCTCTCATGGATTGTCGAGGATATCTCATTGACGAGACACTTTCTTCGTATCCAGCAAACTGGTTACAACCATTGTCTCGACCTTCACAGCGTATTATATCTATTTGTGGCCAACATATTTCCCTTCGACCCCACTAGCACCGCCATACCTCCCATCTTTTGATGGACGAGCGGTCGTTTACCCTAACACACGTATTTTACGAGATTACATGAGTTGGAGGCAGGTCGATTGTAAGTTGCTCTTTATTCTTCTTCGTGGAATAGTTTTGCTGATCAGGGCAGGTCATATCAATAACCTCTACAACACTACATTCTGGACTATGGTTCTGCAAGGCGGTATGTCCAATACTGATGCGGAACAAGAGCTGAAGGTAAGACCCATAAAATTAGCCTCTCGTGGGGTATTTGTTGACTTGCTATCAGGGTACTGTATCTTCAGACAAAAACGAGATCCTTTTCAAGCGGTTTGGGATCAATTACAACAACGAAAGGGAGATGTACAAGAAAGGCAGCGTGCTCTACCGCCAGGTAAGATATCTCTGCTCTTTCTATCAGCCCAAACTCTCTAACAGGTGACATCTAGTATGAGCTCGTGGAGCCCAAGACTACATCCTCAACAGAAGATGAGACTTCGATTCCGGAGGCCAAGCAGTCAAGGTCACAACAGGATAAATTGAAGAAATTGCGTCGCAAAGCCCAGGTGGTTGTTGATCATGTTGACATCATTAAGGATGATTTCTGGGCGAGGCGACCTTGGATTCTGTCTGGCACGCCGGGCAAGTTGCCCCAAAGATGATATGGAGAGATCATACATGACGCCAAAATAATTAGGTTTCTGTTGTATCATCTTCGAACAAAATGGGTATCTTGATCACGAGTAAACGCGTATGCACAGTGTATATATCTCATGTCCAATGCACATCAAGTTCAGGTGCTTTTGGACTTCTTTTCCTTCTTCTTCTTCTTCTCCTTTCTAGACTTCTCTGAGTCTGTTTCTTCGTCACCGTCACTTTCTTTGAACTTTTTGTTGGCCTTCTTCTCCTTCTTGTCCTTGCTCTTCTTATCCTTTGTTTGGCCTGATGATTCGGCGGCGTCTAGGTCCGGCTCTTGTTCTGTCGACATAGGGGTGGGATAGTCTTCCTCGGCAGGCCGTTTCAGCTTCTTCTCTTTCTTCTCCTTATGTCTTGCCCGACGCTCCTGCTTACTCTCCGTCTCCTTTTGCTTCTCCCCCTCGGAAGAATCACTGGAAGCAGAAATGGTCTCAGACTCCTCCTTCACCTTTCGCCGCTTGCGCTTCTCCACTTTCTTTTCTTTCCGGGCAGCTTTCTCCGCCTTCCTCGCCTTACGATCGCCCTCATCCTCGTCATCGCGCTTCCGTTTGGACTTTGAGGATTTCGGCTTCGGTTTGTCGTCATTGAGGGTCCCGGCCAGACCCTCTCCTCGTACGAAGAATCGATATAATTCACTCGTAAGCGCATTCCCTGTCGGTACCGCTGTGGCAGGCTTCTCTTCGCCTACACCCTTCAGCGCATCTTCGAATCCACGCAACCACCATTGGTTCGTCGCGGAGTCTTTGGTCACTTTCTTTCCGACGCCATGATTGTTCTGTTTGCGCGCAACTAGAATAGGGCGTGTGAGACCCAGACCACCGTGCGGTCCGGGGCGGGAGTTTTTATTCAATGGGTTGCCGGGGCCAGACCAGCCGTGGCGTTTGAGGTAGGCCTCAGCGTCCATGAGGAGAGGACTTCGTGGATATGGTGATTTTTTTTGGGAGAGTCTCAGACGCGAAATGTAGAGACAAATGTATTTAATGTAGATGTTCGCTTCTCTCTTAAGAGAACTATTGAGGGGGATTTGGGACCCTTGGCAAGAAAAAAAAAGTCGATGGATAAGGCTGATTAAAAAAATGGTTCCTGGGCGATAAGGCGTGCACAGAGAATGGTCACATGATCTCCTGATCTATGGCACCTGAAGGAACAAAATTGATCCGAACAAAGGACTTTCCTGTCCGACGTCTACAAATAATGGATGCAATATGCGGCAATCCAATTGAATCATAAAGGACTTCTATAGACCACTGTCAGGCGTTCCCACACGACCATATTTCTAAAGGCTGACAGCTCTAATGCATCCCAGATTGATCAGAAAGATGATTGTTCATTCCAATAGGTTTAGCGGTCAGAACTATGAGGCAATCTGTGCACCTGTCTTTTCAAAGTTCAGATGTGAAGGTCTATGTATCAATTTTACCGGTGCCAAATTTTGTTTTGTATCGCCAAGAGTCCAGGAAGATACAACAGGAATCGGAGTAGTTGAAGCCACTTCCGAAGCGTGAGGATGCAAATTGCCTCCCGCTCTGAGATCTAAATCAGTGTATCTGCAGCGTGACATTTAGGCTTCAGCAAATCCGCACTGCAGCCACTGTTGGCAGGTAAGGTTTACTCAAAAACATTGTCGTTTGCCGTTTTGAAACGCATCGTGACCGGGTCGATGGTCTTCGCAATTAAACCAAGGTGGAAATCATTAGAAAGCTTCCTAGGCCGAAGCTTAGGTATGCAAGGCTATATATCTCCAACTGGCAGCCGGAGACTTCAGGGCTGAAGTAATGTTGAAGGACATAGTTTAAGGAAATTTGACATATCATTTCCATTAAGATGAACCTGAATTATGTAATTTACGCTAACGTGACTGGTAAGCGAGTCGGCCACCCTAACACACATAGTAAATGGGATTTTATCGCTTTTAGATTATAAAAAGTTCTCGGAACTATCTCTCTGGTTAGATAGGTTGTAGGATTTTATAACGTTACCATTAAATACACAATGATTTGGTGTTTTGATCTCTCAATATGTATAATTAACTTGACCAGATATGAAGAACATTTATATTTCAGGAATATACTGCAAACGAAAAAGAAAATATCGCGTTATTAGGAGAAATCAGCCGAAGCTCTGGTTGTTGTGATACAAGGCTGTAATTTATCAAATTAACTATGTGTTTTGGGGTGGCCGGCTGGCTTACCGGTTACGTTAGTTGACTAACTATAGACCGAAGCTGTAGAAGGGAAGTTTGTGGCTTCTAGTAACTGTCATCGTATTTTTTACGTCCATAGGAAGTATTAATGTAGGAGCAATCATCTCACCCGATAATTCTTAAAATAGACAGTTCCTAGTAATCCTTACGTAGAAGGCTCCTTTACAGGTACATCATGAACATGCGCTACCGTCATTTTCCTCGGTGTATTCTTGATTTTTGAAGCATGCATTCGAGCTAAAGCGAAGGCCACAGGCATAATTTGCCGTATCAATATCTATTTCGGGGACTCTTGCTACACAGCAGCCGCCAGCCCGAGCCCGGGCTGCGTTTGGCCGCAAAGTCCACAAACTAGGTACGACCCGAACCGATATCCTTGCATGAGATTGCAGAAATTATCCGATACCCGCCGAGCTGATCCCTGGAGACTTAAGAGAAGCATCCAAGTTGAGAGACCCCAAGTGAAAACGGCGCAATTATCTACTACGTTCTACGTCTTTGACCAGCTTCGAAGCTGAATCACCCGGTAGCTTTAGCTTTGTGAAGCGACGTCTCGCCGATCGAAGGGGAGATGAGTGCGGGGCGATCACAATTTGCGTAAGGTATTGATCCTGGTGCTGTGTAAATTCAAGATGATTGTCTACCACCATACTCTGCAGTGACGAGGCAACTGGGGAAATTTTGTGGCTGATAAAGGTAGATCACTTTGAACTCCTTGCGGGTTTGATGATAAAATCACGTATTCTACTAGAGCTCTCCACTCTAAGATATATGGCAGATCGTTAGTGGCTGGGGAAGCGCGGTGTGATGAGCGACCCCATTTTGTGCGAAATTCAGCCGATAGGTCCCAAGGCCAAGCAGATCTTCCCAACGAGAAGAATTTTGGGATAGATCAAGTCTGACATAAGCGGTGGCTTGCCATACAGACGAACCAATCCCTGGCCCGAGTTCCAAGGATCAAGTGCGAGCCCAGATCGACAGAGCAAATCCCGGTCATGCAGCCAACGAAGTGGGGAGCAATTCGCGTTCGCGTGCTGGTAACTCTGCAAGGGAGCTGAAGAGCAGGGAGCGCGTACCGTGGAACAGGAAAAGGCCGGAGCACAAAGGAGGGGGTTTGATCCGATCTATCATAGCTCTAAACCCATGATTGGGGGGGGGAAACCTTGGATTTGGCCCCCAAATTGTATCTCGGTACCATCTTGTGGAGATGGGAAGCGATGAATACGGGGGATTTCCGTAATAAATCCAGTGATGCGTATAGGCTTCGGGGCCAACTCGAGTCAGTACGCGGGACCCAGTACTCTGGACATGGAGTGACAGGGATTGCACGGGACTCGTTCGTCAATGCGGCCTAGCGTAATTGAGCTCCAACCAGTCCCTTGGGTGTCTGGTAATACCCTTTTCTCCAGACGGTCCGCGTTCCCGCCCGTGACTGTGGGTCGAGTCGATCCGAATTACTTACCGTACATATCGTGTACGGGGTATACAGAAAAACAGGAAAACACCCAAACCCGGGAGACTGGATGAACAAGGATCTCTAGTATTACCTGTGACACTAAGCCCCTAAACCTTATAGACTTGGAATTTCTTTGCTACGCCGGAAGCCCTTTTCGTTTTCATTCCTTTCTTTCTCTCTCTCTTTCTCTTTCTCTTCCCCCCCCCCCTCCTCAGTGGTTCCGGCTGCTTTATCCCGCCCCGCTACCCGTGGATCCCAAACCAAAAAAGCTTCAACCTTAGTCTTTGCAATTAGTTTCCTTGGGATGGACTTCTAGTTGTGAAGAGGGTTCCGTTGCCCTAACCCCCAATATTCACTCGTTTTTCCTCCTGGCGACCGGACTTTCCCTCAGCGTTGGCAAACTGCTCACCAACCGGCTTTCTTGGTGGCTGGGTCCATGGTGATTTTGTTCGTCATTCCGCTTGTGCGACCCCCTCCTGAGCCTGTGCCCGCGCGAAACCTACCCATCCACAATGCCTCTCGACGACGACCGTATACGGCATTTGCCGATCGACGACCGTATACGCCATCTACCCATCGACGATAACCGTCTACGCCATCTCCCCCCAATGGCTTCGTCACCACCCCCTCCGAAGCGATACAAGTCGGAGTCCACGCCTGCCAGTGATGCCGGTCGCTCCAGGTATTATCACTCCCAGTCCGTTTCCACGAGCGAGCGGGCCTCCTCGCGACAAACGTCCACCGCCATGGACATTTATGTCATTACTGATCGCGATCCATCGGAGAGGGACCGCGACCGCGACAAGGATCTTCGCGTCGGTCGTTTCACCAGCAATGGCTCGGTCGCATCCCGCTCCTCTCTCATATCACAAGCCTCGCGCCCGTCACCACCCATCATCATCAACAATCGCAAGTATGTGTTCATGAGACATCGGGGGTGGAACCCAAATCACTGACCATGTCTAGGATTCCCGAGAAATACCCCCCTGTAGAAGAGAATGGTCGCCTGTACCATGGTTATCACAAGGGCATGTACTTTCTCCCGTGTGACGAGGAGGAACAGGACCGATTAGATATCTTCCACAAAGTGCTGACGGTCGCTCGCGCTTCGGATGGGTTGATTTATGCGCCGCATCCGCCTAACTCGCGCATTCTGGATCTGGGTTGTGGGACGGGCATCTGGTGTATTGAGGTTGCCAACAAATACCCAGATTCTTTCGTAGTCGGAACCGATTTGGCCCCCATTCAACCGACCAATCGGCCCAAAAACTGCGACTTCCACGCTCCATTCGACTTTGAAGGCCCCTGGGCGATGGGTGAAGACTCCTGGGATCTAATCCACATGCAGATGGGATGCGGGAGCGTGCAAAGCTGGGAATCCCTGTACCGGCGTATATTTGACCATCTTCGTCCGGGGGCCTGGTTTGAACAAGTGGAAATCGACTTTGAGCCTCGCTGCGACGACCGTTCGATGAACGGCCTAGCCTTGCGCCACTGGTACAACGCCCTCAAAGGTGCCACCGAACACCGGAATCGACCGATCGCACACAGCTCACGCGAGACCATTCGCAACTTGCAGGACGCGGGCTTTACGGAAGTGGATCACCAGATTGTCGGTTTGCCGCTGAACCCCTGGCACAAGGACGAGCACGAACGCAAGGTAGCTCGGTGGTACAACCTAGCCATGTCCGAGAGCATTGAGGCCCTTGGCTTGGCCACTTTCTCCCGGGCTTGGGAATGGCCAGTCGACAAGATTCAGCGGATAGCGACCGATGTCAAATCAGAAGCGTTCAACAAGGATATCCACTGTTACAACATTTTACATATATACCAGGCGCGCAAGCCGCTTGCCAATTAGCCTTGTGATCGGTGCCCTGGAGGTACCTTGAACTTGAAGCGTTTTCGCGTTGTTCCCCCCCTTCCAACGGGGTCGGACTCATCGGAGTTGAACTAAGTTATGAGCAAAAGTCTCTTTGTCCTTTTTTCACGGAGTGTCACAAATTCGGCAACAGTTGAAACTTATTAAAGCCTCACCGATAACAGTGAAATCCGATCGGATCCGATATCCCATTTTATAACGATTAAATTTCCCTGATACGCCCAGCGTCTGGCCCGAACCAACGGTCAAAGAGCCGACGATTATGACCAACAATCTCTTCATTTCGATCTTCTATCAACGAAAATCAGCCACAATCATGGCAATCAAGTTCCGTGGAGATTATGTCCCCACGTTCCTCACCTCTGATTCCACAACCCTTGATGGAGTCGAGCAGGACAAAAGATAAAAGAGATTATATCATGACTTGCTTTCTACATGCTGCCTTTAGCATCTTCGTGGCGTTTGGATTTTTCTTTGCTCCGGCTTGTGGTATATACCCAGGTGTCTCACCTTAGCTTCTGTGGTTGAGTTTGCTAGCCAGACAACTTTTTGAACCTTCAATTGGGACTTTGTTTTGATACCTTCATGTAGCTCTTACTTTCAGTGGCATATATAAAACCTTTCAGATTTTGAATCTGTGACTTCCTATCGACTTTATGTCATTAGATTAGATATTGCTGATGCATGGAGGTATTGTCGTGTATATGTCATTCATCGGGTATTGATACCATATATTCGTGTAGATGCTGCTATGGTGCTGGTTTTCAGGAAAATGGCTTCTGTGTCCGAGTACGTCACCTGAGATGCTACCAGTACACTAAGTAATATTTGACACCGCTAACGCCAAGATGAACCTTTCAAAACTCCTTATATGCACATTAGATATTCATCAAAAAAGAGCCACTTTCAGCGCCGTCGCTTCCGAGTTGCTCCTCGGGAGACACCATTAGCTGTAGAGTCCTTTTCCATATCCGCATCGGTTGCTTCCCGGCTAGCACCTGGGGTACGACGACGCATGGTGCCAGGGCCAACAGCAATGATATCTTCGCCGCTGTCGCTGTCCGAGATGTCCAGAAGAACAGGGACACGAAAGGCACTCGCTAGATCTGCGTCGGTCATATCTTTGGCTGGGTCAGCGGTGACAGCATCAGGCTCTTCATCTTCCAGGTCCAGCCGGCGTTGATGCACCTGTTCAGCTGGGTGGATGTCGAATTCATCCTCGCGCTCCACGTACTCGACGTTCTCTTCGACTTCGCCGAAATCGGGCGCCAGAGCGGACCATTTCTGAGGGCTGATAATGGACCACGTGTAGATGCATCCGGTTTCCAGGCTGCAGCCTACGATCATCGGTCGGGTAGGGTGCCATTCCACTACGCCGAGTTCCTGGGGACTTTCGAGGATCTTGTCGAGGGATCCATGGCGCCGTTCCCAGATATAGATGTCTGAGTTCATGTAGGTCGACGCGCAGACAAATTCACCGGTTGAGGAGAATGTGACGTGGTTCCAGCTCAGACGATTGACGACATCCTGGAACTTGTGTTCGACATTGAGTTTGATGTTGGATTCTTCGAGCTCGGTGCCGAGTTGGGAGAGGTCGGGCATTAGGACTGTGCGGATAATACGGTCCGAGCTGTTGAGCAGTAGGTCTCGTCCGTTACGGGCAAGACGGAGGAGAATCACAACGCCATTGCAGGGGCGCATGGAGTGGATTGTCCTGCAGGTTTCGGTTGTGATAATGTTGATCCATCCTTTCGATGTGCCGGAGATGATGTGGTTTCCAAATGCCGAGAAGATAGTGACACAGGTTGATTGTTTGGCATCTTGGGCGGCCCGCTTAGCTGCTGCCACTGGATCTAATTCTTCTGTATCAGGTCGGAAGGGGGCGGTGGGTAGGATACGCTTGACTGGTGTTCTTTTGGAGATGTCGACCAGGACGGGTTGGTCTTCAAAGAGTGAAGCCACAAATAGGAGACTAAGAGGCAATGAAGGAAAGGTTAATCATTTGAAGATGGAAACGGTAGGAAGGGGACAAGGTGAGCTGTACTGGTTAAATGGGTGCAGCTCCGCAATGTACACTGGTGCTTCAAATCGGACGGTGTGTATGCGTGAGCCATCCTCTAGGTCCCACAATATACACTTCCAATCCTGAGACGAAGTAAGAAGGTAGCGACCACATCGCGACCAGCTAATCGAGCCATTAGATACATGTACTTATGATGTGGGGGAGGTGGTAAATACCTAAGAGATTGGATCTGGCGAGTGTGGCCTTGGAGTTTGCGCGCGACACCATTGGTCTCAATGTCAAATATCACCACGGTGCCATCAACCTATCATATCACCGTCAACTTCTGTCACCAATTTGAATTGCGGTTTGTGATTGCGTGTAAGGTGTACGAACTCGACCGGATGCTAGATAGTCGCCAGTGTGGTTGAAACGAAGGCAGGTTGCATGACCGCTGCCTGGACATGGTTAGTTCCACCATCGATAGGGTGGGGAGGGTCCAGAGGTATTGCTTACTTAGTTTCTCGGTCAGAGTGTCGGGGTATTCCTGGGCCAGGACAAACGGGTCAACGAGTGAGAGGTTCATTGCGGCAGAGACGTGGACGCGATATTCTCAGAAGTGATTCCCAGCCTGGGAGAACGGCCAGAAGCTTGAGCAAGCATTCAGCACCGAAACCTTAGAATTGGGCAATGAGATCTCGTGACTTTCCACAACAATGCAATGAACGGAAACAACGACTGCGATAAGGTTGTCATCTTAGATCTGCCACTCCGGAGGATTTCTTGAAGGCGGTGAATATCACTACCTACAATGATCATGATGCATGGCCAATCAGAGAGAGCTTTTCGAATTCTTGTTAAATATTGATTCCAAAATCATAGGCCTTGTGAAGTTCTGATATTTGAATTTTGGTTTCGCTGTCCAACTATCATTGATCTTACTAGGCAAAAATCCCAGCATGGCTCCAGCTACATCAACATATATGTACATCTACCTGGTGAGCTTAGGCTTAGGAATGGTTAATGATGTATGTCTAGGTAGGGTTAATACAGTCTAGGTGAGCCAAATCACTTTATTATAGTATGAATGTGCAAATTCCACGTGCCAGGTTTCAGAGTGATCAATTTCCCAATCCAGAGTTAGCAGCAACATCGAACAGAAGAAGCATCTAGACAGGCCAGACTCTATATATTCGGCTCACAGATAGAATAGTGAAGGCCGATTCGTGGGAAAAGCTTAAATTTGCAGTTTGATGTTTTGACTATTAAAATTTCTGCGAGCTTTTCTTCACACCGGGCAAAGCTGGATCCTCAAACCATTCACCAATGCAAAGATTCAGTGAAAGATGTTAAAAGATGGATTCGTGGATGGGAACAGTGAATCTGTACAATTCTGCCCCGTTCTGTTTGTACTCACCGCTTACCACTTACAGTAATCGACCGGCGCCGGTCGCGCTAGTGAGTCCAGGGAAAACTCGAGCCCCATCAGCGGGTGAGGCAACCTTCACCATCTCCCTTTCAACCTTCCCCGACACGCCCGCCATCACCTCCCCATCCAAGAATATCGCGTTCCCCATCGCGATATATCTTCAAGAGTCCACCGATACGCGACCACTAGCGGCATCCCTCCATTTTCCCTCCTTTTTCGGGCTTCGTGACTCCGGGGACTCCAGGTCGCCGGCGCCCTCGTGGCAAGGGCTGCCAAAGGCCTCAGCCGGCCAGCTATTCTCAACCCCACCCTCATTTCATCGTCGCTTCGTGTGATTTTGACTCTCGGCCATCGGTCCAGTCGGTCTCTTCAGCTTTTGCGCGTTAACGATCCCCAGATCCTTCGTTATCTCACCTCCGCGCTCGACCCGTCGATTCCGATTACCTTCACTTTTTACATCCTACCATCGCAATCATGTCTAACGTCTTTTTCCCCTTCTCTAAGGCGCCTCTGCGCACGGTGAAGGAGATTCAATTTGGTCTCTTTTCGCCCGAGGACATCAAGCGGATGAGTGTTGTGCACGTTGAATACCCAGAGACAATGGTATGGCAACACAGTATTCCCTTAACTGTTACCGCAAGCTTCATCTAGAATCGAACCAAGTCACTAACGCCCGAACCCAACAGGACGAACAACGGCAGCGCCCTCGGACCAAAGGTGTGAATGACCCGCGCTTGGGCACGATCGATCGCCAGTACAACTGCGAGACTTGCGAAGAGGGCCCAAAAGAGTGTCCCGGTCACTTTGGTCACATCGAGCTCGCATCTCCAGTGTTTCACATTGGTAGGTTTTGCAAATATTGAGCCGGAGACAGCACGCGGACGCTGATTTTTCTTTTTCACTCAGGTTTCTTGACCAAAATTAAGAAGCTTTTGGAGACTGTTTGCCACAACTGTGGAAAGATAAAAGCTAATACGGTTAGTCATCCCTTTTGGGATGGCAAATCTTACATGGCATATTTTTTTACTAACAATGAGACCAGTCCGATTCTAAATTTTTGGAAGCTCTTCGTATGCGAGACCCGAAACGGCGCTTCGACCATATCTGGCGACTTTCGAAGGACGTTTTGATCTGTGAGGCTGATCCATCACCCGACGATGATGAGTACCAAAAAGAGGGCCAGAAGAAACACCTCCACGGTGGTTGTGGCAACGCCCAGCCTACCGTTCGAAAGGAGGGAATCACTCTTGTCGGCACATGGAAACCCAGCAAGAGCATGATGGAGGATGAGATGGCACAGCCGGAGAAGAAGGTGATCACTCCGGGCATGGCTTTGAACATCTTCCGGAACATCTCTCACGAAGAGGTGCGCATTATGGGTCTCAGCAACGATTACGCTCGCCCTGAATGGATGATTCTTACCGTTCTTCCCGTCCCACCCCCAACTGTCCGTCCCAGTGTTATGATGGGCGCTACCAGTGGTTCTCGTGGTGAGGATGATTTGACCTACAAGCTGGCTGAAATTGTTCGCGCGAACCAGAATGTCCAGCGCTGTGAACAAGAGGGCGCACCGGAACACGTTATCCGTGAATTCGAGTCCCTACTGCAGTACCATATCGCTACATATATGGATAACGACATTGCTGGTCAACCAAAGGCTATGCAAAAGGGAAACCGACCTGTCAAGGCTTTGCGCAGTCGTCTAAAGGGTAAGGAAGGTCGTCTACGTCAGAACTTGATGGGTAAGCGTGTCGACTTCTCGGCCCGTACTGTCATTACTGGTGATCCGAACTTGTCTCTCGAGGAAGTTGGTGTGCCAATTTCGACTGCGAAGATCCTGACCTATCCGGAGGTCGTGACTCCCTACAACATTGAGAAGTTGCAGGCATTGGTCTCAAATGGACCTAACATACACCCCGGCGCGCGGTACATTGTTCGAGACAATGGTGAGCGAATTGATCTTCGTCACGCCAAGCGTGCTGGTGCCCAGCAACTGCTTTACGGCTGGAAGGTCGAGCGCCACCTAGACAACGGCGATGTTATTCTGTTCAACCGTCAGCCCTCGCTCCATAAGGAGTCTATGATGGGTCACCGCGTTCGCGTCATGCCGTTCTCAACTTTCCGAATGAACCTGTCTGTCACATCTCCCTACAACGCCGATTTCGATGGTGACGAGATGAACTTGCACGTTCCCCAAAGTGAAGAGGCCCGCGCTGAGCTGTCAGAACTGGCCCTCGTTCCGAAGAACATTGTGTCCCCTCAGCGCAATGGTCCTCTCATGGGTATTGTCCAGGACAGTCTCTGCGGTATTTACAAGCTTTGCCGTCGTGACATCTTCCTTTCCAAGGATCAGGTCATGAACATCATGCTCTGGGTTCCTGAATGGGATGGTGTCATTCCTCCTCCCGCAATCCTCAAGCCCCGTCCGCGTTGGACTGGAAAGCAGATGATCAGTATGGCCTTCCCCTCTGGACTTAACCTTCTGCGTATCGACAAGGACAGCCAGCCACTCTCCGAGAAATTTAGTCCTCTTAATGACGGTGGTCTGCTGATCCATGGCGGACAGCTGCTGTATGGTATGCTCTCGAAGAAGACCGTTGGTGCAAGTGGCGGTGGTGTTATTCATACCATTTTCAATGAGTATGGGCCCGACCAGGCTGTTCACTTCTTCAACGGTGCCCAGAGAATTGTCAACTACTGGCTTCTTCACCATGGTTTCAGTATCGGTATCGGTGATACGATTCCTGATCGTCGCACCATTGAGAAGATTGAGGCAGCCGTCCGTGAGCGTAAGAATGAGGTCGAGCAAATTACTGCTAGTGCTACAGAGAACACTCTGGAGGCGTTGCCTGGTATGAACGTTCGTGAGACCTTTGAGAGCAAGGTTTCTCGTGCTCTCAACAACGCCCGTGATGAAGCTGGTGCTGCTACCGAGCAGAGTCTGAAGGATTTGAATAACGCGATTCAGATGGCTCGTTCCGGCTCCAAGGGTTCCACCATTAACATCTCCCAGATGACGGCCGTTGTGGGACAGCAGTCCGTGGAAGGCAAACGTATTCCCTTTGGTTTCAAGTACCGCACCTTGCCCCACTTTACCAAGGATGACTATTCCCCCGAATCCCGTGGTTTCGTTGAGAACTCATACCTGCGTGGTCTGACCCCCACTGAATTCTTTTTCCACGCCATGGCAGGTCGTGAAGGTTTGATCGATACTGCGGTCAAGACTGCTGAAACCGGTTACATTCAACGTAAGCTGGTCAAGGCTTTGGAGGAGGTCATGGTCAAGTATGATGGAACTGTGCGCAATTCCCTTGGCGATATTATTCAATTTATTTACGGAGAGGATGGACTGGATGGCGCACATATTGAGAACCAGCGAGTTGATACCATCCGATGCTCTGATGAGAAGCTGCGGGATCGCTTCCGTGTCGATGTTATGGACCCTGAGCGAACTCTTGGCCCTGACGTGCTGGAGCAAGCCAATGAAATTGCGGGTGATATGGAGGTTCAGAAGTACCTCGATGAAGAATGGGAGGCAATTTTGAAGGATCGCGCCTTCCTTCGTACTGTCTGCAAAGAAGACGAAGAAATGATGCAGCTTCCTATCAACATTCAAAGAATTCTCGAGATGGCTAGAACTACCTTCCGCATCCGCGAGGGTACCATTAGTGATCTGCACCCTGCTGAAGTTATCCCTCAAGTCCAAGCCCTTTTGGACCGACTTCTCATTGTCCGTGGTGATGATCCGATATCGCGTGAGGCTCAGGATAACGCGACTTTGCTTTTCAAGGCTCAGTTGCGCAGCCGTCTCGCTTTCCGACGTCTTGTCACTGATTACTCTCTTAACAAACTGGCTTTCCAGCACGTTATTGGAGCCATTGAGAGCCGCTTCGCCCGCGCGGCGGCCAACCCCGGCGAAATGGTTGGTGTTCTTGCAGCTCAGTCTATTGGTGAGCCTGCCACTCAAATGACACTGAATACCTTCCATTTTGCTGGTGTTTCATCCAAGAACGTGACACTAGGTGTTCCTCGTTTGAAGGAAATTTTGAACGTGGCTACCAACATCAAGACGCCGTCTATGACTGTGTACCAAGAACCTCACCAGACCTTCAATAAGGAGGGTGCTAAGCAGTTACGAAGTGTTGTCGAGCACACCAGCTTGCGATCCGTCACCGAGGCAACCGAGATTTACTATGATCCTGAGATCCAGTCTACTGTCATCGAGAACGATCGGGACATGGTGGAGTCCTACTTCATCATTCCAGAGGATGTTGGTGAGGACCCGGCTCACCAGTCTAAGTGGCTTCTTCGCATTATCCTCAGTCGGCCCAAACTACTCGACAAAGGACTTACGGTGCAGGAAGTCGCCTCCAAGATCAAGCAGGCATACCCTCGTGATATCGCTGTCATTTTCAGTGATAACAACGCCGATGAGCAAGTGATTCGTATTCGTCAAATCCAGGATCACAAGGATGACGAAGATGATGATGTTGAGTACGATGTAACCTTGAAGAAGCTCGAGCAGCATCTTCTTGATACACTGACTCTCCGTGGTGTTCCTGGTGTGGAACGTGCATTCATCAACGAGAAGGGTATTGTTCGTATCCTTGAGGATGGCACTTTGTTCACAAGCAAGTCGGATCCCCTCTGCAAGGAATGGGTTCTCGAGACCAGTGGCTCCGCACTCGCTCCAGTTCTTGCGATTCCTGGCGTGGATGCTACGCGTACATACTCTAATCAGTTCATCGAGATTTTCGAAGTCTTCGGTATTGAGGCTGCGCGTACTGCTGTGCTCCGTGAGTTGACCCAGGTGCTAGCCTTCGACGGTTCCTATGTCAACCACCGTCACTTGGCTCTCCTGGTTGATGTCATGACCGTGCGAGGTTACCTGACCCCTGTCACTCGTCACGGTATTAACCGTGCTGACAACGGTGCGCTGATGCGCTGCTCGTTCGAGGAGACCGTTGAGATTCTTCTGGAGGCTGCCGCTTTCGGAGAGCTTGATGACTGCCGTGGTGTGTCAGAGAACCTGATTCTTGGACAGATGGCCCCCGCTGGCACGGGCGAGTTTGACGTTTACCTCGATCAAAACCTGCTGAACACGGTTGTGTCAAACCAACCTCGCTTCGTCGGTGCCAAGGATCCTATTATCAACGACGGTGCTGCCACTCAGTACGACACTGGGTCCCCCATGGCCAGCTCTCCGTACTTGGTAGATGGCGACCCAGATTCGGCCTTCTCGCCTATCCGCCAGCCTGGTGCGGAAACTCCTGGCGGATTTACCCAGTACAAGTCTGATTATGGCATTGGTGGGTTCAGTCCTGGCGCTCGCAGTCCTGGTGCCTACTCCCCCAGTAGCCCCTTCAATACCAGTCCGACTTCTCCTGGATACTCCCCGACATCAAGTTATTCTCCCACGTCGCCTGGTATGAGTATGTCGATGACTTCTCCTGGTTTCTCACCCGCCACGAGCCCGTCGTTTGCCCCGACATCTCCGGCCTACTCGCCGACGTCGCCGGCTTATGGCCAAGCGTCCCCTACGTCGCCTTCATACTCGCCGACTTCTCCCGGGTTCTCGCCTACATCTCCCAATTATAGCCCCACGTCTCCCAGCTTCAGTCCGGCCTCGCCGGCCTTTAGCCCGACGTCTCCAAGCTATAGCCCTACCAGCCCTGCGCTCGGTGGCGGCCGGCACCTATCCCCTACATCTCCCACATCTCCCAAGTACACACCCACGTCCCCTGGCTGGTCTCCTACGAGCCCCCAGTCATATTCGCCGACCTCTCCTAACTTCGCTGGATCATCGACGTCGCCTACTTCCCCTGGCTACAGCCCAACCTCCCCGGCTTACAGCCCAACGTAAGTTTTCTCCTCAACCATTCGCTACAATGAATACCTTGGCTAACACTGCGATCAGGTCTCCGCGTCAGTGAAGTTTGGACAGATACGCCTTACTCAATCGGGGTTCGTGCTGTACTATTGTACCAACAACCAATTCAGATAAACCACAAAAAGAATCATCTCGCATCCGACATTGTGGGAAAGAATAGTCATTTTTTATTTTTCACGATCTGGGGGCTTCCCACCCTTTCACCTGTATCTGTTTTCTTAGCAACGTTCGAAGCCATTAGGCTATTCATCATTTCTTCTTTTTTTTTTACCTCTTTTTTGCTCCTTGAAGATGCCCTAGTTTCAGCAGTCAGTCCATTTTGTTATTTTATCAAGATTGTGAATGGCTTCTGCTACCCCTACGACCTTGGTGGATGGCTCTGAATGGATCCTTATGAAGGCTCAGGTCGTGCTTTGGGATGGATGCTTTCCTAGATCCATCTTCAGCGGCGACTTCGGAGCTTCCGTCTGGTGTATCAGGACTACATAAACGTTTATTTTCTCTCTTTTACTTGCATGAAGAGCGTACTCGGGCTTTTGTGTTTGATTTGATCGTTTCCCCTGCTGTACACAGAACCTCAGGGAGTTGAATAAAATAAAAGAATTTAATGAGTGCTCTTCACTTTGGTTGTAATACTGTTGTGATACTACGTACTTGGTTGACTACAGTAGTTGATGGAGATAAGCGCTGATTCGCCATCGGTAAAACCAAGCTCCGTCAAGCCAAGTGGCCCGTTGGAACTACATCACCGCTCCTGTTTTACGCAAAAAGTCGCAATGCGACTCTTTTCCCTAATATCTCATACATCTCTAGCATCATGAGGACCTCATTTGCTAGTGTATTCCCGACCTTGCGTAAGCTCTCTTTCCGAAGTAGTGTCCCCTGGGACGTGCTGACCTCTTCCCAGTGCTACTACACGCATGCACAGCAGGGTCAACTCAAGCGCCTTTAGCAGATGCTCCATCGAGCCAGGCCGCTGGCAACATTGATCACCCAGAATACCTATTTGCGCCCGGGGAGACAGAATTTCGCGCTATCAGTCGTGAGTACATGGGTAGCCCGGATCTTATCGCGTGAGGAGGTTCAACCTACCCAAACGTACTAATGTGGCTTTCTACTATTTACAGCAAGAGTTCAGCATGCCTGGGATACTCTCCGAGCCATAAAGCCCGCTACTTCCCCCACCGATAAGCCTAGCGGCTTGCTCGGATACACCTTACACTATGGCCGCGAAGCCTTCCGGATACTGTTCATGAATGGACCCGCCGCGGGCAAAACCGATCGGAAAACCATCTCGACCGTCACACGAGCCGTGGAGGAACTGAAGGCGGCAGCGGATGAAGATGAGGACCCAGACGCGATCTTTCTTCTCGCGGAGATGAACTTCTATGGCAATTTCACTCATCCCCGCAACTTCAGCGAGGCATTCCTATGGTACAATGACTTGGCGTGGCTTGATGGCAACAGTACGGCCCAGTCCATGGTTGGATTTATGTATGCGACAGGGATCGGTAACGCCGTTGAGCGTGATCAAGCGAAGGCGTTGATGTACCACGAATTCGCTGCGGAGGGAGGAAACACACAATCAGAGATGACGCTGGCATATCGCTATCACACCGGGATTGGAACACCCAAAGATTGCGAGCATGCTGTCGCTTATTATAAGAGAGTGGCCGATAAGGCGATGGACTATTTTCGGTCTGGCCCACCGGGTGGCCACGCCATGGTCAGGGAATCCTATCGCTGGGCAGATGAGGAGGGAGGCGTCTACGGCGAGGGGGCTAGTGTGTCAAGCTCTGGCCCCAACGCGAAGGACCATAATAAAGCTACTCAAGAGTCCAGCGTTGAGGATGTCCTGGAGTTCCTGGATCTTATGTCCCGCAAGGGCCAGCTGTCGGCTACTTTCTCCCTAGGAAAGATGAATTATGAGGGTGCTCGCGGCTTGCCTCGTAATTTCTATAAAGCCATGAAGTATTTCAGGCTCATCACTGCCAAATACTGGAAAAAGGATGGCACCATCATGCAGAACCCCCCTGCTGGACTCGACAAGGTAGCTGCGAAAGCAGCAGGACATATTGGTCTGATGTTCCTTCGTGGGGAAGGTGTGAAGCAGGATTTCTCCCATGCGCTGTTCTGGTTTAAGCGCGGCTTGGCAAATGGCGATGATCTTTGCCAGCATCATATGGGCTTGATGTATCTCCATGGTTACGGTGTTCCCAAGGATGCCTGGAAGGCCTCCAATTATTTCAAGTCAGCAGCCGAGCAGGATAACCCGGCCGCTGAAACAAGACTGGGTGCGTTGTTCTTGGATCAAGGCGACGTGGCTACTGCGGCTCGTTACTTTGATATTGCCGCTCGACACGGGTGGATGGAGGCCTACTACTACCTCGCTGAGATGGCCAACTTTGGTGTTGGCAGGCAGAGACACTGCGGTGTAGCTGCGGCGTATTACAAGATGGTGTCTGAGAAAGCAGAGGCGATGCACTCAGCAATTGCTGAGTCTAATGCGGCCTACGAGGCTGGCGACAAGGAGAGCGCTCTTGTCCCTACAATGATGGCCGCTGAGCAGGGATATGAGAATGCCCAGGCTAATGTAGCCTACTTGCTTGACGAGCAGCGATCCTTGGTTCCCTTGGGTGGCATTTTCCCTTGGCTTCGCCAGGCCCGTTCCTCCTTACTGCATAATACCGCACTCGCATTGATTTACTGGACCCGATCCGCCAAACAAGCGAATGTCGACTCCTTGATCAAAATGGGAGATTACTACCTTGCTGGCACCGGTGCAGTCTCGGATGCCGAGAAGGCGTCCACCTGCTATCATAATGCTGCAGAGGCCCACCACAGCGCCCAGGCTTACTGGAATCTGGGATGGATGCATGAGAATGGGGTTGCTGTGGCACAAGATTTCCATATGGCCAAACGATATTATGATCTGGCGCTAGAGACCAACAAAGAAGCCTACCTGCCTGTGAAGCTTAGTCTGCTGAAGCTGCGGGCTCGAGGCTACTGGAACCGCATTACAAACGGCGACATTAATCCCATCCGCGATGATGAAGGTGGGCATATATTGATGCAATTGATCCATTGATATTTATTTTCTAACATTATAATTAGAAGCCAAACCCCGCCGCAACTTTAGAGAGTGGCTCTCTGCATTTATTGAAAATGACGAAGCTGCCTACTACCAAGAGCTCTATGAAGCCCATGCAGAGGATGAAGACTTTATGCGAACGCGTGGTCTGGAATCGGACCACGAGGACGGCTACTACGACGACCTCGAGTTTGACATTGATGAAGGTATGCTTGAGGGTCTGCTCATTGTTGGATTGGCAGCAACGCTTCTCGTGTTGGTCTATATCCGACAGCAGCAACAAAGGAACCGGCAGAACCAGAATGCTGCGAACTTGGCAAATGCAAATGCGAATGCAAATGCGAACGCAGGCAATGACCGGGGTCTTTTCCCGCAACCTGGTGATCCTGAATTTGGGCAGTGGGTGGCTGGGGGTGTGGGCCATTGATGTATACAAAATCTCTAGATACTTCTTATCGATAAGCAAGCACCCTATCACTTGGACTTTGCATCTTCCTGTAGTCATCATCCACCATGGATCACAATTCCCGTAAGCGTCGTCGTCTTGACGCTGCTGCTACACTCTCAAAGCCATTCAAGTCTCCACTGCGCAGACCCCTCTCCACAGAGTTCAATTCGCCAACTTTGACGTCAGGCTCAACCACTCAGCATGCAACTCAACCAGCCTCTCCAGTCCAGACCAAACAAAACCAAGAGAAAGCTGCAACTACACCGAAGTTCTCACCAGTTGTCCGCCGTCAGATTCCAGGATTCATCGGCCCGACTACGCCAACGCGATCCGCCGACCCAGAACTCTTAGACTTACAGAAACAGCAAGTCTCTCTCCAATCACGAATGTCCGCTCTACGCAAGGACCGAGACACGGTCCACCAAGCGCTCCGAATTGAATCGACCAGCAAAGACACAGAGCTTGAAGCCTTGATCCTCAAATGGCGTCGTGCGGGTCAGGACGCTGCCGACGATGTATATGCTAACGCTCAAGAACGTGTGACCAGGATGGGTGGGATGGCAGCCTGGATGGAGCGCAGCAGACGTGATGCCGTGCGATGGGACAACGAGGAACCACAGGCGCATGAGTCGGACCGGAAGAGTAATTCAAGCCACCAAGAAAAGGAGATGCCGGACGTGGTTAGTTTGGTCAGAGGTTGATTTCTGGTGTATGTTGGGAGCTGACTAGGTCGATAGGAATTCACGATGGGATTTATGCTCAAGACCCTCAACATCGAGCCTAAGACGATCGGGTACGACCCCGCGACGGGCAAATGGATCCGGGAGGTTTAGTTGGAACCCCTGAATGTGAGGATTCTGCAGCCTGATCTTTCACCTGCCTCGGCATCCTTTTTAGTTACCCTCGATGAGGATATTTATGAGGCGCTGTACCCTTTATCATGACGTGAACTGAAAGCATCTTCGCATATGTCTTACCACGCAATCCTACCTTCAGTTGAGCTTGCCGCAAGAACTGCCTATTCATGTTATCAGTAGAATAGATTCCCGACCCACTCGGAATGGACTTAGATAACTTGCAGCGAGGAGCCTATCATCTTGAACGGTGTCATACATTCCGAGTGGAGCCCGAAACCTTCTTATCAACATCCAGACTTTCTCCCCCGCACTCTCCTTCTCCAACTCCCGCATGTCGCGTCCGTTGAAGCAAAGAGAAATCGCCTGCGCTCGCTGTTTTCGTTTGAAACGGAAATGCGACCACGCCAAACCTACCTGTGGTGAATGTCGCCGCAAAGGCGCGGAATGTTTACCGGCCCGGTCTCGGCGGTGCGGGGAGAGCATCACAGTTCCATTGACCTACTTGAAGGAACTGGAGAGGACAGTGGCCGAACTGGAGGGCCATTCTCAAAAGACCGACGCACCGGTTGAATCGCGAGATGTCGGTGTCCAGACAGACCCAGTGACCGTGGATACACCAACCACTCCGTGCCTGCCATGGGAATGCCGAGATAAGCCACTGAATTGGAAACCGGACTTGATGTCGGATGACAGTACACTGGTATTGTTTGCTACACAGTCTCCAGACCGAATACTCAGACCTCCTTCCCAGATTTCATTTACAGACACATTCTCCTTGAACGAGGAAACTCTGGATTTCATCCGCCTCGATAAGAGCCCAATCTATCCATTGATCGGTGACGACTCCCCGTGGCTGACCGAGCTATATACAAGTATTTATTTTTCAATATCTCATCGCGAGTGGCCCTTTTTGAACGAGACCACCTGGAAATCATGGCAGAAAGATGACCTTTCAGGCGGACGAGAAGAATGGCAGACTTTCTTTCTGCGCATGGTCTATGCCATTGGCGCATCATTGTGTAGCATCATGCGGCGAGACCCTGCGCATTCTGTTCGGTCTCAAGAGCTCTATGCATCTGCCATGAATTACTACCCACACGTTGTGGGACATCCGTCGATGGTCCTGCAGGTTCAAGCCTCCCTACTGCTGATTGTCTACGCGCTACATTCTCCATCCTCGAATGAGATTGCCACCAGTGTGGCTTCCATCGTGCCATTCTGTACAGCAGCAATGACGGAGATTCGGAAATACGCACGAGCCAATCCCGATGGAGAGGTGACTGCCGCCTCGGGGGAGGTTTTGACGGAGAACATGTTCATTGCGTGCTATATGCTGAACGTGATAATTGCGTCTGGATGGGATAGGCCGGTTTCCGATGCATACAAAGCAGTAGAGGATGATGTGAGTGTTCCTGAGCATCCCTCTTCCCCTGTCTTTTCATCGGCATTCATGTAAACTGAACTGACGCGGGTTAGATGTGTACTCTGGGGGATATCATTCAACCCCCTGTCAATACAAATCCCGCACTCAGCCATCTTTTCCGCCTGCGAAAGATTCAAGCGAATATCAGAAGATCGCTGGAAAGGTCTCGGTGGCAACTGGGTGAACGAAAAGATGCCTTCAGCTCTTCTCTCAAGTTAGCTCTAGATGTATGGAGACAAGATATTCCTCGATATGGAATGGTAGATGTGTCATGCGGCTATTACCATCCTAAATGGATGGCAAAATTGTACGACTACAGCATCCTGATCTTGATGGAAGACAAGCATAATTTCCTTGATCATGAAGGAACAGAAGAGATTTTTGCCGCCGTAGTGGAGGTGTGTATGAAGTATCGTCGTTTGCAGGAGGAAGGTCATGTCTTGTGTTTTACGTGGTCAGCTGTGAGTATCGCAAATCCTGATCACCCAGCAGATCGGCTGATATCCTATAGCTCGTTTATCAATTCCGGGCCGGCATCATGCTCCTCTATCTGATCTGGGCAACAAGGTCAACAGCAGACAGTCCATGTCTGCACCAAAGCCAAACCTATAATTCCCCCGAGGCAATTGAAGCCTGCACAAAAAGCCTAGCTTGTTTTACCGACCAATGGAGTGACGCCCTTCCATATCTGAAGGTGTTTGAATTCTTACAGCAGATAATTTTGTGGGATTCAGACACAGCTGCCCCAGGGACAGACGTCGTGGACCTGGAGGAGGCAGAGGTTCATCTCGAGCGACTTAAGGGAACTTATCTCCACAGGGCCATTCTGGGCATGATTGAGGATATGATGTACGGGGGAGCTATACGATATGAGACGCTAACGGATGACCTTATGACGGGAATACCATGAAATGAGTTGGGACGAGCGTAATTTACATGACAATAACGGAATGAAACTTTGTATATTTCACAGGAGAATCAGCTTCCCGGCTGTAGACCCAGCATCGTCATGCGCTCTAATAAGGACAATAGTCTGCTTCAGTGCGGGACTGGTCCAATTTTCCCAGTGGCCATCTCGCTCGGAGACTGGGTACGTTATCATCAGGGACCATTGACTGCCTTTCACGGTGACATTGCATGGCTGACCATTGATATAACCTAGCATGCTTGTCACTGTGGCGCTATTCACAGATCCTTCGATCTGAACAACGACCTCTGAATCACGAATTTCTTTTGTCTGTGTCTCTACCATAATCTTCAGACCCTGGGAGGCATTATTTGGAGTAGAATCGCTAGCTAGAATGCGATCGGAGTCAAGGGCGGGCACAAGAGGCGGTTGAATGCGGGATTTCGTCGCCATTTCAAATGCAAACCCATATCGCAGGAGATTGGTATCTTCGTATGCTCTCCCAGCAAAAGTAAGACTTACAGGCATGTTTATATCCTCCATCACCCCCATGGGAATAGAGATAGTTGGTATGCCAAGATGACGTATGGGCCGATTCCCATTGGAGTACTTGATGCCATTGCTCCATGCATATCGAGAAGCTTCCTCGTCCACGTCGGCATTTGCAGCACCGATATCCGCGATAGCCGGGAAGACAACTGCATCGAGATTCAAATCATCCATCCACGTCTCGAATGTTTCTTTTCGAGCGGTTTCCAATGCCTGAACCGCTTGATGCATCCCAGGAATTTCGAAGATAGAAGGTGGTTTGTTCTGCGGATACTCGACAATCTCACCCCAGCGTGGTTTGTTTGCGGCCTCAGGTGTACCGAGTAAAGAGCCTGGTGCGAGGGGGAAGATGGTAGCGGGATCCACACTAGTCAAGGACTCGAGTCCCTTTTGCCTGTTTGCTACTAGGAAATCGTCCCACGCGTGTGATACAACTTCGCATCGTTCCTTAGCTGCCCATCCCTCTGGAAGATTTGCAACGGTGACAAGTTGGCCCGTGGATGCGTTTTTCTCATAGGATCTCACGAGAGGAAAATCCGTTTCGATAACTTCGGCACCACATGCTTCGAGAGCATGCCGGGCTTCTTGCCATAATTTGATGATTGAGGCTCGGGTGTGGACTTTGCTAACAGGTAAAGTAGAAGAGTCGTCACCTCCGATATACATCGACGGGACACCGATCCGTTTTCCTTGTAGTGAGGACTTGTCCTGTAGAATGGAGAAGGACTCGGGTCGAATTGTTGTCACCGAAGGCAGAGACACAATTTTCTGCTCATTGTAAAAGTCTCCCACTGGATTCGGGTCAGAACTGGCCAAAACATCGAGGACATAAAAAAGATCAGCCACTGTCTTAGTGTGCGGCACTAAAACGTCGCAGGTTGGGTAAAGAGGAAAGACGCCGCGGAGTGGGAGGAGCCCCTTGGAAGGCGTATAAGCAACAATGGCATTATTGGACGCAGGTGAACGACCCGATGAGACAGTTTCGGTCCCCAGAGAAAAAGCACAGAAATTGGAGCTTGTGGCCACCGCCGACCCATTCGATGAACCAGAAGCATATGCTGCGGCCAAGTATTCCTTATTGTAAGGACTCTCAGCGCGCCCCCAGATTCCGCGCTGCATCCCACCGTATGCCATGGCAGGCATGTTGGTCCTGCCGAGTAGAACAGCACCGGCACCACGGAGAAGCTGTACACAAGCGGCATCCTCGTTCGCGATCAGATGTTCGAATGCTGGGGAGCCATTAGCGACTACCATGCCTTTCACTTTGATGTTGTCTTTGACTAGAAAGGGGATTCCCTCTAGTGGCCGAGGAGGAAGTCCTGATGCCCGGTGCGCATCCGAAGCAGCTGACTCTTCGAAAACAGATGGGTTGAGAATGGGGATAGCACTGAGGTTGGGTCCATTGGCGTCATAGACGCTAATGCGACGCAGGTAGCGGAAGACCAAGTCCACGCTGGTGAGTGATCCTGACGAGAGGGCATCTTGAAGCTTGGAAATGCTTGCATCAAGCAGAGTGAAATCTCCGCGACCTGTTGTCATTTTGTGTAGAATGTGATAGTGTGTCTCACACAGGTTGAACTATTGAGATTATATGGTGCACTCAGCGGACTCGAGTCCGCTGAGTACACTGATTAGTCGATCACAAGTGGGGGACTCATTCCAAGCGGAGAGAGTCCGCGTATCTCTCAACAATGACCTTGTTATCATCTTGGCGACGATAACCCCCTCTTTCCAGGGATATTCTCGAGGTTATAAATTGAGCATGTTCTGATTCTGATTCGTGAAAGACATGAAAACCTTCATTTGAATCCATTTGAAGTCTCACGTCCACGATGAATCCAGATCTGAAGCACCAAGTGGGGAAGGTGGATCCGACGGAGAAAGCCAAAGACCCAGACGTTGCACTCGGTCAAGTGCGCGACATCGGAGCCGGTTTGTATGTGGAGGCCGAGCAATTGACGGCAGAAGAAGTGGAGCAAGAAGGAGCAAGGGTTCTGCGGATCATCGATTGGAGACTGATGCCCATTGTGCGTATGTGTTTGCATCTTGCAATCGCGGACTAACCAGCCTCCAGCTTTATGTCACCTATGTGATTCAATTCCTGGGTATGGACCACCTGCCACTTTCCTGAATACGAGACTGACGACTTTCCATAGATAAGCTGTCTCTTAACTATGCGTCGGCATATACCTTGAAGGCGGATCTGGGGCTCGAGGGTCAGCGATACTCTTGGGTCGCCGCCATCTTTAATTTTGGATATCTCTTCTGGGCTATTCCATCGAACCTTTTGCTCCAGAAACTTCCCGTTGCGAAGTATATGGGCTGCATGCTCTTGCTGTGGAGTGTCATTGTCATTGCGCACATCGGAGCGACCAATTATGCCGGAATCCTGGTGCTCAGGTTTCTGCTGGGAATGGCAGAAGCCGGAGTCAGTCCATGTAGTATGTGGGAACACAACTCGAGTTATACATTCGTCAGCTTGCTGATATATGGAAATCAGTGATGGTATTGACATCGATGTTCTACAAACGTTCTGAGCAGCCTCTCCGTATGGCCATCTGGCTGAGCGCCAACGGTATGGCAACGATGGTCGGAGCACTGTTGGGTTTCGGTCTCGGTCATACGCACGATGGCGCTCTTCAAAGCTGGAAGCTCATTTTTTTAACGATCGGGCTTCTGAATTTTGTTAGCGGTGCCGTGTTCCTGTGGCTGATGCCCGACTCGCCCAGCTCGGCGAGGTTCTTGACCCATCGCCAGCGCCTTGTGGCTGTGCGGCGGGTAGCGGAGAACATGATTGGAGTGAAGACGCGGGAAATCAAACCAAGGCAAGTATTGGAATGTTTGTATGACATCAAGGTGCTCTGCTGTGCTGGAATCGGCATTGCTTGTGGTGTCATCAACGGCGGCGTATCCAATTTTGCGTCCTCTCTCATTGAAGGCTTCGGATTCAGCGGGATTTATGCGACAATTCTCCAGTTGCCACTCGGTGCCATTGAGGCGCTTATAGTTCCGGTCTGCGGGTTAGTTGCGACCTTTGTGCCCAATTCACGCTGCATTGTGCTCGCCGTCGTGTGTCTGATCCCATTCGGCGGTTTGTTGGGGATTCGCTTCACAAGCCTTGATCACCGCTGGACTCTTGTCGGTTGTGCTTGGCTGCAGTATGTGGTTGGAGCTCCAGTTATTGTATGCTGGAATCTCCTATCTACAAACGTCGCTGGTCACACCAAGAGAGCTTTCGCTAACGGCATATGGTTCACGGTTTATGCTGGTGGAAATGTGGCAGGAGCAAATATCTTCTTTGCTCGTGAGGCCCCGCGTTACATCTCTGCCTTGACAGGGCTCTTGGTCTGCTATGCGGGGATATTTGTGCTGTCTGCAGTGGCATATGTGGGAATGCGATGGGCAAATTCCCAGAGGGACGCCACTTTGGCTACCAGTGAAGTACCGGATGACCACGGCTCTCAGGCGATTTTGGATGGATTCAAGGATATGACGGATATAGAGTCCAAGAACTTCCGATATGCACTATGATAGATACTTGAATTTATTTCGGATAGGAAATCTTAAATACATACTTGATTGATAGGATACCGGCATGCTTAGTCTAGTTCTGAATGAAACTGCTAGCGTATATATCCGATACTTCGTGGCTATAATAATGATGATTGACCAATCTTTCATTCCACCAATTGACCTAGACCTCCCTAATCAGTATACAAACACAGATCATAGTTCCCGTTTTCATTATTTCCCCAGTAAGTTGGGAAGGAAACCGATTTTCCGGCCGCTCCAAAAATTGCAAATGACAAGATAAAGATAATGATCGAAGTACCGCCATCCAGCGCGGCCGAGACCAGATAGTTGTATTTGATAAAGATGTTTGGGTAGTAGCGTCTCAAGTACCACTGCGATCCAAATCCGATGATAAAGAACGACATGATGGACGAATTAATGCCCACGCAAAGGTAGGAAATATAATAGATCATCACTGATGTGTTAATATTGTTCAGACCGAGCGACGGGAATCGTTTGTGGAGGAAGTAGAAAGGAAGTGGCGTTATAAAGCCAACAAGAATGATGATGCTGCACCACTGGTAGCGCGAACCGACAGAGAACAACTCGTGGGCTAGACCTCCCCATGCGACGGACTGCAGCAGTGGTTAGTCAAAATGGAAGACCCGGCCTTGGAAATTACATACCAAGGTATTGTACTGCTGGGGCTGTTGACCAGACCAAATGTTGGTACCTTCGACCGACAGAAGGATCTCTCGCTGATTGGTAACAATGCTGTTCATCATGATATAGTTGAAAATAGCACCAATGAAAGTGCCGATCATTTGCATGGTGAAAGTGACACGAGGGGCCAAGTGACCGTATTGAGCGAGCTTAAGGTCTTGACACAACAGCGAACCTTGAACTACGGAGTTGTAGCCCTAAATTTGAAATTAGCTTGCAAGCGCATGAGAACTCTGGGTATAATACTCACATAAAGCGTGAAATACATATTAGCAACAGGGTTGCCGGGTTGGATATATCCTCCGATCAATTGTACAATCGGCTGGATGATAAAGGCAATCCCGGTTGTCGCCTGCATGGCTCCAAAAACCAGCAAAAACAGCCATGCAACTAAGCACGACACTAGGAATCCCCACCATGGCAATGTTGAATCTCCCTTGTAGAGACATATCAGCGCCACAACGACGGAAAGTGCTAGTACACAAAGGTACCACCAATCAGGAACCGCCTTGTAGGCCATCATCAGCTTGTAGTGAGGATCATAGTTTTCCTGCTCGGGATCAGGCTTTGCCTCGTCCCGCCAGAAGGTCGGGTTCCAGTTTTTGGGATTGAATTTCTGTGCGAGATTTTGCCAACGGAAGATACCCAGGACCGTCTTCATTTCTGGCCAGTGCCAGAGAAGCATATGCATGATACCAGCGGAGATGCACATATTGGACGTCAGAATATTGATAACGTATGTGGCCGCAAACCACGGTAATCCCACCGTGGCCAACGCGTCCTGACTAATGCGATTGTCGGAGCCAATGACTAGAGTCTGATTCCATTGGAGTTGGTTTTCCATGGTCGCATTCTCACTGAAAAGAACCTGGGAAAGGAATGGGAAGTTCTGTGCGTTCCAGATGTTACCGTAGTAAACACCAGAAAACACCACAATGCATAAGATCACGCCCACTCCTTGGCTGATCAGACTATCGACTGGGTAGTAGAGTGGAGAGTAACCCCCAGAGATGTAATCCCAGTCCAAGCAGAGGGAAAAAAGGCCCATTCCTTCGTTTCCACTGGCACCACCAAAAACGTTGGTAAAGACAGCGCTCTTCTGGTTGGCCAGACAAAAAATGCTCACTCCTGTGAGAATGGGCATAATCCACTCTGGAATGATCTCCCAGCAAAAGACAAGAGTAAAGACAATCCCGAATACCTTGAGAGGTTTCCGAGTCACGGAGCGAGGGCGATATAACGTTTCCAGCATGTTATTCACGGGAAGGTTCTGAGGCCACATCATGGTCTTCGGGTAGACAAGTGTTTTGCGCATCAATCCGCCAAAGCCATAACCCAGCATTTGGGACGAGAATAAAAGGAAGATCGACAGCGCACCATTTAGCTTCGCATCGTAGTAGAGTCGCTCTACCGCCAAAAGTTCGATACCAAGCGCAGCAGTACTGGCTGAATTTGCCATGATAATGATAGCCAGATGCTCTTTGACGTTGAAAGGCTGAGGATTGAACCATTTCCCAATCCATCCTTTTCTTGGGATAATCATTGACAGACCCTCGCCGAGGAGATATGCGAGGACGGCAACGAAAACGGTGGATACCGCAACGGTTTGCGGCTTAAAGTAGTAGATGGAGGAGATGGTACCGCCAAACACCGCTAGACCAATACCTATGGTCAGTGAGTCAGCAAGCCGGTTCGGATTTCGAGCGTTGAATGGTGAGTAAAATACCCAGAAACCAGGTGCGGAATGTGAAACAGTTCAACGTAGGATCATCTTGAACGTGGAGTGTCTGTGTGAGAATGTCATCCTGGTTGGCTGGATGATGAATGTCCACCTCTTCTCCTTCGTCCACCACGTCCACTGAAGGGTCGGCGCTGATGTCCACGGAGACCTTTTTCTCGTCGACCGTACAAGGAGCCAAGGGCTCCTGCGGAGAGGAGACCTCGCCTTGAGGACGAGGGCTGACTTTCAAATCTGGCATGACGACAATATGCCCAAAACAAAAACAATTCGCTCGGCAGGGGAGCAAGCGACATCTTATAGGTAGTAGACCATCACCGCTAAGATGACCCCAAGAAAAGCCCAACGCCACCATGGATCAAGCGCTTGGATCGCAAGTCTTATCAGTGGCTAATGGCAATTCCTTGTTGTCACGCAATCTTCCCCGATAATGCAGGTGGAAGCGGACTTTACCGGGCGAAGTGGTAGTGGTTATCCTACATGACCCACTAAAGCTTGTCTTTTCAAGTGCCCCGGGATCACACAGGGGTGTTCGGACATAAGCATTTTGGCTGAATGGGCATGATTGGACAACCTTGTCCAATCAAAAGACTGGAGTTATCTCTGCTGCACGGATGGCCGACGCGTCTCCGAAGCTAGTCAGTTAGCGTCTGACGCTAAGGCAGATACCGTCTCTGTAAGTTGCAAATGACTTCTTTGTAAAATGGTCGGCAATTGGAAGAGAGCCAATCATTCCCCCCTTGCCACCCAAGTCGTGCTGTAGTTCGGTTTTATACTAAGCGAAGCTGAGGTATGTGAGCAGAACGCCTAGAGTTGGGGTTACTACTCCGTGGATCTAGTTCAATGTTCGGTCAGGATCACACCAATTGATGACATGTTTCTTAGATGATTTTAAGACAAGATAGCACGGACATAAAGCTAACATCGTCAGTGAGAAACCATGATCTGCAGGTATTCGGCTCGGTGGTAATTCAAAAACGAAATTTTGAAAGAAAAGGAATCACAATCGACTTCCCCGGAGAATGCCGTGGAGCGACTCCACACATTCAGGTGGCCCCTCGGACAAATTTGGAAGAGAAGATGCCGTAAAGAGTATTCCTGTGAGCTATTCGGGTGCCATTCCAGATCCCGCTTGATGAGCGGCACAAAGTACAGGAAATTGCACAGACCCAACAGACTCCGGATCTCGGTGTCCAATTCCACGGTCAGGTCCTCATCATCGACAGGACACGAAAAGTAACAGCTGTCTCAAGGGGATGTTCCGGGTGGTGACGCTCCAAACGTCAAGCACTTAGCAAGCTCGGCCTGCGGCATGGAGCCCATACAACCGGTGGATTGTCCGAGACAAATGTCTCTATTTATCGTTGAATTCAGTCGCGCTGGTTTCGTCGACCATACGACAACAGACCTGGCTGGGTTGGAGATGCAACCAACCGTCACTATGGCTTGTTCGAGGCACGTAAGTGAAATCAAAGGGAGCAGACGAGCAAGGGACTCCAGGCATGTCGTTAAAATTGGGGGTCTGCGGTACAGGCGACATCTTAGGAGTTGGGGTGTGATTAATTTGTGGCTGAGAGTCGCCGTTATGTTGGTCTATCTGCTGAATGGATATCGTCGGAGTTGATACCTCAAAATTGAAGACACAGTCAAGTTCCCGAGAAGGTGCGATTTGGGTTCCATATTTGGGCGGAGATGCGAGTTGAACAGATGGAGAGAAAAAGGGATGTCTGGAGTTGAAGGATGGGAAAGAGGAAGGAAAAGAGAGAGTGTGAGAGAGAGGTATGTATAGAGGGGTTTCAAGCAGACAAAGAAATGAAAGCAGTGTAATCTAGACGGGATGCATTATTGCCTCAGGTATCAAGCCGACCAGGTAGCTTCTGGGAATGCTTGTCTTCATGTCTGGTGAATTAACATAGTCAGGCAGGATATTCGTTCCAACTGAATATAACACGACACACCAAAAGGCGCCAGAAATTGCCGAACTCATAGTCAATCGCAAAATATGGTAGGCAAGGACGCGGGTTGCGCCCCTCATTTCAGGCACCTCGGAACCTTCCAAACTTCCCACCCCAACATGACCATTGACTTCCTGACCTACCGCCGTCTAGGAGCTCCCAAATCTCGATTGGGATGCACAACCTGCAAGCAAGTCGATCATTCAGTGTGAAGCGCGGGCTAACTATCGGCCAGGATCCGACGCGTCAAATGTGGCGAGGAGAAGCCAACGTGTCTCCGCTGTTCCAGCACAGGACGGAGATGTGAATACAAGAGAGATCGAGTCTCTTCCTTAGACCCTTCTACGCCGCCTACCCCAGGTTTTCACCGGCCCCTATCACTGTCGCCAAATGCGGGCGCGCGGGAGCGTCGTGCCTTTGAATATTACTTCCAGCATGCCGCTCGGCACCTAGCGGGTGGCTTGAAAGTGGACTTCTGGACCAAAGTCATTCCACAGATTTGTCGCAGTGAGCCTGCGGTGTGGGATGGCATGATAGCGATTAGCGCCTTATTCGAACATCCGAACCAGTGTTTGGACTTTACTCTTTTGAGGAACCGTCGCAAGGCCTCACATGGGTTAAATCAGATCCAACAAGAGGCCTTGACATGGTACTCACGATCAATATCCACTGTTCATTCACAGATCAGTCGTGGCAGTGTAGATCAATATACGGCCCTTATTAGCTGCGTGTTGTTCATCTGCGTGGAAACTATCCAGGGGCGTATGGAAGAAGCCTTGCAGCTATTCGGTCAAGGTGTTACCTTGATTGGTGATCTTCGAACTCAGCGCAATCATGGCAAAGCGCCTTTGAGCAAGGAGGCTCTTCTGGAGCACACCATTATACCTCTGTTTTTACGATTGGGCACAATGTCTCTCACTATTTCGGGGACGCAGCCCAGTGAAATCTTTTCCTTGATGGACAATAATATCGGCTTGGGCTTTTCATCCGTTGAGCATGCCAGGTCTACCATGGTAGTTCTCGCTGCGGAAGTCATGATTTTTGAACGCGAGGCAGTCATGCATCTAAGGGCAGTCGGTGCAAACTCTGTGGATACCGCCAGCATGATTGCGAGAAAACAAGCGCTTCAAACTCGGCTTCTCGAATGGAATGAAATTTACACGGATTTTTGCCGAAATCACTGTGGCCCTACCACCGCCGTTGAACCCGACCCTTTGCTACCCATATACTGTGCCGCTGCATCGATCACCCTGACTGGTTGTTTGACATCGCTGGAAACAGTGTTTGACGCGCACCTTGTGGATTTTGCGGCAATTGTCGAGCAGGCTACTTTGATTCTCAACGTCTCGAGAAGGCCAGACGGCTCCCAGCCACCATTTACATTCGAGTCTGGAGTTGGTGTCCCACTGTTCTTGACAGCCCTCAAATGCCGTCACTCGAGCTTGCGACGCAGAGCCTTGCAATTATTACGACAGGCCCCTCCATTGCAAGGATTTTTTAAGTGTGCGCCAAGTACTCTTATGGCAGCAAGCTTTATGACAATGGAAGAGAGTTATACCCCGGTCTTCAAATCGGTGAATGCTACGGTCGCTGAGCGCATTGAGAATGGCAATCCAGGTGGACTCCCAGGTTCACTACCGATGGTCAATGTGGCCGACCCACAAGACATCCAGGTTCCAGAAGAAGCCCGGATCCATTATTATTGCATTTTCAGACCCAAAGAGTGGTGTCCTCCGGGGGTTGCTCTTGGAGAAGTTGCCAAGTTTGGGTGTGGTCCAGATCAGCTCTTTCTACGCTTTTCAAGGAATCACTTTGACACAAACAGCAAGACTTGGCGAGAGATCTTTGAATGCATACCCCTGGGTGGCAGCCTATGAATGTTCTGTTTCGGATAGATATTTCTTATCTCCACGACTTATGATCATGATGATATCCCCATACGCCATCAGATCTTTGGCTCCTTGCATTTTGACTTAGAACAAGTTTCTATCTGATTGTCTTAGAGATTGCAATATGGCCGTTTTTCAGTCGGTTGCCATTCATAAAGCTCACCCACAGGTCTTTGAGATCTGATCCCAAGCGAGCTACATCCTCTTGGGTACTTTTTCCAATCAGCATCGGGGCAGTCTTCCAGGCATCCCATGCCCCGAGCACAAAAGGGATATCGATGCAATGACACGCGCCCAAGGCGTTGTCATCAGCAGCCCATTCAAATGAGTAACTTGTTGATATGCCGCCTGCGCGTAATGTCTGTTCATGAAAACGGAGTGATGGCCACTTGAAGTAGCTTTGAGTGATATACCAAGTCATCAGGGCCTCCACATACGGTCCAACCAGGGGGAGTTGAAGTAGACTCTGTGGGCCCACCATACTAGAAAATGGGCGACCGTCATGAGCGGTCCATCCAATAAGAATTGGAATGTTTCGGGCCACTTCGTTGATTCTCTGGTCAAAGCCCTGTTCCTTTGGTAAAGGATCAAATCCAAGCATTGGTGCAAACAGCATGACCTGCTTTTGCACAGGATCCATCAACAATTTCTTTTGAACTACAAGTAACTCGTCCACTGACATTGCTCTGGGGTCTTTTGTAAATAGCTTTTCTGCCATTGTTGTAACCAGTGGTCCGGTAGCTGTCCGTTCCTTCAATTCTCGCAGTGGCGGACTGAGTAGTATAGCACGATGGAACAGGCCAGCTGTATTCTTTGCAGCCATCAAACAAATAATTGAATCTGCACCGGCAGATTGCCCAACAAGAGTGACGTTCTGCGAATCTCCGCCAAATGTCGCAATATTCCCTTGGATCCACTGCAACGCTGCGCTTTGATCCAATAACCCCAGGTTGGCGGGTGCAATGCCATCCAAATGAAGATACCCGAAAACACCTAGACGATATGTGATATTCACGCAAACAATTCCGCGTTGTGCAAGATCAATTCCCTGGTAGCAGTCTAGGTCCCCAGACCCAGAAATATATGCGCCACCATGTAGCCAGACCATGACTGGAGCCTGGGTCGCATCTTGCGGTGCAGTTATAGATAAGTGCAGGCAGTCTTCATCCATGCCATGGCCTTCCGTAAGTGGGCCCATCACGGCTTCCAATCGGGATGGTAATTGAGGGCATATTGGCGCACGGGTTGTACAATCAAGGACATCGGACCAGGTGCCGGTGGGTTGCGGGACTTGAAATCGCGAGGCTTTGGCGTAGGGAATACCCCGCGCGTGGATAAGAGTATTCTCAAGGCGTAATACTTTGATAGGCCCTGTCGGGAGCTGTATAATCTTGGGGCCCATCTTTCACATGAGTTATTGGAGATGCATTGAAATTCCAAGATTCGTTACATGATAAACGTGTTAATGTGGTGGAAACCCCGAGTCGGCAGATTCGACGGATCCATCCGAACGGTGCGGGGAAATGTCAAGTTCGCAACCTTGAAAATAGAAGGGACAATAGGCCCTGGAGGTATCAACTTATCAAGTGGTTTCTGGAATAACATAATGAAATTAGCTGAAAAAAAAAAAATAAAATAAAATAAAAAGAAAGAAGCAAAATAGAATGGAGCAATGGCGGATCGAACGCCAGACCTTTCGCATGCAAAGCGAATGTGATACCACTACACCATAACCCCATTTGGTTGGGGGATCCACTTTATTTGAACACATCATTACAGCGCGCATTACCAGATACATTCATCAATGTCCTTTATGGGACTGATGCTTTTCCCTTGTTACAATTTATGCCTGACACTTGACTCTTTTTTATCGGTTTTCTGAATATATCACTAAATACTAATTTTTTTTTTTTTTAAAATACATCTCGTTATACTCAAGATTTAGTCTAGGGAAACCATCTAAAAGAAAATTGACTAAAATCAAATAGGCACTTCCAAGAAGCAGAACTAAACAACCAGGAAGGATCCTCAGTGCAGACTGCTTTGGATCCTTGAAGATAGTTCAAAAGGGGAAGCATACTATCAACTGATGGGGTTGTGGTTTAGTGGTATAATGTTCGCTTTGCATGCGAAAGGTCCGGCGTTCGATTCGCCGCTGCTCCATTTCTTTTTGCATTCTCATTTTCTACGATCACGGAGCAATCGTTTATTAAACCAAGTCTAAATATGATACAGGCCTAAGCTCAGGATTTGAACGCAGATCTAGTCATTATGTACTTAAGTTAATAGGCGTCTGATTGCTATTACTGTATATCTGAATATATGGTGAATCTCAAATGCACTCGAGTTTGCCTTCTGGACTTGTAACCTCGGAGCGTATATAAAATTTTGGATCAGAAGCTTAGAAGTTGAATTTGACTGCCACATTCAGTTGAATTGATCGCATTATATGCCCAGATTGCAGGTTGACACCAAGTGGCCTAGTACCCAAGTTGCCAAAATATCCAAAGTCTCCACACCGCAGAAAAGGTTATTTACAGCCCAAACCCAAAACCACCGAGAAGTATAGGGGGAAAGATAGGGACCTTTATCACAATTCAATTACCATCCAAGATGACCACCTGTGTAAAACAGGAAATCGGATTAGAAGGCAGGGAGCGCAGAGGTATTTGATCAGATCGGTGATGTGACGGAAGCTAAGAACCAGAAAATAGAATACTCTGAACAAAAAATATTGGTAAGGTCCACTTTACAGCCAGAGATAATAATGACAGGAGAATGAAAGGTGAATCACTCGAAAAAAGAGACAAGAGCAAAAGACATTAAGGGGAAAGGGAGAAAAAGAAAAGGAAAATGTATTCTGACAAAGGAAAAGAACATGCTAGACAATTGATCAAACACCCGGTGGATGAAGAAGAATTTCGCTCCATGCACATACAATAAAGGGGAACAAAAGCAGGGTATCACATGGTTTCCCAAACAACCTCACTGCTCTTTTTGGAGAGAAAGGGAAATGAAGACACTCGGAGAACCCGAAGCCAAACAAAACACAGGGCCATCATTATTGACCCTCCCCAGCACGAGACTTGGCTCGACGCCGAAAAAAGTCCATGACCTTCCGAGCCGCACCAGAGCTGCCGGAATGGTGGGAAAGATCCCGCTCGTACTCATAGGCATCAGCAAACTTGCGGTTATTCTTCTGAAGAACACCTGGGCCCCGCCCAGACCGACCAGCCTGCATTGACTGCCGCGGCAAGCTGTCATAGGTGCTGTTGTAATCATCATAGTAGTTAGGCTTGGAGGACCCGTACGTATAATTGGTTCCAGAATACTGGTCATCGGGATTTTCGTACACGTGCTCCGAAGAGACGTTGCCGAAGGAATCCTGAGTCTGGTCAAATCGATTCCCGAGCTCAGCGAATTGCTGGTCAATCTGAGCTTCGTAACTGAGAGGTTCTGATTCGCTTGGTTTTGACTCGTCATGAACCTCGTCACTAGGGCCCTCACTTACCACTCCCATCGCCTCTTGTGTGCCATAACTGGTCGCACGAGGGCGACTGGGTAACGGTCCGGTGGCTGGACGTTGTTGACTGCGAGGATCCACGGGGTATGGGCTCTGAGTTGTATCCTCAGGGGTCTGGGCTCGAGCAGATGAGAAGGTTCGGAAAGAGAAAGAAGCCGGCAGAAGAGAAAAGCGACGGGGGCGACCCTCTCCCGCCTCGCTCGCCTTGCGGATATGCGAGTTCTGCATGGATCGGCGAGAATCCATTGAACCCCGAGCGTCATCGCGAGGAACCGCTTCCTTCATACTGGTCGGAGGGTATCGTTTACTGGGCCGTGTCCGAGAAGCTGTGTTTTGGGAGTTACGGCTACCACCCATGAGAGAAGCCGAGCGCCCAAACAACCTTTCGCCGATGCTTGACACGGTGTTAGATCGCTTGTGGCCCTTGGCCGGCGGGTCTTGTCGCGGGGTTGGATTAAATGCAGATGGTAACTGCTGGGTGCTGGGACGACCAATCGATGTGCTGGATGACTGTGCGGGATTCTGGGGGAATGCAAATTGCCTGCTCTTGGGTTGTGCCAGACGGCCTTCGGTATTGGTTGCAGTAACCATAGGCGCCACCGGTTGTCCGCGAGAAGGTAGTCGACCGGTGTTGAAGGATGCCATGGAGCCCCCTGTTTGGGGACGCGCAGATGATAGTGTCGGGGCCGGAACCAGAGCTGTGGTGTGCGTTGCAGTGGCCACAGGGTAATCCGATGTTGACCGAGGAAAGTGAGTGGGCAGTGGCTTGTCATAGTTGATCGGTGGTTTTCCAACGGGCTTGGGTGCTGGCTTAACAGTGTTCTGCGTAGCCGGAACCTCAGTTTGAGCTGGTCCTCCGCTGCGCGACCCGGAAGCCTCAGCCTGGTATTCACCTCTTGCCGTTTGGGACTGGGGAGCCACATATTCAACCTGCACTGTCCTCCGCTTCGCATCCCGGGAAGTCTTGGATTTATCACTCGGGGATTCCTGGGAGACATCTCCAGCATGATGGCTCAGACCACCGACAGCCGGAATATTACCTTGGCTGGTCTTGGGAGGTTCGCGCACAGAGGCACTGCGGGCAAGTGGCGGAGGCTCATTTTGTGATTCAGCTGGGACGGTGGTATTGGCAATGTCCGCCACATTGGTTGTACTACTTGTGATATGCGAAACAACGTGAGCGTATTCGCTAAGCCAGCTGTGACGAGCGACTTCGAACAGATCCGCTCGCTTGCGGGGGTCGGGGACCAGAATCCGCCGCAAGAGATCACGAGCGTGGGGGGTCACGTATTCAGGGAAGGTGAGAGGAGTGGTGACGATGTATTTGTAGAGGAGGTTGATATTGTCACCGTCGGGATTTGCTGGGTCGTCATCAAATGGGAGGTAACCGGCCAACATGGCATACTAAGAAGACACAGGTTAGATCGGGTCAAGCGGGAGAAGATCATGCCAAACCTACCAGAATCACACCACAGCTCCACACATCGACCTTTCGGCCGGTATAGAGTGAATCGCTCACCACGAGCTCTGGGGCAGCATAGCATGGGCTTCCGCAGCTAGTCTGCATAAGATCTCCGCGGCGCAATCCATCAGGTCCTAGTCTGTCGAGGCGCTTTCGCTTCACATATTCCTTGTTGGTCAGGTTGTATTCAATTTCCTCCTCCAATTGATCGATCGGGTTAAAGGTGTTGGCAAACCCGAAATCCGTGATAATGATGTTACGATTCCGATCCAACAGTAGATTCTCCAACTTAAGATCACGATGCACAATGCCCTTCTTGTGTAAATAACCAACACCCGATACTAGCTGTGCGAATAATCGGCGGGCAGAGTTGTCCTTCAGGTAACGATGGTTCAGGATGTAGTCGAACAATTCTCCCCCAGACGCGTACTCCATGATGATTCCGATGTGTCGGTCTGTTTCGACCATTTCATGGAGGCGGACGATGTTTGGATGAGCTAGGTCGCGCAAGATCGAGATCTCCCGGTAGATCTTCGGCAGGCGAGTGGGATTGGTACCGAGGGTATCCCTGCGAATAAGTTTGATCGCGACTTGGATGCTGCCATCTCTCTTCCAACCCAACTTGACCTTGCCGAACTCTCCCTCGCCGAGGGTCTGGCCCAGTATATATGAGCCAAAGGTGGTTTCCTTGCGCTTGATGGTGTTTCCATTATCGTAGTCATGGCGGCTCCTAGGCCCACGACCTCCATCTTCAGAGCCATCGTGCCCAATGGGTAAGTCCGTGTCCGCGGGGGCAGCCGGTGATGCACCCGCCTGTCGCACCTGCTCTCGTTCGTGGTCTACGGCGGGATCGCTCACCATGACCGCGTTTATCACTGTACTGGGCTCTTTCACCAGACTTGAGCCCTCCTCCATGCTCAATCCTGCGGGCGGTACGACCGGAGCTCCTTTGGATCGTACCGAATCCCGGGTTGGCTCAGTGGGATCCCGTCGAGATCGACTTTTTCCATTGCGGTCACGATCGCGATCGCGATTCTCTTTGCGATCAGCACGGTTTTTCCCCCGCGAGCTGTCCTTCTCTCTTGTTCCATTGGGGCTGTGACGATTGGAGGAGGTCCGCGGTGGAGGAACTGGAGGATTGCCTAACATGTCGGGGTACTGGCGCGCATTCTTCTGGACTGGAGACGGTGCGTGGGTTGTAGCTGGCACATGGGCAGAAATTGGCAGGGCCGGCTGATGGGAGGTGCTCATAGCCGATAGACGTTGATCCGGACCAGCCTGAATTATGGCTGTGAAACGCGATCAGCAAATTGGGCGCTGTAAGAACATCTTTGGGTAGCAGGCGGGGACGTGTTGGCGCCGGTGCGTCCGACGTACCTTCTGGTCAGAAAGCGCAAAAGCTCGCGACTTTCTGCTTTATGACCCCAGATAGCCTCTGGGGCTAATTTTCTGGGCGACCGAAGTCAATGGAACACAATTAATGCACCCGAAGCACCACACCCTCCGGAGGGTGATTGGTAAGGATGTCGGGGGGTGGTTGATTGGGGCGATCGGTCGCACTCGCTGAGTGTCGACCTTCAGCCTTACAAGCTGTAATGGTGGGACATGCGCGTCAGCAACTCAATCTCCACACGCAATTCCGATCGGCAATCAAGAAGAATGTACAACTTTATCCAGGATAGGGCTTTTCGACAGAAGCTTCGATGGGAGGAATGGGGGGGGGGGGGGCAAAGGAAGGAATGTCACGCCCGGGTCGCGCCCGAGGAACAAGAAGCAATGACGATTCAGAGTACCCGAGGGCAAGGACACGACGCGATCGAACCCAAGTGATGAAAAGACGCGTGAAATTCGACAGAAGGAAAAGGGAATATTGATACCTGCACAGCAGTTTGAAGTCCCCTCTTTCCGATCCGGGGCAAGTCGCACGTTGTCCAAGAAAACTGGGGGATAGAAACCAGTCAAATGTCTCAGATGCGATTGAATTTCCCAAGACTTCGACAAGTTCAATGTTGGATGCTGAACATGGTCGAATCCAGGGCAGACAGGGGGCGCGAGGGGAGGTTGGGGTTTAGCGGGAAACACCGGTCCCTGTCGAGGGAAAAAAAAGGGGCTGCAGTGTGGTGAAAGAGGATAACAGAAATTCAACCCCCGGAAAAGAAACAGAAGAGCGAACAAAAGAAACAGAAAAACGAGTACAGAGTCGAGGAGGTTAAAGGGAGAGAAGTGAGATTTGGATAGGGAAAGCAAAAAGCGGGTCATGGCGACACGTCTTTTTGGATGACGATGTTCTACCCTTTCCACTCGTATACACTGCTCGTAATTCCAATCTTTATAGTCTCGATATTCCAACCCGCTGCGTCTAATCAAGATATACCTCCAATTATTTCGCTTTTCTGCGAGGCACAACATGATCAGTAGCATGCCCTCGTAGAATCCTATATGGAGATAATAGATAACACGGCCCCCTTGCCTACGGTGGTTATTCTCTATGTATCTGTTCCTTTATACCTATGATTAGAATAGAGGCCCGAGGACTGGGGCAACAACAAACAGTAAAAAAGAAAACAAAAACACAAAAAACCCTGGAATCGAAAGGAAAGGGTCATAGCTTTGTCGAAAATTCCCGTTTCATCTCAAGATGGAAAAACAAGGGGCGATAACCGGTTGTTTCGAATTGCTGAAAAGTGGGTTCGCTCGCTAGCTGGCGACGATCTTCATTACGCCCCAAAACCCAAGGTGCTCCGATTCATTGATTCGATCTAAATGCTCAGGAAGCTAACCTAGCATGATCGACAAATGCTATGCAGGACGTTTCCGGTCCAATTGTCGGTTTCGTCTGAAGTCCATGTTGATCTATATCCTAAGCTGTAGGTCCCGAGTGTACAGTACAGTATATGTCTATATATGTATGTACAAAAAAAACCTTGTATAGAAACCATCCAGTTCCGGTTGGATGTTTTGCCATTCACACCAATCCCTTTGCTGGATTCGTTCAATGGATCATGAAGTCAACCGTGGATCATTCCCCCAGTTGACCCAGGGTTTGGGACCAGATTCAGGAGATCACCGAACCGTGGGAACTTCCATATGCATTCGGCACGTACGTAGAATACACCATACTCGGGCGTTACGAGGAATTGGCTTGTGCCTGGATTTCGGGAGGTCCGCGCGCTAGTTCTATATTACACACTCCACTGCATCCACACGGCAGCGTAGCGCCATATCGGTATCCGACACTCCACAGAGAGGGGTACCGTTTCGGTGAGAATTGGAATGAGAATGTACAATATCCGTGGGTACGGAGTGTATGGTACATACGTGGAGTGTCATCTCAAACCCACCGTTGACCCCCTCACATAGCTCATTGGCTCTGCGGGGCCAACTGTCAAGCGGGTGATGCGTTGGCAATTGGGCTGGTCCCGTCTCTTATCCAATCGACCTCCCCAATGAAGAAGTCCAAGGCGGTCTAGGAGAAATCATCGACTTAACGCACGGCCACTGGAATAATATGTTGAAATGGAGGACAAAATCGCCGACCACGTCCCGGCCGAAAGCTTGGGCTACTCTTCCCGTGGAGGCGACATTATTATGGCATGAAAACTGATGATTAGCCGCTATTCAAACCATCTACTCTGTACAGTATCAAGGTATTGATCACCCCCGCAAAAGATCAGAATAAAATACCAAATCAAATTCCCACATGTAATCCCATGCTAAGCGTCAGGTCGTAAGATCATAGGTTCGTTTTACCGCTTACCCCCGGACATGCTCATGGGCGTGCCGCCGAGCGACGTGGTCCCCGACGCGCCATAAGCGGGCGGCGGGGTGGGGTTGGTTGATGGCCCAGCCTCGGCAGCATGAGGATCGGGAGAAAGCTCGCCGCCATCGCCACCACCCACCACCACCTGCTTCCCATCGCGCATCCGTCCCACGACCATACCCTTGGCAACGGATTTCAAGAGAGCTCGCCGACTTACTCCGGTGGCATCAATGTAAACCAGGCCTACATTCTTCACCCCACCGGTCAGACTGTTTGCCACGTCGCCGGCCTCCGTGCCATACTTGTGACCGATCATCGCGCCAGTCGCGGAGCTGCCAGTGAGGAGAATATTCCGCGCGCCTTCCTGGATTCCGTCGGCTAGCGTGTTGAAGGCGATCAGGGACTTGTTGAGCACGCCAGGCTTGTAGTCCGTTGGGGGCCGGGACTTGTCCAAGCTCCTGGGCTTGTTGTCTTTGCGCGACAGTGATGCGCCGACGTTCTGTGCAACTCGTTCGACTTGCCCTAATGTACGAGCGGAAAGGTCGGCGGCGCCAGTGGACAAGCTGCCGACCTTGCGGATGCGCGCATGTGTGGCATCGGAGAACGTCAAGGGCTTTTGATTTGGTTTTGTCTTCTTAGTGAAGCTCTCGGCGCCGCTAGTAATAGCATTGGCGAGAGACGTGGAAGTCGCGACAATCAGACGAGATGCGGTTGCCGAGGTCTGCACAATGGTCGAGTTCTTGTACGCGGGGTGCCGAGACATAGCCAAGTACTCTTCAGAGACATTGCTAATACTGACTCGGTTGCCTTCACCCTCACTAGGGAGCTCAATATTGACCGGTCCTGTGGAAGAGGGACCATATTAGTTGGTTTCTGTGGATGGGGCGGCGGTTCCACTCACTCTTGGATCCCGGTTTGACATCGGGTTCTTCAACCACATCATACGCGTCGCCCAATTCTCCCACTACGCTCCCATCTTCCTCATCAACAAGCACGATTTTGCCATGTGCATTCTGCTGGCCGTCAGAGGAGATATATCCCTCACCAGGCGCGTAATCAGCGGGATTGTAGGCGGGATGGCCATGCGACTTGCCACTTGACTTCTGGGAAGGAGCAGTAGTCCGTTCCAGGAATGCGGTGCATTGGGCGAGTATGGTTTCGAAGGTATCGATGTCGTCCTGAGTCACTTTGTCCGGACCAGACCCAATCCCCGGGAACTGGATTCGAATAAAGGTGCCCGGGGCCAGATCCCAGCGGGGGATCAAATAACTATCGGGCATTTGGTGGTAAATCTGAGTGCTCGCAGGTAAAGCAAGATCCAGTTCTGGGGGAAGGCAGAGGTGTAGATAAAAATCCTCTTCAGGAGTTTCGGTGCCCGCACTGGTTGCGTAGGGTGGCATTGATGGTGAAGTAGTGGTGGGGACCATGAGTAGTGAAAGAGTTTGCGGCCCAGATGGGGTCAGCTCCTGCTCCTCCCCATCTTGGATGTGAAAGGCCCGAATATTTGTGATGCTATATAGCAATCGAGGATCATGAACGCCGGCCATGACGGTGGCTTGACTGGTCACAACCTTGGAAGTAGTGATACTTTGGGTCCCGCCAGCGCGCGATAACGCGGATAAGCAGATGACGTCGTCACTCGTGTCACTGAGCAAACGGATAGAATGAAAATATGTGAAGACCGGACCTTGAAAGATCAAACTAATATCAGAACGCGATCTTAAGAGAAGAAAACCCCAGGCGCCAGCCAAGCTCAGGGGAGGGGCCCTCTTATGAATCCCCAGTCTGGGCGCTTAGATAACGGGGTGAGGGTCCATGCACCGCCACAGACAAACTCGTTACACCGCCACACCGCCACTTTACATGTAACCGGTTCTTGGCAGTCTCCGTACTCTACACCCTGCTCCAATGGCCAACGTGCAAATTGGGTCGAACCTACATCTAGAGAAACCTGTTTCGTACGATATATTTTAGACCCCACCCAGCATCCAATTCTTGGCGCTTTTCGGGGATATAGGCATCATCAATGATGATGGATTCTTCCCGTTCATTGAGCGTCAGCTGCGAAGTTTGAAAAACCGTATTCATGATCCCGGGGAATCATGAACCCTCTTATCTTACTAGGAACCAAACAAGGGAGAAAATTCATGATTATTCACCTCTCTCAAGCAGCGGCATTTCCAAACTGATCATCTCGGCAACTTTGTCTTCTTAGGTCAAACACGATTTGACCTTGACGTTAATGTGACATTCTTCGGATGTACGCTATGCTCCAAGGCGTCCCAAAAAACAACGCAAGAGTGTCAGTTTCGGATTGAACGACTTTTATCATATTGATGAGTGGACTGTCGAGGACCACACTATGGCTCATGAGGCCGATATCAAGTGGCTGAATGGCCAGGTTGTACTCGTTGCAAATGAGGAAATCAATTGCAAGATCGTTATTTTCACGCACCACAGTCCTCTCGGTGGTGATTCACTACTAACCCATGACACATTCATCATCCTTTATCGTCAGGATTTGCGACGAATATGTCAATGGAGTAGTGCTGGAGTAATCCTCGAGTATACTTATATAGGCCTACGGCCACACACATTAACATACTGATTATGCCGACAAGATGACTCATTACTCAGTCGTGGGTAATCAGCGAAGATACGATTTTTCTCAAGCCCGGAGTTTTGATGTGGGAAATGTTGTTCATGTACATACCCAACTTGGTTATTTAGCTAGCATGCACCGCATGGTTGGATACCCGAGATCTAAGGCACCAATAAGCCCAACCGGGGAGATGATTCTGACCAATCATATCAAGACTTGCGCAAACAGTGCAAATCCCGCCAGTCCGCGGCTCGGAATTTTTGATAGATCGGAGTGCTCCGCTAAACTTTTTTTTCGTGCAGAATTCCCAAAATCGTGCTGGAACCACGCGATAATTTGCCAGACTGAAATCCATCAGCTGCCCATAATGTCCAGCCTGGATTTGATCGACCGGAAGCCCGAGGAAGCCAACAATTCCGCTCCAGAGGCGGACGCTACCATGCGGAACCGCGACGTTCCCTCCGGCAGTGATGAGCCCCCCGCGAAGAAAGCGCGACTAGGAGGGACCTCGGACTCCGACCAAGTGCGCGATGCACGTGACAGGGGAATTGCACCGATCAAGGCAGAGTATGTCACTTTCAGCGAATGTCAACTTGTCAAGTGACAGCAGACTGACGAGTTCTTGCAAAGATACCGGATTCAAACTAAGCCCAAGCCCAAGCCTATCGAACCCGAGATCGACCCCGATGATGCTGCCGAAGCTGCTTCTCATGCCGAACGCGAGGGCGACAGCAGAGACAACAAGAAGAACAAAAAGAAGAAGAACACTGGCCAAAACACTAACCGAAGTTTCGGCAGTTCCAAAGACGCCAAAGGCCTCTGTGGTTCAAGAATGTTCAGTCCGGAGTTCTCACCAGGACAGTGCCAGTTTAACGAGAAATGCCGATTTGAGCACGACTTGCGTCTCTACCTGAAAGAACACAAGCGCGAGGATCTTACAACCTTGAATGGGATGTGCCCTGTGTACGAGGCCCTGGGCAAGTGTTATTCAGGATGGAAGTGCCGGCTGGTTGGATCGCACTCGCAGGAGAGAGAGACGGCAGATGGCAAGAAGGAGCTTGTTCTTTTAGAAGATGAGGAACGGATGGCCAAGGCCAAACCGCGCGTCCCATTTGCGACGGACGACGGACTTGTCAATATCATTGCCAACGAGAATAAAATTGCTCTGGCGCGGAAAAAAGAAGTCACCATTCGTGCCAATGCCGTCAATGATTGGCTCCACAAGTCTGGTCAGGAATTAGAACAATACCTGCACAGTGGAAAGAAGAAGGCGGACGAGGATACTGAAAAGAGCGCGGTTGAAGATCCTGTAGTGACCAACGGCGAAACTGAAAAGTCCGATGCGGACAATGTCAAAGAGGAGAAAGAAGAGCAGCGGGCACAGTTTACCGAACCGCCTTTCTTGCCATCTGAGAAGCGTCGCATTTACTTCGGACCTGAGACTCCTACTCTGGCACCTTTGACGACACAGGGGAATATGCCTTTCCGACGACTTTGCACAGATCTGGGAGCCCAATTCACCTACTCTGAAATGGCCATGAGTATGCCGCTCATTCAAGGCGCAAAGTCGGAATGGACTTTGATGAAGGCGCACGAGTCGGAAATGCTTCCACCGGCTATCACGAAAGGGGACAACGTGGTCCAAGGCTACGATAATTCCAAAGATTTCAAATTTGGAGCACAGATCGCTGCCAACAAACCCTGGCAGGCCGTGAAAGCTACCGAGGTTCTTTCGAAGTTCACTCCCCACTTGCGTGTGATCGACTTAAACTGTGGATGCCCAATTGACCTTGTCTTCCGAGATGGAGCTGGATCTGCTCTGCTCGATCACCACTCCAAACTGGAGAAAATCATTCGCGGTATGAATATGGTCTCCCAGGAGATTCCCATTACGGTGAAGATCCGCATGGGTGTCAGAGATAACTACCCCACTGCGCTGAAGCTCACTGAGCGCCTTATTCTGGGTGGCTACGAATCTAGTCTCCTTGGTGTGGGTCCTCCAGGTGTCGCGGCCATCACTCTCCATGGACGAAGCAGACAACAACGATACACCAAAGAGGCAGATTGGAGCTATATCGCTGATTGCGCAGCCTTAATCAAGCGTATGAATGAAAAGACAGACGTCGCCACCGACACTATCCGTGAGCCTGATGCCCGCTTCCAGCCGAATGGTGGAAAAACCTACTTCCTCGGAAACGGTGACTGCTACTCGCATGCCGACTATGATAACCACGTTAAAAATGCTGGAGTGGATTCGGTCATGGTGGGCCGTGGTGCCCTGATTAAGCCATGGCTGTTCGAGGAAATCCAGACGGGACAATATCTTGACAAATCTGCATCGGAGCGTCTTGCCTATATCGAGAAGTTTGCCAAGTACGGTCTGGAGGCTTGGGGATCTGATGAGCACGGTGTCGGTACAACCCGACGATTCATGCTGGAGTGGCTGAGCTTTGCCCATCGCTATGTTCCCATCGGACTACTGGAGTACCTTCCGCCCCATATTAACGACCGACCTCCTGCCTGGCGTGGTCGCAATGAAATGGAGACTCTCTTGGGCAGTGACAACTACAAGGATTGGATCAAGATTTCGTAAGTTATCCCTCTCTCCTTTATTTTTTCTTTTTCTTTCTTGATCATCTCTTGTGTCGCGGATTTGTTCTAACCCACTGCGTTATAGCGAGATGTTCCTTGGTCCTGCTCATAAGGACTTCAAGTTTGAGCCTAAGCATAAGTCTAATTCTTATGACCAGGCTGAGGGCTAAGGAAAAGGGCCAAATACGACTTACCAAACAGCAGGCAGAACGCAATGAGATAGCATTCCGTTTTGCATACGTACTGGCCTTTGTGCCAGCGTCAGAGGCAATTCATATCTATTTCTCATTATTACCCGAATAGTAAATTTGTTCGACCCCACCCAATGAGTCAATCACAAAGCCAATTTCGCCATGGTCCATAGCTCAGCCCAATGCGCAAAGCATTTGGGTCTGAATGTCTATCTCATAGTCATCAAATACCGAGTCTTCGATGAGTTGCCCGCAATGGTCCCCTACACGATCAAAGCTCTTGCCGAGGAGGACCGCTTCCTCCGCGTCATGGAGTGTCCGAGTCATCCAAGGCCAGGCTAGCACTAACCCGGGCCCAAAGCAAAGAAATGACTGTAGCCTTCCAGTGAATTATGTTGCATAACTTTAAAATTAGCATCCACTTGTTCACCAGCTCCACTGTGTCTTTGATTGGACCTGTGATTTCGTCCTCGGAGCCGTGAGACGGAGGAATGGATGGTTTGCTGTTGGCGAAGGAAGGTCTTTTTCCCATCACTCCCAATTTCCTCCAGCAGCTCCTTGAACCTGTACAGAAAGAAGTCCCCGCGGCGTGATTGGAGGAGTAGTTATCGCTAAGTTTGATTGGCGATTTTTGGACCAAATTTTACACAACCCAAGGAACTGTAGCTTCACAGATATATCGGAAACGCCTGGTAGATCAGAGTTCGCGTCAATTTCAACCCAAGATCTCGATGGGGGAGAAAAAGATCTTCACTAAAACTTCCGGCAAGGGGAACAATAGTGTCTTAGCCTGGAGACGATGTATACGGTACGAGTGGACGCTAGGACACCATTCCCCACAGGTCTATGACCAATCGTGTGGTGGGGATTATTCTGCAATCCAATACATAGGGGCGCGATGTATCATGGGAACCACAGAAACTCGAAAGCGATCTCCACCCAACTTTAAAAAAAAAGTGCAGGGAAAACCAAGAGAAAACGACCTTGGAAAGTCCAAATGCTAACCGATCTCGAAATCCGACAAAAGTTCTCGCGTGGAGCACGGTCTCCAGTGTTGGTTATAGCAAGATCCATGGCTGTGCGATCCGATTTTCCTTTTTCGATCGCACCCTTAACTCCCCCCACCGATCGCTCCACTTCCTACTTTCGGGCTTCATTAGGGGGTTTACCGGGCTGACCCATCCTAATAGCACAATGACGGAATGCTTCGAATATCTCCCCTTTAATATCTCCCCCTTAGCAGCGCTATCCGGTGAGAGAATGATTAGTATCCACTAGTTGCGGATCCTGAGCAAACGAGGGCCTAGAGATCATGCCGAGGCGAGAGAGTATAAGACCCAGCTCTCGCCGACTCTGGCACGGTGATCATCCCGTTACATTCCACAAGTGCAACTTCGCCTGCACACAGAAGCCCCTAGGATGTTCAAAGAATGTCTTACCGGGGTTCTGGCGGCCCTACTGCTGATCGATGGCGGGGAAGCAAGTCGATTAGGTCGAGCAAGTCTGAGTCGAGGTCCTTCCACTCATTACGCTCGTCATGTTCCAGCGTCAGAGCATCTCAACACATCTGACTACCGGTTTCTAACCAACAAAACCAAGCGTATGCGACCCATCCTTTCGTTCTATTAAATGCCTTAATCTTGACTGACCAAATGCCAATGGTGATATAGCCCATCTGGTCGAGAGCCTTCCAAACGTGCGTTTTGCACTGGGCGAGATGTATTCAGGATTCATCCCCATCGGTGGAAATAATTCTTTGTTTTATATCTTCCAACCGAAAATTGGAGAGCCATCCGATGATCTCACAATCTGGCTGAGTGGCGGACCAGGATGTAGTTCAATGCAGGGATTTCTGCAGGAAAATGGCCGCTTTACCTGGCTGCCCGGTACTTACGAGCCCGTGATCAATCAGCACTCTTGGGTGAACCTGACCAATATGTTATGGTAAGTGATTCAAAGGCATCTGCAACTTCCTAGTCAAAATCACCATATTCTGACTGCTCGGGCTGGTTAGGGTCGACCAACCGGTTGGAACCGGGTTCTCGACGGGCATCCCGACTGCGACTACGGAGGAGGAAATTGCCGTTTCTTTCGTTGACTTCCTCGAAGGATTTGAGGAATTGTACGAGATTAAGAACTTCCGAATTTTCATGAGTGGTGAGAGTTATGCGGGTCGATATGTGCCGTATATTTCCGCTGCCATGCTGGATCGGAATGATACAGAGCATTTTGATCTGAGCGGTCAGTCCCCAATTTACGTTCTACAAAGACCTTTCCCATTGGTTCCCATTTCTCATTCATGATATAGGGGCTCTGATGTATGATGCGTGTATCGGCCAATGGGATTACATCCAAGCCGAGCTCCCGGCGTATCCCTTTGTGCAGCAGCATGCTGAGCTGTTCAACTTCAATCAATCATTCATGAAGCATCTCGAAAGCACGTTTGAGCAATGTGGCTACAAGGAGTATTTTGACGAATATCTGACTTATCCAGCTTCTGGGGTACAGCCCCCAAAATATATGAACTATTCCACTTGCGATATATACAACATGATCTATGACGAGGCCTATAATCCAAATCCATGCTGGAGCCCCTACCATATCAATCAAATGTGCCCGCTATTATGGGATGTTCTAGGGTTCCCCACGGACCTTGCATATGAGCCCACTCACACGACCTATTTCAATCGAACGGACGTCAAGCGGGCTCTTCATGTCCCCGAGGATACCAAGTGGGAGCTCTGCAGTACCGAGAGTGTGTTTGTGGGCACCAGTCCCGGCCCTGAGCAAGCATACGACGACTCTCCAAATCCGACCGAGCATGTCTTGCCCCGGCTCATTGAGGCGACGAACCGAGTTCTGATATCGAACGCTGACTGGGACTATTTGATCATTACGAATGGCACCCTCTTGGCAATTCAGAATATGACCTGGAATGGGGAGCTGGGATTTCAGACTCGCCCCACCGCTCCGATTCATATCGACATGCCCGACCTGCAATGGTCAGCGGTTTTTGATGCCCAAGAAGGATATGGTGATTTTGATGGTCCGCAGGGATTGATGGGGATCCAGCATTATGAACGTGGCTTAATGTTTGCGGAAACCTTCCAGGCAGGTCATCGGCAGTCCCAGGATCAAGGCCGGGTGTCATATCGTCACGTCGAGTGGTTGCTAGGCAAAAATGATCACCTTTGATATCTCTCTCCGTCTTTACGAAAGTTTCATGAAGAAAAAAACCCCGTCAGTGAGGGGCCTGTTTGTTTTGGGGAAGAGAATATCCGACAACATCAAGGCAGAATGCTGCCTAATTGGAACATTTGTCAAAGACGTTAAGGAAGCTGTACAACTTCCCCCAGTAAGCCCAGCGTCTAAACATCCACAAAGTTTACAAAGGCTTGAGTACGAGATAGCTCTGGCGGGTGTAGACAACTTGCTTGGCATTGGAGTGAAATTGCGCTCGGAGATTCACAAGAAGACTATCCTTGGAATCTATGCCTCCCTCGTACCTAGACGCTATGTGCCTTTTAATCATGGATTCCGATGTATAATATGCGTAGAGGTCTTTTGTCCAAATGATGTCGAGCCCCATTTAGTAGGAAAAACACCCAATTTATTGTGCATATGCAATCGGGAGGAGTCGTGGAATGGAAACTCACATTGATTTTCCTCTGTGACTAGCCAACTAGAGATGTTCTATAGACTTCATTCTATATATCAAGGGAAAGGGCTATACGTGACATTTAGACCCAAACATTCACCATCCACGATATTTCCGGAAACAAACTGAACAGGCTTCCCATCCGCCGCGAACCGGAGCATCAGCCCTCCATGTTCCGCGGAGGGGTCAAAAGCAGGCCACCCGGCCTTTTTTCTTTGCCTGCCATCTGGCCAGAATCTATACTGCGTGTGCTGCTTTTCAAGAAAATATGTTCACACTTTGGCTGCTGCATGCATCCCAGCGGCCATGACGTTGAGAAATCACCCGAGGAACCCCTTGCAGCCGTTTCAAATCCACCAGCATCACCCTGTTCCCGAGTTTTGTGACTGCGAATGTGGTGTTCAACAAGCCTATCGACCTTTACTTTTTTCCTCGACTCGGTGGTGAAGTTCTGCAACGCAACTATGTATTCCCTCGCTAGGAAAATAAGCAGAAGCTGCTACAGACCCTACTGTGAGCTCTAGCGCCGCTGGCTCTCCGGTGGCGGTTGTTATTCTATCTTCTCAGGTATGTAAGTCCTACCACTCCCATGTAGTTCGAAAGATAAACTGAAGAATAATAATTTGTGGGAAATTTTAGGGTTCAATTCTGCTTACGCAACAAAGAAATCTGGGGAAAAAAAGGGATTTTACCAACAGCGATATCCCCGACAGATGAACCCTCCGTGTACGAGCAAAAACAATGACAGAAAGAGAACCAGGATAATGCGTCTGTGATGGCGCACGGGGACAAGAAAGAACAAGAGGATCCATGGGCGAAGCCCAAGCACAGGGTGGACATCAAACATTTCGAATCCTGTGTTTTTCTTTCAACTTTCTGACAAACAAAGACCGAGCGTAGTTTGATATGAGAATGAAACAAAAAGACTTGGGAAAGAAAAAGATCTATTTCGAGGCGTAACCCTACAACAAGACAGCCCTCACCTCTCAACGCGAAGCAACAAGTGGAATGAACTAGAATCATCTCAAACAGCCTCGATATCAAAGCGCATATCAATATGGAAGCGCATATGAATAGTGTTTATCTCTTTAGATGAGTAAGTAACAATCCGTGAAATCCGACGGGTACCTCGTTTGAAAGCCCCAAGGACCAAGTATGCGACGACCTTCCCTATGCGAGTACCAAGAAGACCGTCATACTCTGGAGATCCATGATCCCAAGTCTGAGGCACAGAGGTCTGGCCGGGAAAGTCGTCATAAAATTCCTTGTTATGAATATGTTCGAGAAAGAAGTCTACAGTGTTCCTGTTCACGATGTCATTGACGAAAACACAGCGTAGGTCGTCGAGGTCAAAGTCCCGTTCGTAGAAGGCCTGGGCAATAGAAGAAGCATTTGGCACGTCACCCATCATCTCATGGGTAACGTTTGCTCCTATCCGAGACCGCTGCATAAGATCGATGATAATAACACCTGACCCTGTGCATCCTGACCAGGCTAGCAAAGGAGAGTCCAGTTCAAAGTTCTCATACCCACGGAAGGTACTGATTACCTCTTTGCGTTCGAGTTCCTCGATCGCCGTTAATACGTGTCCTTCGAAATCGGGATCGGGGTCGACGCGTCGCGTTGAGAATCCTCGGCCTTCATATCTACCCACAAGCTGAGAGAAGGTCAGTGTAGATCGTTCAATAAAACAGTCGGGCTCACTTGGATCATCAATCCACCGTCGGCGCAGGGCTCCATCGTCTTCAATGGCACCAAAAAGAGGAGGCCGGCCTGGCAGTGATCGAGTGGGTCGTCCAGCCATTGATGATTTTTCAAGTAGACTGTCAAGCTGATAAGTAGCTGATGCTGAGTAGTGGGGAAAGAAGAGGACGAAGAAGAACAATAAAAGAAGAGGGGTGGGTGAAGGTTGGTCGTTGATAAAGTACTTGAGAGACGGGGTGACTCGGTCTCCTTATCTACCTCGGACTCGAATCTGCTCCGAAATATGGTCTATTTACGACAGAATATTATCGTTATCTTCACGATCAAAGCCATTGTCACAATAGAAAGAGCGATTGGCCTCACAATGGTGTCAGGGCCTTTGTCGTAAGTCAAGGACTTTGGAATCACAATCATGCTAATGATAGATCTGCTCTGGAGCCAAAGAGACAAGCAGGGCAAAGAGCCATTTCGAGACAATAGATCAATGCTTTTGATTCACCCTTTGAATGGGCATTGTATTCATCGATGCAATATATCAGCTTGAACATAACCTCGAGATCAGAAGGCTTCCCCGATTCCCCCAGTTTCACCAGACCCCCAGACTATGTCAGGGTTCCACTGACAAGCAAATTCGGGATTTGATTGGCCAAATGCGGTGGCGTTTGGCCCCACGGCAATGCGGGACCGCATTCTGCGGGACCGGGCGGAACAGGGGTTCTCGGAAATACGTCGCTGGTGAGAATATCTGAACCTTCTAGGCCATTGAAACCCATGACTCGGATTTCTTAGAAGACAAATCCACTGATAGTGCGTCAGCATTATCATCTTGCCTGCGATTCGAACCCCTACCATGACTGAAGGTTTCCGGAGTCGACGTCAACGTATATGCTCCTGGTGCTCGAAGACATTCACAAAGGATGAGCACCTGGCCCGTCATGTGAGAACCCACACCAGAGAGAAACCCTTTCTGTGTACAATCTGTAGAAAAGCCTTTAGTCGTCAGTACGTATTGTGACTTGGTTATATACGGTTGACACTGACGGAGTCTCTAGTGACTCTCTTCTCCGTCATTCAAGATCTCACCAATCACCTCGTCTTCCCGAGACTAAAGCGGCTCACAATGAGAGAGATGGTGCCATGCAATCAATAACTCACAGCGAAAATGAGCAAATCTCCCCGTCCAACCACAACTACTCAATAGAGGGCCATGAGTCCTCTACGCCTTCCCGTCAAATATCCTCCATTGAACCAAGATGTCCCAGAGGTTTTGACTTACGGTCAACGTCACATTCACTTGCCAACCCGGCACAGCAACGGACAACGCTCATTTCGAACATTGGAGAACTGACCCAGACACATCCAGACAGAGTGGCTGGTTTCCCGACCTCAGGATCCCAGCCCAACCCCGAAGAGCCAGAGCCACACCTGGATGCTCCCAGTCAAGATGAATCATGGATCTTTGGGAATGAAAATACCGAAATACCAGCGTGGTTTGCTGACGACGATTTTGATCTCACTGCTCTCAATTCAGAGATCATGACGTCAACCGCCCAGTGGCTTCCTCTTGGAATTGCAAGCCAATGGCGTCAAGAACCTTTGATAAAAACCCCCGGACAGAATACAGGAGACATGTTTCCATGTCGCGAAGATCTGGTACAAAAGCATTGGTACACGTTTATGGGGACGTCGCGAACGGGACAAATCACACCAGACATGGACATGGAGCCGAGGGAGGTGGACGAGGCATACCGAGCTAGCCTGGCCGTAAAGCTCCAGCCTCACATACCCTTTCTTCCCCTGCCATCGACTGACTTTCTGGTATATTCTCCTCCTTGTGATTCATTTAATTCCTAACTCACGAGACTAGAATCTTTGCGTTCAAATGTACTTTACGAAATTCCATTGTGTTTTTCCTATTGTGCACGCTCCAACTTTCAGACCTTCTTCGAAAAGTTCACTCCTCTTGCTATCCATTTGCTCCGTTGGAAGTCTGTTTGTGGGATCCTCACATGCTGCATCTCAAGGGCTGAGAATCTTTGAGACCCTCAATAAGGCAATATTGTCATCGGTTCGTCGAATTCCAAGCTTTTTTGATTTGTGGTTAATGCTATACAGTGGGAGAGACACTTCTCGAAGCAAGGTCCTGAGAAAATTGCCATGATCCAGGCGGCTCTCATAGGGCAGACATTTGGTCTACTATCGGGGGTTAGTAAAATCCCAGGCCATTCCCTGAGAAATTAACAAGTTAACAACTGCAGAGACAAAAGGATTTGTTTATAGCGGAGACATTTCACGGTACTTTGGTCGTCGTAAGTGGCCCAGTTTTGACTGTTGACATGTTCTAATCAACTTAGCAGTGGGCCAGGAGAGCAACCACACCGAAAAGCAAAAAGGCACTGGAATTTATAAGCTTGAGTGAAGTATTGGATACCCCAGAGAAGGCCTGGAAGAAGTGGATTCAGGCAGAGGAACTGAATCGGTGAGTTAGAAAGACAATCAACCAGGTGCACCTCAGCCATTAATTTCGCCGTCATAAGATTACTTGCAGGAATTCACGTTCACGATGTCGAAATCGCGGAATTGTTTCTCACGAATCCATACCTGCGACATTCACCGAAAAATATGCCACCGTTATCCGATGACGACCTTTGGGCTGCAACAACCGTAGAGGAGTGGAGCCAAAAGATGATGAGCCGCTTATCCAGATCGAACAACCATAGCTATGGAACTTACTTGCACCTTCCGGAGACAGTTGTCAACCTTGCCGCGCTATCTTCGTCCACCCCTATAAGAAGTGATTTTCATAATTATCTCGAGCTCGAGGGGCTTGCTGCGTCAGCCATCGAGGCGAAGAACACTCACGATGTGAATGAACGAAAGTCCTTTGAGAATATCTTGGTTGATTACCACAAATCGTACATCGGCCCTAACAGAGAACTCAAAATGGACTCCTTTTGTCTATCGGCTCTATGGCACTCGATATTCTTCTCTTTGTATGCCGATATAAATCGATTAGAACTGGTAATCGGCAAAGAAGGATTCATCGAGGCACAAAACCATGTAGAGCACGTCCGCTCGTGGGCATCATCCCCGGACGGCCAATGTTGCGCTCTTCATGCTGCACTTATACTCCGCGAGCTAGAGAAGCTAAAAATCGGGACCGAGCCCCCTATACACGTCCCACGAATCATATTTCGCGCAGCATTGATTTGGTTCTGCTATACATGCTTCGGAACAGACACAACAGACTCGCGGCAGACTATGCAACATCCCGCACTACAGAAAATTGGCGTTAATTGTCAAAGCCTCTCATTTGAAGCGAATGGCTTCAAGGCTTCACGCCCGACGACATCAGAGTCAAGCACAGTCTCTGGACTGGTGGATATTTTGTCGAGAGTTGGACATTGGGGAATCTCGCAATTGATGTGGTCAATTTTGAATCTACTGGTTCCTGATGTCAAGGATGATGAGAGATATGTACGGTGATGGCCTTTGAAATCTTTGAAATAACTGCCTTGCAATAATTCATATTGTCGGGAGCTTGAGGTATGATTTGAAAATCACTTTTGATGGATTGGATGAACTTTGACACAGAATCTCGTTGTTAAGCGGTGTTGATACATACGTTTGTATTCTGTGTGATCTCTTCCGTAAACACACTTTCACATTGTAAAAGAGACGCTAGCAAGAACTAAGGGCAGACAGCGTCAAAAGCAGGTTAAAAATTCAATTCGTATTAATGCAAAAATGATGAGTCTATCCATGCAGGGATCCCACAGCCTGGGAGATCGATTTCAGAAGCTGAGAAGTGTCGTTGCAAGCAGAATAATTAAAACGATCAGGTAATATAAGGACGAAAGTGCTTCCCTTGAGTGCCCGTGGAAGGTAGAGCGGATCGTAGTACTCCGGCTTTCGGCCGTCCAGAACATAGAGGTGATCAGGCTATGCTCAGAGGCAAAGGAGTCAGTAGGAGAGGGGAAGGAAGAAGCTGACACGGCGCAAAGACGTGCGCTGCTTCTCCACACAGGACTACACACAGGACTACACGACCGTGCGACTATTGATTGCAACTCCACTCCTGGCAGAGAAGCGGAAGCCTTGATCGAAGAGCGTGTATGCAGTGTTTGGGAAATTGAATTTCTTGTGGTAATCTACAGAGAAGTCAGTTCCAATGCTCTCTTTGATTCTTAGGCCACTTTTCCCCATACCGAGATCCCCTGTGAGTGATGTAGGGAAAGACGACCCTTTGAATACTTTCGGATCTGGACATTTGCTATCCATCTTCGCCAGCATGAACTACGAATTCAAAGCGCTAAAGCCTGTCAGATGGTAGACCGAACCGACCACACACGACAGGACGCTCTGGACTACAGACAAACCTGAAGTCCTCTGGGAAGAAAAGGTCATACACTTCCTGAGGGGTGTATCCTAGCTTCCAAAGTGGAAATTTGGGATGCGTCCTTTCCGTGGGAAGTGAAATTTCCCAGTAAAGGGCAACCCAGATGTTATCGTAGAAAGATCTACCAAGTGATTAGTCTTCATATGAGTAAGATGGTGGGGATCTCGAAAGAATGATATCACTTACTGGTGCCTGTTACATGTGGATCCCTAAAAGCTCAAGGAAGTTCTTTCGGGCGAAGCCTGTCTTTCCATCGGCACTAATCAGGAAGCGAGACCTCACATGGTGTTTCTTCCCTTCTGCATCGAGATGACGTGAATAAACATAATCCCCTTCCTCATAGACGTCCGTTATGGTGGAACTGGTTCTAAGCTGACAGACGCTCGATGATGTCATGGAGAATCTGAGATGTTTCTCAAGGATCGGTTGCTTGTGGCATATGAAACCTATGTGGCTAATGCCGCCTTCGGTCTGCGTTAATATATATGAGCTTTGGAAGACCCCATAGTTGAAAAAGAAGGTCGAGAATGCGAACCGTCTGTGATAAATTTCTAGGAAAGGCTTTCTGTCAAGGACTTGACCCGTTCCTCCGATGAACTTGAATTTGCGCATGCCTGATCTCTCGTTCAGCAATGGGTGGGGCATAACATTTCGAGCGCATTCTCACAAGTCCCAATATCCGAATAAATGTGATCATGAATACTGACTCCCCGCAACAGCCGAGTCCAGCCCTTGTCTAGTGTGATCTCCCGAGGATCATCAGTGATTTCAGCCTCCTTAATCACAATGTGAGGAATAGACATCTGTCCAAGATACGCAGACAACATCGGCCCGGTTGGGCCACAGCCACAGATAATAAAATCGGTCGTCCCATTTTCCTTGTCAATCATAACGCGCTTGAGGGTTATTGGGGATATGGAGGTGTTTTTTTAAACACAGAGCGGCAACAAGGCCAATCTGACGGGTGAATGCCGCATTAAAGGAACCGGGCCCTAGGATTCACCATCGGCGAATCAAGTATACGGTAGTGCTCAATTTAGTGTGGGACAAGTTCTACTAGGTCGCACGAGCATTAATTGATCCAACGCACGAGAATATTGTATCATATCTCCGCATCTCCGCATCTAGTCAAACGGATGTAGAAGCTGGCGGTCCCGCTGGGAAGTGTGGAGCGGGAATGTGGGGCTGGAAGCGGGACCGCGCGTCATCCGCAAGGTCCGGTTTTAACGCGTGAATAAAGTATAAGGGAAGGTGGGAATTCAGTTTGCACTCAACAAGCTCACTGGAACGGTGACAGCACTGGAACGGAAGACAGGATCCTGTATCGAAATGGTATGTTGATACCTTCGCTTTCAACTGTATGATTTACTTATCCAACGCCCCAGACAATCCCAGCGAACCACGGTGCCTCTATCGAGGACATCATCGCGATCGGACCCGAGTCTGAAAGTGTGCAGAAATGGCGTGAGAGATGCGCAATCAAGACTGACGCCCAGATCCGGTTGGTGAAACTGGCGCACATGCGTTACCAGCACCCCGACCTAGATGAGATTACTGTTTTTCTACAAGGTATGCGGTAAAGATCTGGTAGACATGAACTTCCCACTCAGATGATTGCAGACTTTGGTATGACCATTGCCAAGAAGAATGACGACGAAATTTGGTTTCGGGGCTATGGAGTGGACCCTTATGTCTACTATGCGATGAAGGGACCTAAGAAGTTTCTGGGAGGTGCTTTTCAAGTTGAATCCTATCAAGATCTAGAGATGTGAGTTACACGAGGCGAAATTTGTAGGCCAACGATCAACTGTTTAATCTAACACTGCCCATCTGTAGGGCAACAAAGCTCCCTACAGCGAGCGAGATCCAAGAGATGACAGATGCTCCGGGTGGAGGCCATATGGTGACTTTAACAGATCCTGAAGGATTTGCAATGAACCTGTTCTATGGACAGACACCAGCCGTTCCTGGTGTATATCCAGCAAAGCTCGAGATTAATTATGAGATCGACAAGCCTAGAGTGCGTAGGTTCCAACGGTTCCAGCCAGGCCCCGCTGCAGTTCATAAGGTCAGCAGTCTCTCTCTACATCCACAACCCCATACTGATGATGCAGCTTGGTCATTATGGAGTTTGCACCACAAAGTTCGAAGCCCTGGTCGAATTCTACACCAAGAATTTCAACATCGTTCCAACCGACTTTCTCTATGTCGAGGTAGAAGGAGCCAAGAAGAACGTCGCCTTATTTGCCCACATCGATCGTGGCGACGAACACGTCGACCATCACTCATTCTTCATGAGCTCGAATCCAACAGCCCACGTGCATCACTGCTCATTCGAGGTCCACGACTTTGACACACAGAAGCTGGGCCACCAATGGCTCGCCCAGAAGAGCTACAAGTCTGTCTGGGGTGTTGGTCGCCATATTCTTGGTAGTCAACTCTTTGATTATTGGTGGGATACTACAGGCAACATGATTGAGCATTACGCCGATGGAGACTTGGTGAATGACCAGACCCCAATAGGTTATGGTCCTGCGGGTGATGAGTCGCTGGCTGTCTGGGGGCCCGAAGTGCCTTCTTGGTTCTTGAAATAGTTAGAAAGAACCCATAGCGCAATGGTATTATCTGAAATGCACGGTGTTTGTTAGTTCTATGTATTGGTTTTGGCATGGAAGAGATTTCGAGTTTTGAACAACTTGGAAGTAGGCAATACACTAACTAAAAAATCCATTCGTATCGGTAAAATTCTCGAGCCTTGACTGAGTATATTGAACAGCATTATGTGGTTTATATAGGGAATCCTTTGTGTAGCTCCGCATTGACCTTGACGTCGAAAGTCGTTCCACATCAATTCGCACACAATGTGACATTTCTCGTAGTTTTTAACGCAACCGGCAGGTTGACTGAGGTGATGAGACAAATATATGTTGGGCATGATTCTGAACTATCATTTGAGAGCTGAATATGGTAAATAAGAAGAACAAAAGAGATTGGAGGTGTGTATTGCGACGACGCTTGTTGCCCTGGATCAAAGGGAAGTGGCACTATGAAATGCGAAAACACAGACATATTTGGTGATCAGTCATACATCAGTCATATTGATTTTGTCATGTCTATTCAAAGGCTCTAACGAACAGTCTAACGAGTGTCATAACGGACCTTGTTGATGAGAGTGCCGATCTGATCAATCTTTACAGAAATCTCATCGCCATCCTTCAGAACCACTCGTGGCTCCCGGAAATAACCAATTCCAGCAGGGGTTCCAGTCAAAAACAGTGTTCCGGCCTCTAGAGTGGTACCTTGTGAGAGATATGAGATCTGTTTCTTGATATTGAAGATCATATCTTTGGTATGTCCATCCTGGACGGTAGTACCGTTATGAATGGCCTGAATCGACAGGGTTTGGGGGTCTTTGATCGCAGACGGCGACACGAGGACTGGTCCTATTATGGTGATACGCATGAGCAACTGATTATACCGAGATCGATCCAATCCTTACCGATAGGGCAACTTCCATCGAGGCCTTTGGAGAAAGACCACTGTGCCGTAATCATCTGCATGGTGCGAGCAGAGACATCATTGGATGCAGTGTAGCCTAAAACGTAGTCCAGGGCTTCCTCCTCCGGAATATCCCTGCCAGGCTTTCCAATGACCAGACATAACTCGGCCTCGTAGTCGCTACTGCCATCCTGTGCACACTTTGGAATATTGATGGTGGCAGGGTAGGGGCCAGCGAGCGCAGTGCGAGGCTTGGTGAAGAGGATTGGCGCCTTTGGGAGAGGAAGGCTAGCCTCCTTGGCGTGGTCCATGTAGTTGAGACCCAAACAGCGGATGTAGCTGCATTGTTCAGGTGTAATGGGTGCAAGAAGCTGGAATTGTTCCATGTCAGCGGAAGACCTGAATTGAATTGAAGATACCGCCAAGCAGCACGCACCTGTTTCACATGCAAGATTATCTCAGTAACGCGACCGTCAAATACAGTACCTTCAATGAGCTTAACGGCGATGCGAACCCCGTCAGCAGTATCGCGTCCAACATCGCGGGCTGTATCCACTAGTTGGCCGAGGTGAACTTGGCTGTCCTCGACAGCGATGAAACGAACAAGGTGCGTCCACGAAGACATTTTGGAGTAGAGTGAAAGCTAAATTGTACAAAAATTGCAGCCGAGAAAGCGAATCGGTACCTCAAATAGCTCCGAAAGGCGTGAGTCTCGGATTTAGGGCGCCACTGGTAATTCCGGGGTATGTGGGACATGCAGATGCGGGGATGCGGGACACAGGTGGTGCTCCATGTGGGACGTATCGGCAATTCGGGGGACGAGATCAAAACAGAGACTTCAAAAATCCGTGAAATAAAGCAGCTGGGATAGAGCAACAAAGAAATAAGTAACCCATCGACAAATGACCCTCAATTGTGTTGAAAGAATAGGAGCACGGAGAAGGCGAGTTGGTGAAGACCCGCTACCATTTGTGGGGCTCTAAACTACCCAGTTGATCCAAATTCGCATAACATAGGTGGAGCGTTCCAATTTATGCGCAAATATGCAATGATTCTGATGTTCAAGAGTAATAGCCACCTATCAATATTATGTCAATACCTCGAGCACGAGATCTCGTGATATCTCACGATGTGCATGTCTTATGAGGTGAATGTGTATGCTGTGGCATGGAGGCAGCTCTTTTACTCGTCGCTAGACTATCCAGGTTGACGTTCCCAATGTCACTATCAATTTCTCCCCGCTCTCTCCCCCTCTCTTTCCTTTTTTATCTTCTCTTCTTGAGACAATGGCATGTATCGTAAAGGGAAATATAAAGCAAGAAAGTCTGCCATATTGAGCTGCGTAAGAGAGGGAAAGCGATCTAACAGGCAAGCGTTGAAGAATCCCCGGAGAACGTCATGTGATGCTAAAGCTTGTTCATCAGTGGTTATGGCATTAGAGCTCGTTAGGAATTTGGATTTCTCATTTGCAAGTTACGTAACAAGTAGATTTTGTTAAATAGAATTTCCGTCCATTCTTGGCATTTTCGGAGATCTACTAGACATGAACAATTGGTGTCCCCTCGCCCACTAAGCTAACCAAGCCAATTTATCTATTCACGAGATAGATTCAAACGAGGATTAAACTTTCAACCAGCTCCTTTTGGTGGGCTCCAGAAAAACAAGACTGTGAAATGCTGTGTCATTATTTGCTTTGTTGCGCAGCAAATCAATTATCTACACGATCACTACATGATGAGTTCTACAAAGCAACTGCCACTTCATACCAGAGAAGGGCTAGAGAGGAGACACAACAGGTTTGAAAATTTATTCTGAAGCCCTATGAAACTGAACACAAATGAGAAACACCAATTCTCACAAATCATAGAAACCTAGTTCTCCCGAAACACAATTCCATGATTGCAGATCTTCTCGTGACCCCTAGATCGGAATCCTCAACTGCATCAACCTGAAACATGCTTTGCCCTTTATTCTCAGGGATAGCAAACTTTGTCTCGAATCCAACCTTTGGGAAGATACCAACCGCTTTCATTGAGCGTGTACTGTTACCAACGTACAAAATATAGTATTTAACTTGGGTAGCGCCATTCCAACTAACATATCCTCGGATTTTGGAAGAGCCGCACTCAATTCCATTCAACCCATCAGTTTGATAATGGGTATGGTTAAGTCTCTTAACGTGGAGCAAGGGTTGGCTCGAAGGTGTGGCTTTCCAGAGGGATTTGTAAGTACGATAACTAGCACCGCCATCGTCATGATTATATCGCGCTGACCAACGAACATCCCTGCCTTGTGGGTTATGTGGCCCGAATTCCTTCATCACAGGCTGGATTCCGTAACCGAGGAAATGATTCCCATTAGAGAGAACATCATGGGACCCCATGGCTAGCGAAACCACGGGATGTAGTGGATCCGAAAGGTTTTTAAGCAATTGGGGAGGGTGTTCATGGCTTGGTGGCACAGTGAGAAGGAGCTCAAGACCAACCGATGGATAAGAAGTAGTTGCACCACCGTTGTTGTTCGCAAAATACCCGAGCTGAAGGTGTGTATCAGAGGTACGTTGGATGCGACCGAAGTGTTCCCAAGACTGTGAATCATGTTTATTAGTTCAGCTTCTGGAATGTCATGTTAGAGGGTTTGAGAATTACAAAATTGCCACCTTCAGGCAGACTTCCGAAGTCGCCTCCCGTCTGGCCATTGATTTTCCATATTATGTCCCCACTCCTATTGACCAGGTACGTGCTCCAAGTGCTGCGGCTGTTGATGAGATAATTACCCTCAAAGGGCTGGATGGAGTTGGTGTGAAAGAAATCAAATGGATCACTGGAGTTCGCGCCCGCGCCATCGAGGGATAGTTTCGTATCACTTATTGGCACATGAGCTAGAGGACTCCAGGAGAAAAGGATTTCGGAAGTATGGAGATCGATTTCCAAGACCAGAGAATCCAGAACCCACCCGTCTTCTGAGCCTCCGAGATCTCGAAGGTCAGCATTAGTTGTATTGTAAGCTGTTATTAGAATTGTGTTGTCTTCAGTAATCAGAGACTCATGGACATCTGCCTGGCAGGGTGCAGATGTTCCAGGAGGTAGGGTCAAGTTTAACTTTGGACAAAAAACCCCAATCTGGTCGTATGACGAGTTGTGAATGACAATGTGACCGTAACCATGCGATGCAGAGCTAGACTCTGCAGCACCACCACTACCGGCCCAATAAGTGATAACTGGTTGCCCGAACAATTTTTGAACACGGAAGTTTGACGCATCTGGTATGACTGGCCCAGACCAAACGAGATCCCCGGCATCTGTCATAATGAAGGGAGCCTTGTCAGGGATGTAGGATTCGGAGTTTATTCCTGTCTGGGGATCAAACAATATCAAGCCCGGCGCAAGCTCTTCACCCGTGGCATTTATCTCAAGATATGGCGGCCGTGCACTGGATGAGATATATTCTTGCCAAGGCCAGTCCGAGGACACATTTCGGGCGATAGTGACAGAATCTTGAGAACACAGCCTTGGGAGAGCTTGTATTAAGGGCATTGCATGAATCCCAGGGGTTCTTGTAAACCACCCCATTGCAATTGCCCCCAAGCTCAGATGGCCAGAGCTCTTCATAGTGTATGCCGAAATAATCAGATTGAGATTGACGAGAGAGGTTTCGTCCCCCAAAAAAGTATTCTGCAAAAGTATTCCAGAAGAATGGGAAACAGTTTGAATGCGAGTTCGTTTTGGATTCGGAATTTCCGAAGTACCGGCTCTTCCTATGATCTGCAAGATTGATTTCCTCGGCAATCTAATTTCGAGTCTATGAGGGCGCACAGTTCATATAAAAAAGCGGGGGCGAACGATTTCCCCGGATTTTTCCAATATAATCGACTTGGATCGCGACTGGGAATGCCGGGGCCGCCATCCAAGTTTTGGAAATACCTCCCGGATTCATTCACGAATTTATTGAAGTCACTGAAAGGGTGAAGGGAAGGATGGATTTACTAACATTATAATGAAGAATGGCGTTCAGCCGTGGTAAACTTGATATCGAAGCCATTCAATGGGTACGATCGGTAAAGAGATACTACGATGGTTTTATATACAAGTCGAAGTTTTGATTTTTAATGCGCCATTCTCGCGTAGCTAGGGTTTTGCGTCGCTCTTTCCAACCCCTAACAGAATTTATGGAAATCAATACTAGAAGAAAATTTGAACGGAGGTCCTTTCTCATTCCTTTCAAATAGCGAGTAGATAGTACACTTACGAAAACCATCTGTGATGCCTGCTAAGCTCAACATAATTGGCATCTTAAGTTATTCGTACTAAGTAAAAAGTATCATAAAGGATGTGTTGAGGTAATGCAACACAGCCCTTTTCTTCTTACGGGCGAATAAAATGTCAGAAAAAACCATTCAGCACACATAAATATCAGCAATAGACAGGCCCTACATATAGGAAAGACCAGTCTCACGCGTAAGCAGAGCCATGAACTTGCTCGACTCCCTTCGCCCCACATAGCCATGCCACACGATCCTTGACAAACTGTTCGATACGAGGCTTCAATTTAGTTTCATGTAGACTGAAATCATCGACAGTACCGATGCGCAGGATACTCATGCCGGGAAAGCCCGTACCAACGCGGTACATGAGTGAGCCACATGTAGAGCAGAAGTAGTTGGTCATGTTGTTTCCTGTACCTATAGTCTTGGACTGGCTATAAGTTGATAGATTTTCCCGGCCGCGCTCGTGAATGAGATACGTATCATCGACCGTGAAGTTTGAGGCGAACATGGACGCGGTTATTTTGCGACAGTCTGTGCAATTGCAAATGAAGGAATCGACTAGACCTGGGCCTTGGACCGGCTAGAAATAACAAATCTCGTTAGAGGACGATTGTGGGTAATCATATGGTATCAAGTCAGTATATACTTACAAAACTCAACTGTACAGCACCACAGAAGCATGTGGCTGTAGCTCTGTCCTCATCAGACCAGCCATCTTGGCTAGCACCAGCCAAAGGAAAATAAGGCTTTCCCTTTTCGACATCCATTTTGATACCCTTTGCTGGCTTTCTTGTAAGTTGAGTCGTGTCCGGATTTCCAACGGACGGCTCTTCAGAGGCCAGGTGCAGCCCAATCTTTGAATCGATTGATGAAGCAGGTTCAATATTGGGAGATGTCACGTTGTTTCTGACAGTAGTCGCAGATGATGACCGTCTCTTGCTTTCCAAAACACTATTCTGGGGTTCTCAGAAAGCGATTATTATTCGGTGATTGCTCTTTTCTTTATATTATCTCTGGAAGGACTAGATGTGCAATTGCAGACTGGTAAGCCGGAGTTGCGGATCCAAAATGATTTCTAAGCCCGTAGAACGGACAACATCCTGGACTCCAATTCAAGCAGCAAGGCCGATAATACTCGGAGTCGTGGGACTCCGGAGTTGCGGAGGAAGACGAAAGTATTTGTAAGCAAGCCGTTACAAGTAAGTTAATTAAGTTAATTCGACCAACTCGAATAAACTAACCAACGGGAGTAATAGAAACCTCTCCCCCCGATTAATGGATGCAAGGCTCACAACATCCGGAGTTACGGAGCGGAGGGACACACCAATTCATACTACTCCCACGAGTTTTCCTGCGCCGAGTCCCCCTTATTGTATGGTCCTGGCATGTTTGCGCCCTTGTCCGTTCTCCATTCTCATCAGGTGAACTATCTCATAACTTTGCTGTAGCTATGTGCATACGTCATTCTGTCTCCTAACGGTGTCGAGCTGTTGGAGCTGATGACTGGCTGGAGCTCCGCCTGGTATTGGAATCTTTGGATGACAACTGCAATCTGGCCTTCACGGTATGTTTTTGTTTGTGGTCCACAGGAGTTGTCAGTTGGAGACATCTTTGCGACATACGATTGGTGATTGGAAATCGATCGACCTTTTGATCGGGAGTTCCTAGTGGGGAAAGAAGTGATGACGACCAATCAGAACTTCGAATCAACACTCTCCTCAAATCTTCTCCCCTCGCTTTTAGAGTCTCGAAGAACGTCACCGACCAGATACGAATACCAAGCCTCTTGGCTTGATCCTTGGCGACAGTAGATAAGCGATGGGGTTCTAAAAAAAAAAGATTGACTGTCCCCAGGACAAGAACCGCTCACTACGGCTTTGACAGTTAGCCGCGCACACGGTTGACGTCGCGTGGCTAATTCGATAAGGATGCCAAACATCGCCGGTATGCCAGCGCGTCCAAAGACAGATACATGTTGAGATCTAGTGGTTGTCAAAGCACTAAATCTAAACAGATCGTTCATTCGGTTACACCGACCCTAATTTTCCCAATCCCAACGGACAAAATGACACCAGCATCATTATCTATGGCTACACGCCCTCCATCGGGCTTGCGGCCTTTGCTGCAGTATGGTTTTTCGCTCACCTGGTTGGGAATTTGATGCAAAATTTCACGAGCCGCAGCTGGTGGTGGATGACATTCACTACAGGCTTAGTCTTTGAGATCACCGGATACATTGCGCGATCGTTGTCAGCCGAAAGGACCCATACAACCTAATATACTTCGTTCTACAGTACTTCTTCATCGTCACTTCGCCGGTTTTCCTCGCTGCGGGTGTATATACCGTTCTTTCAGCGCTGATCTCACGACTGGGGGATCAATACTGTTTTGTTCAGCCGAAGGTCATCTTGGGACTCTTCATTACTTCAGATGCAGTCTCAACAATTGTTCAGATTGGGGGCGCCTGTTTAGTCGGTGTCAAAGCGCCTCGACGAGAAGACCCTACAACAGCGAACCGCATCCTGCTGGCAGGTCTAGCCTATCAAGTGTGTGCGATGAGCTTTTTCGTCATCTTAATGGGAATATTCCAATTGCGAGCTCAATCGGCCATCAAGGAGCACGGCTATCGGACTTTCTGCTGTGTCTTCTCCATTTCGACTATCATGGTGTATTTGAGGACGATTTTTCGCCTTGCGGAGACAGCCGAAGGTCTAGGTGGAAGGCTGTCAAGCAACGAGGTGTTTTTTGCGTGCCTTGAGTTTGCACCTATCTCAATAGTTGTCCTTCTGCTTGATATCTAGCATCCGGGCCGCTGTCTCGGAGCCAAAGTTCGTGTTCGTGGCCGGAAGGGGTTAATGCATAGGGATTCAAGTGTTTCTAATCAGAAATTTCTCTGTCCCTAATATTGGCGTTTCCCATCTTGCTTGCTTGGCCATTTCTTCCTGGGTGGGAAATCGTCTAGCTGCAAAGATAAAGGTATGGTATATCTGGCGTTTTGATCAGTATATCTCTTCATAAGTCATGTTCATGTTATGAAAATTAATCACAGGAGATAGGTTAACGGCTCGGTAGTGGTAGTGGACTAATTTGACAGTGACCACGGCATGCCATTGTAAGTCGCTTATGACTTGATATTTAGTCTAATGCTGCATGAGGGAATTCGAAAGGGATGGATTCCCAAGCTTTGCAGCTCGGAAGGACGAAGAAAGTAGATGGTCTAGGGATAAGCATCCTTTTAATGCTGGATTATTGTGGTGTACTCAATTAAGCTATATATTCCAATGTTTTGCGAAATATAAGGTTGGGCCGACAATATATAGCTAAATTTGACCGAGCAACACCATGGGTAACGGGATCGCGTAGTCCGAGGTTGTCACAACATTTGTAAGATGACCGGGACAATTTGTATCTCTCCAGAGCTACGCCTTGTTCCTCTCACCCCCCCTCCGACCTATTCGGAATCTTCTTTTCCTTCTCGGTGGGGTATTGGGCTATTTTGTGGTTCCAGAACTATCTTCGGTAGTTGCCGCGCGGCCTACAGTAATTCTCCCAATGAATTTGCAAATTAATTATTATCGTGCACGCTAGGCGAGGATAATTTTAATACAGCTATGCTTGTAACGACTGTAGCTGTGATCTAATAATTTCATTTGCGCTGAGGAAACTGAACTTTGTGAGTGTAAGATAGACAAATATTGAACCTTGCAGATCATGAGCGCTTGCTACAACTACATACGTTTGCCACTTCTTATATTTCTCGAATTTTTTTTTTTCAAGGTTTTGGCATCGTGTCGCATAAAAATTAGGATGATCGAACAGTCGAAATCATGCTCTTTAGAATGCTTGACTATGTAGTTAGTCGGTACACGTTTTGCGATGATGTGGCCACGGGAGCTCTAATTAAAGCGTTGACCCCCGAGACCTCCCCCTATAATATCCCGTGTAACCTCGGCTCTATTTTCATCCATAGGTGTTCTCTCATCCGCCAATCATGAAAAACTCGATTTATCAAAGCGCTCAGGCATGCAGTAGCCCGAGAGATCTTAAGTAGCAATTAAAATTGAAAGGCGCTTCGCGGCCATTAGGTTGGCGAAATCAACAATTGTTTTCTCTTTACCTTGAAAACCCATCCGAACCGTTCCGATCTGAGTGGCGTCTGTGCTTTTCAGCTGAGACTAGTATCGACCCTTGCGCGGTCAACGTCGCATCAATCATATCTGTACGTTCCGGGCTAGATAGTGGTCAAATGATAGTCTTGCGGCCAATTGCATGTGGTGGCGCTTGGAACGCAGGGAAACAGGATTCAGCTAGGGAGTTTTACGGGGAGCAATGCAAGCCAAGGGATTAGGTTCTCATGTCTAAGCTTGATCTAGCTTAGTCTAGTACAAGCAAATGCCGTGTGAAAGCGCCCATTAAGGCGCTATCTACCCCGTAAAATGATAGGGCCACGAAACAGACGGGAGGAAGAACGGAAGAACGGATAGATAAACAAATGTCGATCGATCCCCACCAAACTACATGAACACGCTCGGCAGTGTCCCTACCGCTTGTGAACAGAGTGGTGAAGATGGGCTCAATGCCCTGGTGCGTCGCCATGGTAAAGCACTCCCCTGTTCCTATTCATAGTCATAGGGAAGCACACAAAACCACTTTTCGCCCCAGAATGATAAGGCCGACGGGGTGGGGCTGGCGGGTTCCGCTTGGCAACTTTAGTCCCTAAACAACGGTGTTTCTTATCAATGCAACCCTTGGCATTGACTGAAACTAATTCGTAATCCGCCTCTAACTGCCTCCTATGGCCCCGAAATTCTGCTCGGGAATTTCCGTCAAAATTTGGAAAACAATGAAAGCAATGAATTTGTTGTCGGAATGGAGACGAGTTTTTGAGCCATTGGTTCTATTGGCTGGCAAAAGCTAAATCCGCGGTTCAACCCTAATGCAAAGAGATGTATATAACACGAGCTCGCAGTGGCACAAGGCTTGGGAGGTGGTAAGATTACGCGAATTGATGGATGGAACCCTCTTGAATCCTACCTTGAAGCATCAGCGATACACGTCAAATCGCCACCCCCTCCCCTTCCCCAAAGCTATCTAATTTTGTCATTGTCTAAACTAGCCACTACCTAGGAGCGGGGTTTATTCATTGTTGTTTGACAATTATCAGATAAATTCACTAATAATTAGTCCTGGATGGGATCTTTGGTACAGACTACGGAGTACTTGGATCGGTACTCCGGGTCTTGAGGTCGCCTTTCGGGAGACGTGGGGCGGATGTCTCCCCATGGGGCAACAACGGTCCATAATAAGCGAAACCCTACTGCTTGTAGATAGCGCTAGCATTAGGTGCAGACGGATTTTGAGCTTTCGCCACCGGACTTCCACACGGAGCTCCGGTTATCAACCAGACCAATGCGATTAGAGCTGATAACACCATGCACCCCGCTGCGATAACTGGATTATTATATATACCGATCGCACGAGTGATCACCTTCGTGTACTGATTCTTTCCTTCCACGGCTGAATCCGACATTCGATCATGTCGGGCAAGTCTACCGGCGTCTCGGTGGCTGAAATGCCCCATACAACCATCGATGATCTGCAGGAACTCAAAGCGGCACATGAATTCGATCCTAATCTTCCGAGCGAGATCGAGAAAGAGTTAGACGAAGCCCTAGCGGCAGGAGATGCTGAGATCAAGGGCCATATCGTTGGAGAACTGATTGAGAATTCTCCATATCCCGAGGTTTGTGCTGCTGTCCCGAACTATGATGAAGGAGGCACGGGCAATACCATTCGCGCCTGGACCTTGGGTCTCATCTTCGCTACTATTGGCTCTGGCCTCAACGCCCTGTTCTCTCTACACAGTCCTACCATTTCTATCACTTCTTACATCGCTGAGGTCGTTGTATTCCCCTTTGGTGTGGCCTGGGCTCGCTTCCTCCCCAACCTTACTTTTACCTTATTCGGCAACAAGCTTGAGCTCAACCCCGGCCCCTTCACAAAGAAAGAACATGCTGTCATCACAATTATGGCCAACGCAACTTTCGCCGGTGGTTTTGCGTATACCCTCGATATCATTACTGCACAACGAGGCTTCTATGGACAACGCTACGGATGGCCTTTCGAAATCTTCACAACGATTTCGACTCAAACGTTGGGATTCGGCTTGGGTGGAGTGTTGCATCGCTTCCTGGTAGAGCCTCCTGCCATGATCTGGCCCTCTAACCTTGTCAACACTACCCTGTTTACAGCTATGCACGAACGTGGGCTCAATGCACCAGACCCCGCCAAGACAGCTGGCTGGACCATCAACCGGTATCGCTTGTTTATGTATATCATGATCGGCGCCTTCTGCTGGTACTGGTTCCCGGGCCTGATCGCCCCCTTCCTCAGTGTGTTTGCCTTTGTCACTTGGATTAAGCCAAACAACGTTATCGTCAACCAACTATTTGGCGGAGCTACTGGTATCTCACTGATCCCTATCTCTTTCGACTGGTCTATCATTTCCGGCTATGTGACTAGTCCTATGACCTCCCCTTGGTTTGCCATCGCCAACACTCTAATTGGCATGGTCGCCTGGTTCTGGATCCTCACCCCGGCGCTGCACTATTCCAACATTTACTATGGCAAGTTCCTGCCTATGTCAGACTCGGATAGCTACGACAACACGGGTCAAGTCTACAACGTCACTCGCATTTTGACATCTGAATACACCTTTGACTTGGCAAAGTACGAGAACTACTCGCCGCTTTTCCTCTCCACCACATTCGCTCTATGTTATGGTCTGTCCTTCGCTGGCCTGGCTGCTGTTATTGTTCACGTTAGCCTGTTTCATGGCAAGGAGATCTGGCACCGCATGCGGGCTGTGGGACAAAAGGACGAGGATATTCACGCTCGACTCATGGCGAAATATGACACAGTGCCCATCTTGTGGTATCTTGCCGTTCTTGTCATCATGACAGCTATCGGATTGGCAGTAGTACTTTCCTACCCCACCCATATGTCTTGGTGGGCCTTTTTCATCTCTATCATTATTGCCTTGGTGTGGACGCTGCCTATCGGCATGATTCAGGCTACCACTAACATCCAACTTGGCCTGAACGTTGTCACTGAGTTCATTGTCGGTTACATTCAGCCTGGCAAGCCAATGGCAATGATGCTTTTCAAGACATATGGTTATATTTCTATGTCTCAAGCATTGTACTTTTGTCAAGATATGAAACTTGGTAAGCATATACGAACCCCACAAGCCTTGAACTCATCTTTAAAGCCATGGCTCACAATACTAACAATCTACAGGCCATTATATGAAAGTGCCCCCTCGTGTTACCTTTTGGGCACAAATGGCTTCCTGCATCTGGTCCTCAGTGGTGCAAGTGGCAGTGCTTAATTGGGCATTTGGAAGCATCACAGATATTTGTTCTGAGACCCAGGCAAACAAGTACACATGCCCGAACGGACGTGTTTTCTTCAATGCCTCTGTGATCTGGGGTGTCATCGGTCCGAAGCGCATGTTCTCTATCGGTCAGATGTATGCCACTCTCCAGTGGTTCTGGCTTGCGGGTATCGCCCTTCCAATCCTCATCTGGCTCGCCGCTCGCAAATGGCCCCAGAGCCGGGCTAAGTTCCTGAACGCGCCCGTCATTTTCAGTGGAACAGGAATGATCCCTCCCGCTACCCCGCTGACTTATCTTATGTGGGGCACTGTCGGGTTCGTCTTCAACAAGTATATCCGTAACCGCTGGCGTGGGTGGTGGATGGAGTACAACTATGTTGTATCCGCTGGGCTGGACGTTGGTACTGCCTTGTGTCTGATTGTTATGCTTTTCGCTATCAGTCTGAGCAAGTCATCTTTCCCGACCTGGTGGGGTAATGGCAAGGCCCTGGCGACCATGGACTACACCGATACCGCTATCCAGGTTCAACTGCCTAAGGGTCAGACCTTTGGACCGAAAGTTTGGTGATAATGACGATATCCCCACGAATCGACCTATATCTATGTGCACCATTGATGTTATATTATTGAGATAATTATCGTTTCTTTTCGCGCCCAAACAATAATAATGTAGCCATAAGATTGAAGATTCGCCCATGATACAACATATAAGTCAAGTCAGTTTAACCCCGTGAAGAAAGGAGAATATCGCCCAACCATGACACTTCAACGATGCCCATGACACTTCAACGCTGCCCTCTCCACTTACTTAGACCGAAATTGGCCAATGGTAATGTGAGAGTCCGATTATACGCTAGTCTAAATATATTTATCGCAAATTTGAAATGAAATGCTACCAATTAGAAAGTATTCCTGTGTAATACTAGGCTAAGGTAAATGACTTACCTTAAGCGAGATACGGAGGAGGAAAATCAATTTATCCGGCTCGCAACCACCGCAAAACGGCAAGTGGTTGGCAAAAGGGGAAAACGGGAAAAGCGTACGCATGAAAAACACTAAAAATTTTCAAAGTCTCCCAATTCATTACCCGTCTGTTTTGGTGTAGATGAAGTCAATACCTGATAAGGCTAAAACATTTTCTGTTAAAGATTAACAAAGTCGATTGTGGATATATGGATGTGCCTCGAGGGTTCTCAAACACCACAGCAATTCCTATTACATTGTCCGTTGTACATGAGAGGGAGGAGTACTATGATGCAAAAGATCCGGGCGTGGGAGGAACTCAAAGGGAATTCGATGGATTACGAGGCACTTTTCTCTCACGCCTTGACGACCCGCTACGTCCCCGATTTCATGTTTCAAATAGGTATCCTAGGGCACTTTGCCACTACGAAGTGGACCCAGAAGACAACGAAAATAACTGGCTAAAATTAGAGTAGCATGGATAGGCGGCGAGAACGCGGTGTATGATTGAATCATTAAATCAAGGAAAGCTCAGGATCACCGAGAGATTACGGGTACAGATAGTATGGTCATTATCAAAAGTTTATCGAGCAAGAAGAAACTTATCATCATGACTTACTTTACGAGATAAAGGTAAGCTATAATATGTTCGAACTTGAGTGGCGTTACTGAGCTTACTAGAAAACTCTATTCAGTCCAAATGTTATCCACATTCTCTATGACTTGAAAGTTGGTCCTTTCTTCAATCGAATGATCTCAGTTTCTTATCGCTTAGTGTAAAACCTACCAGATTTATGGAAGTTAAAGTGGCATCGTAGCATAGCCCTTAGCCTACCTCAGCACACACCGGCCTTCCACGTCTAGTTTTTAAGGAGATTATCTCCGGCTTCATTTTTTCAATCTTTTTCAAGATCTTTTTTTTTTTATTTTTTTTATTTTTTCAAGAATGCATTTTAAAGGTCTTTTTGACGGTGACATCCCCAAGCTTCACACCAATTTTAAATCAGTTCTTATCGAAACAGTACCGTGAAAATGGGGGCAGATATTGTTGCTTCTCTACCCGTTCCCGTTCAGGGAACCCTTGCACTTTATCTGGCCTGGGTAGAAGCATGGTGCTCTGCCAGAGAAACCAAACCCACCAGTCGAATATTGACTAATATGATCCTTGATGAGGTCTGTCAAATTTTCCGACAGAGGGACATGAGCGTTCCTTCGCAGGACATCATTCAAAAAGCCACTGTTGTATGTCGAGATGAATTTGAAAAAGGCAAGATTACACTAGGCGGCAGCCAACCACCCTCGAACAATCAAATTAATATCTTGTCTGAGGACTAAGATCCCAGAACGCTTTGTGAATGCAGTGGCATTGGCCCCACTTATGAGTCTTTCGATTTCGATTTTGAGACCCTATCTCAGGACTGCCGATGCAATGCGATCCAAAAGATGTTGGAACTAGCCTGTCTGCTACGCGTTAGACCAGACCAATGGAATGGTCATGGCATTCTCACTCAGAAGGGACTGGAAAGAGCCGCAATCGAATTATCGTTGTGCAACATAGAATGGCATGAGCCTGTATCCGACCATTCGGACCCCTGTGTATCCTTGCCAATCGTGTCGGCCCCCGATCGCCGACCAAATCCGCATTGTGATACCCCGGCGGACATCCACTAAGCAATGTATCCAACCTTCGAGCATATTAAGCTCTGCGCGGACGCTGAATATTATGATTCAATTGCTTGTGGAGGGGCCTTTGCGATGAAGGAATTTCTCGAGCGTTGGCTGATATAGGGAATGATATTCTGATTGCGGACTACTGTGAAGCTACAGACGAAGAGATAATAAAGCTCCTCCAGAAAACTGGTGCCGCGGCAGATCCCTTTCTCCGACTATGCAATATGACTGGTCTCATAGCAGACTGGCAGTGTGATGTTGTAGCTGCCAGTGTGCTGGAATTTCGTGCCCTGGGTTACTATCGTGACCATGCCTAACCTCGATTACCGCAGGGCCTTTCTGGGTCTAGACAGGCAGGAAATACTGTGTACCGGCATATAGATCTAAGTTTCATGGTAGGGATTGCCTGTTCTTCTCTAAAAACGGGAAAAAAGCTTGATAATATTACTTATTTCGATATTGTTGAGGCCTGTGCCTTACTCAACGACATTGTCGACTTCCGGAGCGACACTACTAGGAGACAACGCGAAATATTGTCCTGAGAAGTATCCGCAAATCTGTGTGCAGAAGTTCCAATGACCAAATCTGCAAATGATATCAAAAAGTGTTGATCAACGTCAGGAAGCAAAGGCTTTCCGTACTGGTTATCATGGCTTTCTGTAAATGGTGTATCTTGGGATCGCATCATAATGTTTTTCAGCTGTTTCAAGGGTTCGAAGTCAGCCCAGAAGACTCACCTTGCAAATATGATGGACTGGAAATATAAGATCAACTTCTTGGAACTCTTGTTCCATATGGCAGCCTACAGGACCATTGCCCTCGACTTGAGATGACTCGTGCAGATCTTGACGAACTTTATTGTCTGCACAAGAACGATTCTAAGACCCATATCGCTTGGCTTGCTGATTCAACACGTATCTTGTTGAACTCTCACCAATTTCGGTTGATCGTTGATGTAATTCATTATGAGTGGACCGGATTGACTGGAGACTTGAATTATTGCCCGTAACTTTACTTTCACTGTTTGTGGTATATCTGAATCTTTATAATATGATAATGCATCCAAGTCTCTGGCAAAGAAATGATAGCAGATCCTGGTCGATTCTTTCCCTTCAGGAGTAAACTTTCATGGGTCGTAAAGACCGACAGTCCTAATTATTACGAGCTCAGTTGCATAGCTTAACAACATCCACGGGATCTAAATTATAAGCTTGACCATAGGATACTTATGAAAATGACTTAATCCCCGTCCTATGGGCGGGAACGGGAGGATGATATCCCGCCGCGCAAAAGTATGGGAGTAATTTGGTCAAAGCGTGTTTGGGTCTTCTATAATTCGGATTATGTCCCATTCATAAACGCAAAGCCTTACTAGGATAACCACGGAAAGTACTTATACCCCTATAATACAATAAGCCCTTAATCATTAATTCAGCCAGCCTATAACGTGGTCGGTAAGCGAGTGAGCCATGTAAGCGAGTGAGCCACCCAATCAATTTTTCTACACTTATATGCATATATATCAACCAACAACGCCTTATATTTATATAACTCTATTTGGACATGCCGTTTTTCTATGCCCAATTTCACCACAATTACCTGTCTGAGATTGGCAGGGTAACTGGTTACCAATCTCAGGGAATTAGATCAGATGAACAAGGCAATGTGGTCAAGCTGAGCTAATTCAGGGTCTTCTCAGGAAATTCTCAGGATAGAAAGTGGAGAAGAAATTGGCATGAGATTCAAACTATTCTGCCGAAATACGAGAACTAAATACCTGAGATTTAGAGAAGAAATCAAACAGAACAAACAAATCAAGTAAAATATCACATGATATGACATAAATGAAATAGCGGAGAATTCCGGTAAAAAAGTGCGAACTCAGAGAACACGTAAGGACTCCATTCTCTGACATACCCCCCAGATTTAATAGCATGTTAAATCTGCATATTTAGTAAGCAAATCCCACAAAATTTGTCAAATTCTGGAATATAACCAAGGAAATATAGCGGGTTAAACCGTCAAAATTGACTAGACTAGTTAGATATAAGGTGCTGCACGTTGACCATACTAAGCTGTTCTACGAAGCGTCGTTGTTGTTGGGATGAAAGATGCTTAGTCAGTCCATCGGCAGGCATCTCTGAGGTTGGAACCCACTTAATCAGTAAGTTTCCATTCTGGACTTCTTGACGTAGCTAGTTCTGTTGAATATCTATATATTTCAGCTTGGTCTTAAATATCGAGTCCTGCTTGATAAGGAGATCGACCGTTTGCTGGTTATCGCATTGTAGGATAAATGGCTCTTTAAGATTGAACTTAATTAATCGAAATAACCGTTTAATCCAATATAACTGTTTAGTGGCTGCTGTTATGGATAGAAGCTCGGCTTCGGTTGTTAACGTGGTAATAGTGCGCTGCTTACGCGATTTCTAGTCAACAGCTCTACTATATAACGAGAAAATATACCCTTCCGAGCTCTTTCGATCAGGATTATCCGCAAAGCTGGCGTCTAAGGCAGCCTGGAATAGCTGAGTAGCTGGCTTGCGCCCATTAAATTTAATGGCAAGGTGTTTCGTCCTATATAGATATTTGATGACGTGATCTGCTGCAGTAATATGTGACGCACGTGCCTTAGTCAAGAACATGGATAGAGCTTATGATGAGAAGCATGCGTCTGGTTGTGTGGATATGACATTAAAAAGAAGGCTTCCAACACGCTGTTGATATCTATTTAGAGCGGCCTGTGATAGAGGTGGTTTAGTCTCAAATTCCGTCAGTCTTTTAGATGGTAATGGGGTCTTAGGTGCGGTATATCCAGTGAGGTTAAAACGGTGAGCAATTTTGTTAATATATGCGTCCTATAAGATCCATAATCGACGAGTTGCACGTTCTTGGATAATTCGTATCCCGATAAAATAAGACAATTCTCCATAA